AAAAATGAGTTTGTTTGGTCAATGATGGAAAATATCTTTCCAGTGCTGACCAGGCGTACTGCTTCATCAACATTAGGTAAAGGTGACCTATCTTTGACCGTATACTTGTTCAAAGTGCGGTAATCACACACCCAACGCGGTAGTGCCAATGGATCCTTTTTGGGGATTATCATTGAAGGTGACGCGTATTGGCTGGTTGATTTGCGAATACGGCCGGCTTTCACGTGCTGATCAATCAATTTCCTCCATGATGATAGGTATTTAGGCGGGTAATGATATTGCCGTTCATTGATTTGCACATTGGGATCGGTCAATATTATCCGGTGTTCAACTTTTGAAGATTCATTCTGCCCTTCAGGCGGAATGAAATCGTCTTTCTTGTCATCTTCCACTGATGGTAGTTCATCTGGGAATAACTCAGAGAACTCCGATAGAACTTGTTCTTCTCGTGACGACAATTCACAACTCTCTTGGACTTTTTCAAGGTTGTTTATTACACACGAAACCATGGCACCTTGCAATGAATGAATAATTTCATTTCTCTTTGATTCTTCTAACAAGATTGTCTTAGTAGGTACATGTGTGACCGTTCGGTCATGCAGAGAAACATCGAGATGAAACTTTTCCAAGAATGGCGTTCCTAAGATAACATCGTAGCCTTTGCCTAAGGGAGCGATCTTGAAAAACGTTGATCCGAAGCGTAGTTTGGGATTTGCCGAACTGACATTAGCAAACGAGAACTCGGTGATCACATGAGGTTTGGTGTTGGTGGGTATGGCGAGACTCACCTCGATTGGTGTTGCCAGTCTTCTACGCGGAATTCGTGCTTTCTTTGTTGTTGCCTCGGACATCAGGTTGGTTTCGGCTGCGGAGTCAATTAACGCGCGAACATGAGTTCCGTTAATCACAAGGTTCAAAATGATAGACTTGCTACGAGCTTGAGTTCCTACACACATTGAGCCTTTGTCCTCCGCCATATGAGCAATCAACACCTTATCAGCCTCTTCGTATCTTTCAATTTCTTTGGCAAATAGTGATAAGGTTTCTTCATCTTCAGAGCGTTGATCGATTGCCTTCACCGCTACCGTGGCTGGTGGTCGTCCAGCTGGTTTGGTTATCGGTGCTCCTGCCGGTGCTGTTTGTGTCGTGTTCCCACCATTGGTACGACGTGGGGGTCGTGGTCCCGGGTTGAATACACTCAGTGGTGGTAAGTTGATGTACGGGCCTCGGATAGGTCCTTGACACTGAGGATTACCACACTTCGTTCGACAGGCGGAGCAGATTCCAAGATGACGTAGATATTGATGAAAATGCCAAGCGTAGTCAGCTCGCTGCTCGGCAGTACGGTTCTCATTACCACTCGTTGTGTTAGGGTGAGTCGACGTGTTCCTGTTGTTATAACTATAGTTGGACGCTTGTCGAACTCCTTGCCCCGGTAATAGATGACTCGATTGTAACAGACTCCATATATCTGCGGCGGCCGTCACGAACTCAAGCCACGAGAAACGCTCCACGCGCAGTAGCCCTCGATCAGTGATCCACCTTTGAAAAACTTCTGGCGCTCCCCATACAACGTACTCCGCTAGATTCTTGAGATTGAGAGAGGTGTGTGCTTCAATTAAGGTAAATAGATCTCTAGCACGACCTGCATAAGTCTTAAAATCTTCGTTCGGTTTCATTTTAAGTTGACGAACACCCTTCTCCGATTCTAGCAGCCAACCCGAGGGGAGCGTTGCGCGTGCCATCGCTTGCATAATTTCGTTCCAAGAGAGATTCATAAGTTTGTCTTCACAGCTTCTCAGCCAGTTGCCCGCACGTGCTTCGATGACAATTGATCCGAGTACTGTCAACCGTTCACTCGTATCATCGAGACGTTTCAATTTGAAAAATTGTTCCACAAGTCGTTTCCAGTTAAAGAACGCCGCCGGGTCTTCTATCAGACCCGTGAATTTTGGCGCTTCGTTCAGTTTGATTTCACAGGCTCGAACCGGTTTGTCGACTTCTTGTACTACGGGCTGTCGATGGAGCAGTTCAGGATTGATGGCGTCGATAAGTGATGGTCGTTGGGGTGATCTTATGCCTCCATCGCTAGCATGACGTGGCCACGTGCCATAACCTTCAGGTCCTGTCATGATGGCCGGGGGTCTGTGCACGGTGTGCGGTACAGACTCGTGGGTTTGCTCGTGCACCGTCGCTGAAGGTGGTGGTGGTGAAACTGGTGGTCGGCTTTCTTCTGGTACGGTAGCTAGATTCCTTGAACTGGCTGGTGTTGGAGTACCCGGGGAACGGAAACGTGAAAAAATATTTGTCGATCGAGCCGTGCCGGGTGAGATTCCACTACCAGGACTACGATTGTCCGAAGAGCGTATAGACAACATCAATTGATTCATTGAGTGTTCGAGTGAGTTGATCCGGTCTCTGTCGGATTTCAAGGCTGAGTTCTCGGCTAGCAGACGTGCTATGAGGGCGTCTTTATCCTCCATGGTATTGCTGCGTTCCTTTCCTTTATCCGATATAAATTGATCGGTCATTGGCGGTGGTGTCAAAACGAAAAGTCCGGGAGGATGAGGTGTAGACTGAGCCAGTGCGGCTTCAAAGTAGTCTTTGACGATTGTGCGGTCTGCAGTTAAGGTAGGATCTTGATAATCTTGATCTGACGGTCCAGTCGAGGCTTTTGAAGTCGAAGCTGTCAAAGTATACGGTATGATATTCGTCTCGTCACTTGCTTCTGGTTTATAATTAAACCTAGGAGGTGGTGGTGCTGGAGGTGTCTCTGTCGCTGCTGGCTGTTGTCGAAGGCGTCTAAAAAGGCTCTCTAGGTCGGAAATGAAGTTGGCAGGCAAGTCAAATCCCATACGTGAATGGGGTGTCGTGGTGTCAAAGGTTTCGCAGTTGTCACGTCGCACAGTCAAGATGGTGTCAAGAAGGAAAAAAAGAAAAGGAACAAGATAGAAAAATTGAGTTTGAATTTTGACAGGTGGTTGTTCGAGAGGTGGTTATAGTTGATCAACAAAGTTTTTGATTAAAAAAGTGTAAGGCTTCTAGAGAAGTCTTCACTGAATGTGGGAGATTGGCAGTTGGCACAGGAGCAGAGCTCCAAAACGTAATCAAAAAACCCCGCTATCTATTCCTGAATTCCTTAGAACTAGCTCCAGCCGAAATGTATCGGTCATTAGCCTCTACTACTAACTATGATAAGAGAAGAATTGAAAGATAAGACAAAATAAGAGAAATTGTGATGATCACTCACCTAGCTCCAGCCGAAATGTATCGGTGAAGAAGAATCTCTTCGTGGAGCTAGGGTGAAGTACAAGTAATGATGCCACCCTGTCATAACCCATGCTGTAATCCCATGTAATCCTTACACTAAATAAATTACATGTGATACATCATGTAGCTTTTTGCCATTGACAAAATTGTCCCAACAATCCACTACATAAATCATCATGGCTACTCAGGCAACATTTCTGTAGCCATCTGTCAGTAACCAAAAGGGTGTTGCATGAAGTTTAGTTGACAAACTTACACAAAGTCTTGGAATCAGTGTATGTAGTCAATTTTTGGTATGATTTTGTCAAGCTGGAAAATGTTACAGCACGTATTACATATGATTCACACATCCAGATGAGCACATAACTGAGTAAACCTGTATGTACATGGTAACCACCTATTCACTCAGCCTGCTGCCATATGTAGGGTGGGTGGCATGGCTCAGGTGTGCAGTGAGAGATACTTTTATGACAAATCATACTTCTAATCAGTTTGCCCTTCCCATTTGGGGAAGTTGAATGATGTTCACAGTGGTAGGTAAAAGAGTTGACCAAAATTTGTGAATCAACATCTGTGTCTTTTGAGGGCAGGTGGGTGTGTTGAAAGTGGGTATGAAAAATTGTAAGGTGGAAAATCACAAATGCTGTTGGACTGGACTCTTGATTTGTTGTTTTTCCTCACAAATGGAGAGGAGCAAACTGCCTTGTCTAAACCAATACTTAATTCCTGCTTGGTCACCAGACACAACCTTTTTGTTCTGGGGATCTATCACATTGGTGTCTGAGGAAGTGGCCCATGCATGAAACAAACATAACACATGTGCCTCCTTGCTCAAATATAGGGCTATGACCCAGCTGCAATGCTGCTTTGGATCCCGCCTCAGGCCTGGGGTACTCAAGACAGTAACCAGGCAGCATCAGGCAGGCCCTGGTTTGGGTCAGCCCTTTTTGAGCTAGTTTGCTAGCTTGGGAGGTATGCTCAATAACATGAATTGTTTGAAATTAAGCATACAGCCAAAAAGGATAGAACAAGAAAACAAACCAGTGTAAAGAAACCAAACCATAGCAAACAAGGAAAAATAAGAAACAACTGCGAGAAGTAACAAGTGTACAGAAAACATAGAGCGGCCATGTCCCCTTGTCTCTATCATCAGGTTAGGGCTTAGGCCCTGGGCTCAGCCTTGACCTAGCCTGGAAAATGTTTGGGCACACTTGGCTGGGCAGGGCCAGGGCCAAATCCTAGCCCTACTCCGATATTAAACAAGCACACTTGCTCGGAAAACAGTTTGAATTACACTTAAATTTGGACTGTGAATTTTCTGAAGTTGAGGCCCCCCATTTGTCTGTATTTTTCTTGAAAGGATAGTCCAGGGGAAGGCTGAAGCATTTTCTGGTTCAAAAGCATTACATCTCTTTGATGATACACCTGGTATAGCAGGTACAAAGTCCATCATTTTCTTGTTCTTTCCTTCTTGGTTGTATGCTTAATTGTGAACAATTCATGTTATTAAGAATACCTCCTAAGCTCTCAAACTAGTTCAAAAAATGGCAGGCCCAAACAGGGGCTGCTCGACCCGGTACCGTTCTTGAGTACCCCAGGGCCCATGCCGGATCCACACCGGCCCGGTGACTGACCGTGAAGTCTGGGGCCGGAACACATTTTCTCCCTACGGTACCGCACCACCAACCTCAAATCCCCAGGTCCAGGGACTTGCAAAGATTTTCAGCCTCACACAATAATTTATCACAACGTCCTCCAACATACGATGCTCTTGCAAAATGTCACCCAGACATACCGAGCGACCCAGCAAGTCTCTCGATTGATCGCTCCTCGCTTTCATCCACTCACTAGAACGCTTCCGAGTGCAAATATTAATCGATGTTATCTTTCGACTCAGCCCACACCTCCCGCTACGACAGCTTCCACCTCTAGCTCTGTTCAACCTATTGAGCAGAAAACGAAAACAAGTCAAGTGGCTTCAGAAGAATGCGAAATTAAACCGAAAACTACTCATTATCGAGTCACTTTATTTCGATCTGCAATCGGTCTACCCAAGCCGAAACGAGATACCCTGGCTTCGCTAGGACTCAAGAAAAGAATGAATACAGTCTATCATCGACATTCACCTGATGCTGCCGGTTTAATTCTCAATGTTAAAGAACTTCTCAAAGTCGAAAATGTCACAGAAGAGGAAATGAAGATGGCTGTGAATAGTAGTCGACGATTGGTGGGAGATGATCGGGGTTATCGTCGGCTTTATAACGTTCGCGATCTATGAGGATCTCATGAAGCACAGTTCCCCTTGATATCACTTATATTACATGGGTCCTTGTATGTCGTGCGGAAAGAGGTTTGTCTCATAGTCTTCCCCACCTCCGCCAAGTGTGCGCTGCGCTGACTTTGTTTTCGATCATAGTTCGTTGACTAGATTCTTATTACATTCACCACAATTTTTATACCTCCGATCACATTTTTAATTATACCGATACGCTGGGCCGTTAAAGACTTGTCTGTCGTATGCCCGATGTTTTGCCTTTGATATCACAAAATTTCTCATGTGAACTTGGCCTCCGAGCCTTCTGCAACTCAAGTTTTGTAGACTTTTCTTTCTGCATTGTATTCAATTTGTTGAAAGAACGACAATGTCAAAATGGTTCTGAGTCTAAGCTCACCCAATTGCTCAATGAGTTATTGTATGCTTGTCGACGTCTAGCACGCCTTTTCTCCATGAGAACTCTTCACGGCCACTGTAATCAGCTGTAATCCAGTTGTGTAAATCTTACACAAACAATCCATCTTACTCAAAGAAACGAATCTACTCTTGACCCCCAAGCCCACATTACGTCATCACACCATTTCTATTCGCCAGATTTCAAACTATACAAGAACTCCTTTCAGTCAACCAGGGGAGAACGACACACTCTAAGACTTCTCCCTAGCTTTGTCTAGCCCTTTTCTCATTCGATATGAATGATCTTTCGTCTCGTATCCAATGGGACCGAATCGAGCCTGCCTTCAATTCTGACTATGCCGCCTTTCCAAGCCGGCGGAGCGTCGTCTTCGGTTTGTGTCCTCGTTTCTATCAGCTTTGCTTGGTCACACATGAGATCGATCACCATGGCCTGTCATTCAGCATTCATTCTATAGCTAGCCCGAGGCTTTGCATCTAACTGTCTTGATGATACAGGAACCCTGGGCATGATTGCTTCCCCTAATCCTTTAGCTTCCTCAGCAGGAATTGAAATCTTAAACAAAGGTGGCAATGCAGCAGATGCCGCCGTGGCTACCGCTGCTGTTTTGAATGTCGTCGATCCTTGTAACTGTGGAATAGGAGGGGACGCCTTTTGCTTATTCTTCAACTCGGCCGATCAGAGCCTCAAGGGACTCAATGGGAGTGGGCGAAGTCCAGCAGCTTTGAGTCTAGAGAAGGCTCGCGAGTTGGGCATATCTGGTCGTGAGATTCCTATAAAGAACATCAACTCGTTTGTTTTTACTCAGCTTGAAACTGAAGGCATAGCCCTTACTGACGTCAGACTCGCTACGGTCAATGTAATGTATTCAGTGTTACGGTGCCAGGCTCATGTGCAGCTTGGGTGGACACAATCAAACTATTTGGCTCTGGTCGTGTCTCTTTAGCTGAAGTCTTGCAGCCCGCTATACGTCTAGCCGATGAAGGATTTCCAGTCTCAGAGATTGTGTCTGTGGAATGGCAGCGTTCAGAGTCTCTTTTAAAGGCCGCCAGTCCGAATGGTCATGAGATGCTTCTTGATGGTCAACGGGCACCTCGTACTGGAGAGATCATGACGAACAAAACGTTAGCCGAAACATTCAAAACAGTGGCTCAGCATGGGCGGGACGGATTCTATCGGGGTCGAATCTCGGAAGAAATCGTGAAGTGTGAGTGCATCTGTGCATGTGGCACCCCGCAGGATTACGTTTATTTGATCTTTCATTCTTCTTTCCGACGATAGTGATCAAATCTAAGGGCGGAGTCATGGAATTGTCTGACCTTGACTCGCATACATCCACGCCCGTGGATCCGATCTCATACGCCTACCATGCCGCAAACCAAGGCGGCGTCACGTTGCATGAGCTTCCCCCTAATGGACAGGGACTGACTGCCTTAATGGCTTTGGGTATACTTGAATGCCTTGAAGAGTCGGGAGTGGTGGATATGGGAAAGATGGAACACAACTCAGTAGAGTGGCTACACACTTTGATTGAATGCATGAGACTAGCGTTTGCGGATACCAGGGCTTATGTGGCTGACCCATCCAAGCAAGACGTCCCGGTGAAAGAAATGCTCGATAAAGAATACCTCAGGAGTAGGTCGAAGCTTTTCGATCCCACGAAAGCTAAAGCGAATGTCAGCAGAGGATCTCCCATCAAAACTCAGGAAACAGTTTACTTTACCACAGGTGATAAGGACGGGAATGCTTGCTCTTTCATCATGTCGAATTATGCCGGATTGTAAGCTTGTCTTTTCTCAATTTTTGTACGAGTTCACGAGATAATGTAATGGGAGGCCAGTGGTACTGGTGCTATACCTGCTGGATGTGGTTTCACCTTACAGAATAGAGGATGTAACTTTACTCTTGATCCAAAACATCCTAATTGCTTAGAAGTACGTTCCTCCTATTCCTGTCGAAAGCCTTTTGATTCTCATGCTCTACTAACCAAATGTCGGACATGTACCAAAATCTAGCCGGGAAAACGGCCATACCATACAATTATCCCAGCAATGGTCACCCGTAAGAATGACTTGTTCTTGTCCTTTGGCGTTATGGGAGGTCAGTGACTGGTCATCTAGATCATCATGATGCGCAATTTGATCCGCTCAAATGACTTTGAACGCCATTTCCAGGCTTCATGCAACCCCAAGGCCATCTGCAAGTTTTGATGAATATGTTGCATCGCGGATTCAGTGTTCAATCTGCTCTTGGTCAGCTTTTTGACTAGGTTGATTTTTTGATTTGTAAGAAGATTGGACTGATCGGAATGGATCAATAGATGCACCGCGCTTCTGTATCTCAGCAGCCATGCCCGATGCAACCGATGATCAGGCGGACGCGTGTGATATAAACGGTGAGATATTCTTGGAGGAAGGAATCGATGTCTGTGATCTTATTAAATGCCTTCTTAGAAAGACAATGCTTATTTTACATCCATCCTGCAGCAAAATGTGGCAAAGGCGCTCACTGACATGGGACATCAAGTCAAGATCATCACGGGTCCCAAAAGGGGGATGTTTGGACGAGGTCAGGTAATTCAAAAGGTGGTGGACAAAAATACCGGTAGATTTGTATGGGCTTCTGGTTCAGATCCACGTGCTGATGGACAATCAATTGCACAAATTTGAAATGAACTGGAGATATGGACACCTCCTCATGTGTAAATTGTATTTTTCATGTCATTATCTGGGTATTTTTTGTTGGCTCAAGAATACCGACGATTCTTACGTTGACGGTGATGCCAAGAACCTTAGTACTTGCTTACAAAAATGGCTTCTACAATTGAGAAATTATCAAAGTTTTTTTATGACCCAGCTGGGCAGTCCCAATGATGTGAGTGTCTAAATATGTTTGTGGTATCCACTGAGATACAAGAGTGACTCAAGAAAATTGGAAAGATAGGCAAAGTCACATATTTGCAACAGGTTTCTGAGGGACTGATTGCATTCACTGTGAGTGTGATATTTACAAGAAAATGGTAGTGAAACGAGGCAAGCAAAAGCACAAGTAGGACATTGACGAGACTGGATTGTGCAAGCGCGGTATCCTCGACAAAAAGAACTTTCATCAGAAGCGGTGGTGATTGGCGAGGGTCTGACTCACGACTCAGTGGTCAGAGAGGCTTAGGCTTCAAGTTCCATTTTCGTCAGTTTCTGGGCTGAGTATCCACAGGGTAGATGGTCAAATTTGCATGCAAGCATTGGACACAGTACTTGATACTTTGGCTCGAGGTGTTACTTGAAGATAGTGCGAACGTATATGTCTAATATTAAATGAGATTGCGGTGGAATGCAGCCTCGGAATCCCACTCAGAAGATGTGGACGGGCTCAGCTTGCTGTGCTTTTGGGTTTGGCATTGAACCTTCAGTTGGAGCTTGGACAAAGATGAACGTGAGCGTGTGGGCCGCGGACCGGTAAATGGTCAACAGTTGTTTTTTCGTATGAGGATGACAGTTGAGTCACCCCGAGACCCGAAAGCTGGAATGATTTCACTCTGCTTTGGTTACAATCCCCTCAAGGCTCGGGCTGCTTCAGTCTTATTCCCTTCAAGGCTCAGACTGCTCCAGTCCTCGGTATGCAAAGTTACCCTCTCAAGGTTGCAACACGATCGTCGTGAATACGCATGTATGTACGAGTTGAGTTGGTAAACACGTGGTTGCCCTGTGCCTCTAAATAGGAGCTGGAACACATCCAAAATCTTGAACGCCTCCTCGACTCTCAAACGCAGAAACTCGTACCCCAAATTGCCCCCTGGTTCCTCATTAACACTCAACACTTCCAAGCAACATTCGTTCACTTCAATCTAAAACGAGTACCCAGACCGCTTCATAATTCATTTAATCAGATCATAATGGACAGTGCGTGCGGGTGAGTAATTCGCAAGTTTACCGAGCATATCAAGTAGCTTGCTAATTTGAACTTTTCTAGGCTTGCGAGTGCTGCCTGCTTCACCTGTTGTGAATCGTTAATCTGGCCTTGCGCGACGACCACCAATGGTAAAGCACCACTTCTTCTATTCAATTCTGTTCTATCGTTTGATAGGTTTTCTGACTGGTTCTTTGTTCTGAGTAGGTAGATCTAATTCTACCTGTTGCTGTTTCTCATGCGACTGCTGGCCTCAGATATGCGGCTCGAGTCTTGATACTTCCAAGGACCGATATGCCGCCAATACTCAACAGCTCGCACCTGATACTTCAGCTCGTCCAAACGAGGTTCCCCCCTCGTATCCGGTTAGCCAAGGGATGTCCGTCCCACCTACAACTTGAAGACAACTTCGCATCATAATACGATCTCAAGTTGTGTCTGAGCTTCAACTTCGAGATTTGTGGTTACCATCTTATTTCGGAAACTATTTGTCTATTTCACGGACGTGTGTTATTATGAGATATTTGAAGACTCCAGTGCTCCTTTTAGCTCGAAAACAACACGGTCTAGTTCTGTACTCTTGTATTGCTTTCTTTTGATGACACCTCAACAGACAAGCTTATCCTGCAAACATTGCAAGGATTGAACTCAATATAATGGGATCCGGTTCAGATAGTTTGCACACTGATCGCTTTTTTGATTTTTAATATACCAGACCTCTCTGTTTTTGTTTCTTTATCAGATATCTAAACTTGACGGTTTCATCCCTTTCTTAAGATGCGTTCTGCATATGATGGGCATGCTTTCCCTCAGAATAAACTGTTATCTCCTTTACCTTACCAATATACATCAACGCCAGTCTCTTTTCTTAAGATAATCATTTTTGCAATGGGGCAAGCTTCATCAATCGACTACCTTCAGAGTTGAATTTTTTATTCAACTGAGTGAATACCTTCCTTCTGTAAGACAAAGTCACTTTGGCCTCAAGATCAATGGAACGCTTGAAGTAAATATGTTTTCTCCTCGCGAGTACATGAAAGACATAAGTGTTATCACGACTATCAGAGATTGCAATGACTCGCTGATTTGCATACATCACAAATCTTCAATCCCTCACTCTTGCCAAGCCTTGCTTGTAAATTATCATCATGGATTGTATTATACATGGTCATGATCACCAACCAAAAATCCAAACCACTATTCTTCTATATGTGATGAAAATGTTTATCAAATTCAAGTCCCTGGTTGTGTGTATTGGTTCCTCATTCCTGCAAGTGTGTCAAACATGAGCAATGCTTGATACATGTGCTCTTTGAAGTTTGCACTTGTCCTGACCAAAGTGCAATAAAATTTTTGACTGCATTCTTAAATCTTCTTCAAGGGAGTTCAAACTTTCATTCAAATATGTAAGAGAAAAACCAGCTGAATCCAATATAGAAACAATAGCACAACTTTCAAAAGGATTTGAACAGGTATAAAGGCACAGCAGCTTGATTGGTTAAGCTTAAGCCAGGCTTGATTAGGGTGGCAGTGCAATCCAATTCCAACCAGGATGCTTCATCTTACTCACAAGTTGAAGGTGATAATTCAAATTCAAACTGAACAGAAGTCTTCAGAAACAAGAATCTTCTCTAGTCTCACCCTGCAAATATTATGCCTTCTCATACTTCAGCACAGCAGCCAGATTTTGTCAGAATTTACCATAGACATCACAATGGGTATATCTTCTACCTCTGAAAGGATATCCTTCTTGAACTTTTTGAATCCTGTCAAGTGAGTCTGAAAGGTTGATTTAGTGGACCATTGAGGGGTTCAGAGGCCATAGTTAGTGATAGTTGTGGTCTATGAGAGGTCAGGCTTCAAGCCAGTTTTTGAGTTTTCCCTTCTCATTTTTTGATCTCTCAGCTATGTGTTCTCATCTGATTTATTGGATGTTGCAATCCAACATTGCATCCAATTGCCAGTATTACAAAAAGATTTGGTTTGAGTCAATTGTACACTGACCAGTGACAATTATCATCAAAGTGTATAAAATATGTATCCAAGGTACTCTCACAATTAATTTGAGATATTTTTGTTAATATATAACGTACAAATAGATTTTCTGTCTTCTATAAACCAAATTATTTTGTAGCTGGTCAATTGCCATCATCATTTACTATCTTCATTACCTTCAGTCAAATTTATACATTTCAAAATGGGTTGCAAAACATGAAACACAATCATAACACTTCTTTATGAACCGTTATGATTGAAAACAGATTTCTCCAAACTCATAAAAGCTGAAGTATTTTGATTTGTCACAAGGTTTCTCTGAAACTTCACTTCAGACTATTTTACGTCATTATGAAAGATTGTATAACATGACCAAAAGACACTAAACAATACTTCTTCAAAATCATGATGTTTCATCATAGATTTGATGAAGCATGCTGCATCAAAATCATAACAAAACATCTTCATCAAAATCATGATGAAACATCATAATTTCAATGAAGCAATAGAGTAATCTTACTCAATTCACTTCAGAAATAGGTAAAGTATGTAATCCTGCTACTCCCTGGCTTATGAGTGCATGGCTTGTTTGACCCAGCCTTTGGCACAACTGAAAGGGTGCCCTGATTTCATATAAGAAGAGGTGGTTTTGCTTCCAAGAAAGAAACATGTCTTTGCCAACAGTATAAGAATCTCATTTCATACATTAACACCAAAAAATTCCAATACATCAGGTTTTTCTCTAGCATTTCTACCCCTGTTCCATCAGGCCCACAACAACACCTTCTTTAACTTTACTACACCACATCCTTATTCCCTGCTGCTGTTTTATTACATATATTAACTTTAAAATAAAAAGTCAAAATGCAACTCTATAACATTTCTCCGCAAAGAGTATAACATTCACATTTTATAGATTACCCAAAAAAACAATACTTCAGTTTTTTCTCTAGCATTTCTACTTCTGTTCCATAAGCCCTGCATCAACACCTTGTTTAACTTTACTGCACCACATCCTTATTCCCTGCTGCTGTTTTATTGCATATATTCAATTTAAAATAAAAAGTCAAAGATATAACTCTATAACAGTTCTCCGCCAATAGTATAACATCCTCATTTTATAGATTAACCCAAAAAAAACAATACTTCAGTTTTTTCCCTACCATTTCTACTTTGGTTCCATACACCCTGCATCAACACCTTTATCACATTTACTACACCACATTCTTATTCCCTGCTGCGGTTTTGTTGCATATACTAAAATTAAAGTAAAAAGTCAAAGATTTCACTCTATAACACCATTTTCTAGCATTACTAATTCAGTTCCAAAGAACTGGTAACACTATACTTGAACATTCTTCTGGATAAGGATATTTAGAATTGATTTTTGGGTGTCAATTATTTGTAAGAAAAACACAGTCACAAAAAATGGAAGCTGATCCTCTCTCATGTAAGTTCATTTTGTATCACTGTGTAAACAACCTTCACTGGGGAGATGGACTGATGGCCCCATTTGCTCAGGCTTTACCACCCATGTGGGATTCAATGGTAAAACTCTGTATAACTGCTCCCTTTGTGGGAAGCGTGCAATGGCAGAGACCAAAAATCACTTGAAATCAGCAACTCACCAAGAAAACCTTGCTATGCGGAAACTGGTGTCAAACACAGGATCAGCAAGAAGACCGTTAGTAATGGATTCATCTGGCCCCTCAACCTCTCCTAGGGCCCCCATTATCTCCAGGTCAAGGAAAGAGGTCTTTCACACAGGTATCAGCTCCGGTGTCCCTGATTTCACCAAGTTCAGTGAACAATTGTTCCAGAGTCACCTCCAATGAGATCTTGCACCCTCCTGGCCATCCATCTCTCCAAAGACAAAGATCCAGCTCTGTTGGTCTCAATTCACCAGGCTCTCATTGAGCTGACTCTAGATCATCATCAATGTCAATTCAATCACCAGGTGGGGGTTTAAACCCAACACAAAGAGATGCATCTATTTCATCCAGGGGTCTCTCTGATGGCCTCCCATCTCTCCATAGACAAAGATCCTTCTCAGTTGGTCTCAATTCACCTGCCTCTCATCAGTCTTACTCTAGATCATCATCAATGTCAATTCAATGACCTGGGCAATCACCTGGTGGAAATGTTATCCAACCACAAAAGCCTGGAACCAATTTGCCTGCGGACCTATATGATTTGTGTAAAATGCCTCATGACCACACAGATCAAATTTTTGATGATGTAAATCCAGGGTCTGATACAGACTCTTCAGACGAGAACATGGAGAACCTGGTGGAGCAATCCAATGAATATGACCATGGACAGGATGAAGACTGGGAAACAGTTGTGTATGACGGACCTGCAATCCAGAATTGTGGTATCAAGGAAGGTTTGGTGGCACTTCATCAGCAAATGAATGGCTGGTTCCCATTTGAAAAATTGGAGGTATGTAACTCATACATTACATATTATTCCTCGACTTTCAAATAGCTTATAATAGTGCTGTTATAATTTTTTCATTACCCAGAATGTCATAGGAACAATGTGTTACGGTTCCCCACGCAACCAGCTATCACAAACTCAATACCAGACAGTACACAGTGCAGTGGGCACCGTAACACATTGTTCCTATGACATTCTAAGTAATGAAAAAATTATACCAGCACTATTATAAGTTATTTGAAAGTGGAGGAATAATATGTAATATATGAGTTACATACAGTAGTTAACGTCTACTTTGTACTACCTTCCGACCAGCCAAATGAAATCTTGTTTTTGAGATCAAAAATGACTACCTCAATGACTACCTTTTAAGTTGATAACTAGACAAGTACATTAAGGAGAGTAAGTGTAATCTATCTATATCTCCTTGGGACCATCTGAGGCATTGATAAAATTTTTTTTCACTAGATGGTCAACATTTGGGCCCAAGCATAAGCTAGGCACTTAAGCCCCTTGGGTTAGGTACATAAGGTCTCAAGCCAAGTACTTAAGGTCTTGAGCCAAGTACTTACGGTCTTAAGCCAAGTACTTACAATCTTAAGTCAAGTACTTAAGGTCTCAAGCTAGGTACTTATAGTCTTAAGTGTCCGTGACAATGTGGACTTACACAGACCGGGGCCAGCTATGTGTCAGTGGTCCTGTGGTAGACCCAACGGGCTTACCAGCAGGGTAGATTGTAGGGAGAAGTGTTTGACCCAGGTGTGATGCAAGCTTTGCATATGTATCACAAGTTGCCTTGAGAAGCTTTTTGATACTCTGATGGTAGTGTATAACATCCTTTCTTTGTTAATCTTCATTAACCTAACCATGTTCTCAAACCATATTGGTTTGCCCTCACTTTTAATCTCTCAACCTCCAATGATGTATATTTGGGCTATTGTTCACTTTCAAGAATTCCTACACAATCATGAACCTCATTTTGAAAGTTCACACTCATTCACAAGGTCATTCTAACAAAAGCCAAGACAAAAACAAGTAGAGAAAAAAAGTAAAGTAAACAAAAGGAGCAAGAAGAATTTTTAAGGAAATGACAAGAAAAAGAGGAGGAAACAATGTAACAAAGTTACATCATGTATAGCGGGTATGGAAAGTTTCCAACCACTACTTGACCCTTGTACATGGTTTTTTTTCAAATCCATGCCAAAAAAATTAAAAATCAGAAATGCCTGACAATTGGGCCCGGGGCCGCCCGTAGTCAGGTGTAGCACAGAGTAGACTTTAACTACTGTACCTCTAATTTTTCCAATGGGAACCAGCCATTCATTTGCTGATGAAGTGCCACCAAACCTTCCTTGATACCACAATTCTGGATTGCAGGTCCGTCATACACAACTGTTTCCCAGTCTTCATCCTGTCCATGGTCATATTCATTGGATTGCTCCACCAGGTTCTCCATGTTCTCGTCTGAAGAGTCTGTATCAGACCCTGGATTTACATCATCAAAAATTTGATCTGTGTGGTCATGAGGCATTTTACACAAATCATATAGGTCCGCAGGCAAATTGGTTCCAGGCTTTTGTGGTTGGATAACATTTCCACCAGGTGATTGCCCAGGTCATTGAATTGACATTGATGATGATCTAGAGTAAGACTGATGAGAGGCAGGTGAATTGAGACCAACTGAGAAGGATCTTTGTCTATGGAGAGATGGGAGGCCATCAGAGAGACCCCTGGATGAAATAGATGCATCTCTTTGTGTTGGGTTTAAACCCCCACCTGGTGATTGAATTGACATTGATGATGATCTAGAGTCAGCTCAATGAGAGCCTGGTGAATTGAGACCAACAGAGCTGGATCTTTGTCTTTGGAGAGATGGATGGCCAGGAGGGTGCAAAATCTCATTGGAGGTGACTCTGGAACAATTATTCACTGAACTTGGTGAAATCAGGGACACCGGAGCTGATACCTGTGTGAAAAACCTCTTTCCTTGACCTGGAGATAATGGGGGCCCTAGGTGTTGTAATGGCAGTTGGGCCCCTTGAGTCTGAGAGGTTGGGGGCCAGATGAATCCATTACTAACAGTCTTTTTGCTGATCCTGTGTTTGACACCAGTTTCCACATAGCAAGGTTTCTTGGTGAGTTGCTGATTTCAAGTGATTTTCGGTCTCTGCCATTGCGCGCTTCCCACAAATGGAGCAGTTATACAGAGTTTTACCATTCAATCCCACATGAGTGGTAAAGCCTGAGAAAATGGGGCCATCAGTCCATCTCCCCAGTGAAGGTTATTTACACAGTGATGCAAAATGAACTTACATGAGAGAGGATCAGCTTCCATTTTTTGTGACTGTGTTTTTCTTACAAATAATTGACACCCAAAAATCAATGCTGAAATATCCTTATCCAGAAGAATGTTCAAGTATAGTGTTACAAGCTTTTTGGAACTGAACTAGTAATGCTAGAAAATGGTGTTATGGAGTGAAATCTTTGACTTTTTACTTCAATTTGAATATATGCAATAAAACTGCAGCAGGGAATACAAATGTGGTGTAGTAAATGTAATAGAGGTGTTGATGCGGGGCGTATGGAACCAAAGTAGAAATGGTAGGGAAAAAACTGAAGTATTGTTTTTTTGGGTTAATCTATAAAATGAGAATGCTATACTATTGGCGGAGAAATGTTTTAGAGTTATATCTTTGACCTTTCATTTTAAATTTAATATATGCAATAAAACAGCAGCAGGGAATAAGGATGTGGTGTAGCAAAGTTAAAAAAGGTGTTGTTGCGGGGCTTATGGAACAAAGTAGAAACTAGAGAGAAAAATGATGTATTGGACTTTTTTTCAATATATGCAGTAAAACAGCAGCAGGGAATATAGATGTGGTGTTGTTGCAGGGCTTATGGAACAGAAGTAGAAATGCTAGAGAAAAAATGATGTATTGGTTTTTTTTTGTTAATCTATAAAAAGAGTATGTTATACTATTGGTGGAGAAATGTTATAGAGTGATATCTTTGACTTTTTATTTTAATTTTGATTTATGCAATGAAACAGCCGCACGGAATATAGATCTGGTGAAGTAAAGGTAAAAAAGGTGTTGTCGTGGGCCTGATGGAACAGAAGTAGAAATGCTAGAGAAAAAACTGGTGTATTGAAATTTTTGGTGTTAATGTATGAAATGAGATTCTTATACTGTTGGCAAAGACATGTTTCTTTCTTGGAAGCAAAACCACCTCTTTTTATATGAAACCAGGGCACCCTTTCAGTTGTGCCAAAGGCTGGGTCAAACAAGCCATGCACTCATAAGCCAGGGAGTAGCAGGATTACGTACTTTACCTATTTCTGAAGTGAATTGAGTAAGATTACTCTAATGCTTCATCGAAATCATGATGTTTCATCATGATTTTGATGAAGATGTCTTGTCAGGGTTTTGATGCAGCATGCTTCATCAAATTTATGATGAAACATCATGATTTTGAAGAAGTATTGTTTTGTGTCTATCTTTCATAATGATGTAGAATAGTCTGAAGTGAAGTTTCAGAGAAACCTTGTGACAAATCAAAATACCTCAGCTTTTACGAGTTCGATGAAATCTGTTTTCAATCATAACGGTTCATAAAGAAGCGCTATGATTGTGTTTCATGTTTAGCCACTCATTTGACCCGCCTTCGAGAGCTGTCTGGACGACTGCACCCATCCACCACTCACACAGTAGCCGAACGGCATCCATAGTGTTTCACTTTGCTTTGAGAACGCAATTTACATGCATGTATGCAGGTTGAGCAGGCACAAAGGACCTTCCGTTGGTCCAGAGGGACTTTGTTAGGTCAGAATCAGTAGGTATAAGTGAAGAGGTGAATTAATTTATAGACATGTCCCGGAACTTGGATGGGTCCAATGCTGTCCAATGATTTCACCCTATGTGTTGAGGGTATGTTATGTGGGTGGACATGAATATGTAGTGTGATCTCGTAACCCATAATTTCATGGGTCTCGAGTGACTGCCCAGTGCCAGTGCCAGACCCAGGATTACATGAAGGCCGCGGAAAGCAAACTCAACGGCAGTACCTCTACCGAGTCATCACTAGCTGACCGCCAACTGCAACCGGCCTTAAACATGGCCAATTACTCTCAATCAAGGCCCTCCATCCTACTCGAACTGGACCTTCCCGATCATCTCTCCAAGGCGTATCTTATTGACCCTTTCGTATCCCTCACTCGCGGATATCCACCTGGTTTTTGTTTTTCCGTTACTCGTCCTCCGACTGAGCCATATATCGTTTCAAAACCTTCCATACCTCGAGTGAGGCCGTCACGGGATTCGCCTCATGCTGGCGCACCATCTACCATGGCTTCGAAAAAGCATTGCAAGCCTTATGCCAGGCAATCTGAGCCTTCTGAGGCTTTTCCTGTGATTGGTTTTGTTGGGAAAGCACGGCGTCAAGCTGCTACAACTATTCAACAACCCGAAATGGTCCATCATGCAACAGTCGAACCTGAAATATCAGCTGCTGTTGATGCAATACGGATGCGCTGGATCGAGACAGCTTCGTCCCGCGATCACTCCGAATGGTGGGCCGATGGACAAGGGCGGGTAGCATCAGCGACAATGGAATGCGCTCAATTGAGATTTGTCGAAAAAGATGATCAGCCTTTACATTCTTCCTCACCTAGATGGGCAGAAATCACGCGGAGTCCGTCGTCGCACCCCGGTAAATCATGAGCCATCATCTGAACCAAACGCCACAGTTTCTCGCATCATATGGCAACTGGATCGTAGAAGACTATCGTGCGCAATGCTGACGATGATGCAACTCTATCACTTTGCTTCATCAGTGCCAAAAACTCATACATACATCAACAAATCGTCCTCTAGCGTGCTATCTGTTTCACTACCCGATGATTACCAACTTTATCTACCCCCAAAATCTGGCTTTAGTTTGGCTCTCCTTGAAGACTTTCATCGACTCGTCCCAAAGCTAAACCACGTAGATGGATGGGACGCGGTGGTGATCGAGTGAGTACGTGCTTTCAAATGAAGTTCGATATACAAGCATCGTGATGAGCTTAAGCTTATATTCCCGCTTGTGTTGTTTCAGTCCTCCATGGGAAAACAAATCAGCCTCGCGTAGCTCAAAGTATAAGTCGGTTGAACTGTATGATCTATTCAAGCTACGTCTACCCCAGTTATTAGGTGAAAATGGTGGCAAAAGCGCACTTGTTGCAATATGGGTTACCAATCGACCAAAGGTATGGGTCCGGTCGTCTCTAGTTCATGAACGAACACTGACTGTCATGTAAACAGTTTCGACGGTTCTTGATGACCAAATTCATGCCCGATTCTCAAATCGTTGGAGCATATGCTGAATGGTATTGGGTCAAGCTTACTGGATCTCCTGTCAGAAACGGCGAAACTATCCTCTCCGAAGGAGGCAAGCCAATCTTTGACTTATCAAGTGATTCACCCAGGCGCTGTTACGAAGGTAAGTGTCCGTCTGCAAAAACATCCACTACAGACCGTAGATTTTATTGCTGAGAGAGGCATTTCATCAAGCAGGCGTGATTCTCGGTTGGTACACCCCAAAAACAATGGCCTCGGCAACCCCAACGTACAGCCTGCCACCCAAAAGAATGTTTATGTCTACACCAATGGACCACTCAAGAAAGCCTAATTTGGCAGGTCAGCCATCATCATTTTTCTTCCTACATGACTCCTTTCTAACTGATCTACCCGCAGAATTACTTCAACCATATCTTCCGAAGAACCCAAACTTTTTGGAGCTATTTGCTCGAACCACTTCATGCTTGATACCTATAGACAAAACTGATCAGGGTAATTATCACTCTGATTCACGCCAAGGGTTCTGGCATAGTGTAGGAGATGAGTCTCCAAAATTCAATGGATCACCATGGGTGGATAAAATCCTTACAACATCATGTACAGACTCATGAGGTCCACTCAGATCTCAGTTAGCTCTTGTATTCTTGACTGGATTTGGTCAATTACCCTAAATTCGTGTCCCCGACTTTTGAGTGAGTGTTTAATGTCATCTGTTTTCCAGTTGTGGTTTGGCGATTAGTTTGATCACGGTGGATCTCTAACAAGTCCTCTGGAAAATCCAGGCCCTTCTTTTGAAGCACGCCTGTAACTTCAACACTTTGAAGGGACATTTTATTTGCTGATTATGATGGTTGCTTGAGGTTAACCCCAATGTGATCATGGTGACCAGTGCCTAAAATTGCGAATTGAGACAACTTGAACAAAATCCAAAACACATTCCTCAACTATTTCCGACTGATTACAAAATCACACAAATTCAATCTTGTTACGTTGTGGCGTTGTCAATGTTCTTCTTCCGCTCACTCTCCTCAAACTTTATTGTAATGAAAATGAAATCTGATCTCAAACAGAGCATTTATCAAATTTTGAAGGACATGAGTAATACTTTGTGGAAAAAGTTTGATCACCTCCAAGCTCTTCTTGCAGACTGCAGCCAATAATCAATTGATACGTTGATGGACCAAGCTGAACCAAGCTCATATCCTATTTAAATCACTAGGTATGCTGAGCTTCTCATGTTTACTGATAAATTGGATGATCACCAGTCTTTTCACCCATTTCCAATAGCAAAATGATTTTTATCATTACACTATTCTAATTAAAATTTTACAAAAAACGTCATACTTTCTCTTCTAGAAAAAAAGGAGCTAAATTCCAACATTCCAAGTATAACTTAAACTTATTTCTCTGTTCACTATGCAGTTGTGAATTTAAGTTTTTTTATGAGAACTTGTATTCCTACATTGATTACCCTAAAGTTAGTCTTTTTTGTCAAATAAAGGGTATGTTTTCACTTTTCGTTGACTGATCCGCATTCTATCTTGTGATCAATTGATTCATATATAGGGACAATTTCAGGTAATGTACTTGTTCCATGGGCAAATGAATTTTGATAAGGGACTCATCAACTTGCTACAGGAAGTCTTTTCCTAAGACAATCTTCGTTTTGTTCTTCAAGAGCATTATAAGTGCCATAGACCTGGTCCACCTGCTCCTTACTAAAATTCCTCAAATCTGAAGTATCAATTCTCACTATTGGTTTATTAAAGGCTTCACATAAGATAAGAAGACAACTCCATTGCCATATGTACACATAGATACTCCTGGTCATAGTATCGGAGTTCAATTAATCACACAGATGAAACAATGTCATTTTTTTCCTGTCCAAAGGGGATGACTATCAAGATTCAAGAGTCAATATGTAGAATGCTTCTGCCTGATATCTTTGCACTGACTGAAATCTCTCATCCTGCATTTGCATATAAGCAGCTCCAACAGAGTTTCTGGAGTGAATTGAGCTCAGCCAGTTTTCAGCTGTAGTGAGTGGAACTAGAAATTGGAATTGGTCTAGACGGTGATGTGATTTCAATTTTAGAGTGGGATGGTTTGTTTACAGGATGTTATGGTTTTACAGTGGGATTTCATGGTTTTTATAGAATTGGAGTCTCGAACAAACAGAAAAAGGAAAGAAACTGAATCTAGTCAACAACTGATGAGACATGATATAATGGTTTATTCTCTTGATTACCTTCTCATCGAGCTTTGATATCAACTTTAACTTCAACTTATCGACATCCACCGACTCGTACTTCAACTTTCATCTCATCAAACTCATCAAACTCTTCAAACTCATCAGATTGTGGGTCAATAGACATTTTCAATTTCTGTCTATCATGATTTTGAATTGGCGGATACTAAATTTCCTCAAACCTCTCTTCTCCGTCTGTTATCTTTTCATACAGCTTATCATTTTGGTCATTCATGCTGACTCACCCTTCCTTTCATATCCTTTACGAAGTCTCAACCTGCTGAAAATCATAATCAACCTGTCTGCGAGGATCACGAGGTAAGCTTGGAGGTTCTGAATTGAGTTACATGAGTTGGCCAACGTCTTTTGGTTTATAGACAACTTCTTCATCGAAACTCGAGCCGATGGCGATGCTCGGAAAAGATTTACAGAAAAAAAAGTTAGTAGATTCTGTCCATTGGAATTGTTCGATGAGAATAACCATGTAATTTCATCCATTTTTCCAATCAGGTTCACCACACGTATAAACCCTCCTGATCACCCCCCCGAGGAATCTAGCCGAAGTTCCACACGAGGTTACAAGTCGCGTGGTGGTCCATGGGCGACAGGAGAGACAGGAAAGACAGTAAACTATGGATCGCATTCCACCCCCGCCGACAGCTTACTCTTCACCGCCAAGGGCAACGTTCCGTCAAATTTTACTTTACCTAAGATTCCGAAAAACTCGAATGCGGGCTCCAAGAAGCTGTTCAGCAATGCTGTGGGCAGTATCAATCAAAATCAGAATGCTAAGTCGTCCAACGCACGCACAAGACACTCACACCCACAGCAAGGTCCATCCGTTTCGAGTGAACAGCAGCGGAGTGTAAACATTCGTGGGAGGGGTAAAGGCAAGGAGAAAGTCAACGATGCTACGATAGACCTCACGAACGACGAAGATCCGATCGAACAATTTTCCGACCAGGGTGATCCCCCTGCCAATTTACACATAACCTCACGGCCCCTTCAATCATCATCTATGACAGAGGACCCGTTGCGTCTTCCTATACGGTCAAGACATAATGCGCAAGTAGAGATCAAGGGTTCCCAGGATTTCCAAGCGAAGTCAAATCACAATGTCAGTCTGAACCTGGCCTCTATCGAGTTTTCCGCTTTCAACACTTATTCATTTGTTGTAGGTCGAACGCCAGCATCTGACCTCTCAAGGCAAAGTCATCACAAACTCTTTTGTTCCCCAAAGAATGTACTTATCGGCAGAGGAAGGACTAGCCACGCTACCGTTCCCTGGAGCATGCGCTTGCTCTCGGCTGTATCTCGAAGGGCGCGACATCATATTCGTCGGACAGCTACCGTTAAAATTTGAAATGAGATTCCGGCCCCAGGATATTGACAATGTCTTCACCCATAATTCACAGAAGCGAAGATTCGGACTTCAGCTGAAAGCTGAGTTTAGGTGGTCCCACGGGACCTCCCGCTGCGGGTTGACCAAGCAGCCTCCCGGATGGTCTATCCCGAGTTTGTCCAGCACTCTTCATCCAACCGAAACCCGATATTCATACATGTTCACTCAATCCTTTTGTCTCGCAGGCCCGGATCTCAAGAGAATAACTAATCCTCCGCCGTCCGGCCTAATATTGTTCGAGCTCGACTCGGCTGATGCCAGAGTATCTACAGAGGCGCTGGCTCTTCTGTTTGAGACCCTGAAACATATACCTTCGCCGCACACTACAAACCTCGAGTGAGCCTTTTCCTCGCCTATGTAACCGTTCAAAACTCACCCATTTGATCTTCATAGTCCGCTTTGGCATTCCTGGTTGCCTCCGACCAATCATTGGCAGAAGCCTGCACAGTATTCCTTGGAGCCGCCATCCAACAACCAATCTTTTGAAGGCGATCGGATGACCCGGACTTCAGATTCGTGAGAGGATATTTTATGTATGTAGAGTGCTCGATAGTTTAAACTGATTGTCTTCTATCGTTCCAGCGATGAAATCGAAATTCAACCTCCGGATCGCCCCAGGTCGCGTGGAGCGCAGTAAGAGTTCAATCTTCCTTGGGCATGTGATTTCTGTACGAAAAAACGCTGACCTTTATCCTTTCTAGCCACTTCAAACCCCATCGACCCTCAATCAATGATATCAACGTTTGCAAGAAGTCCAAAGCAACTGCAGATGGACTATCGACCAGCGAGCTCGAGTGCCATGATTCAAAGGTCAAAGATGGGCATACAGGCACTTCTACACTTTTGACCCTTGATGAGCCACAGGGCTTGGAGGTCGAAGATACAGACATTTCTTCTCTTTCTACCCGCGATCAGTCAGACGGGCGTAATTTGGAAGCCAAAGACACAGGCACTTCTATTCTTGCCTTTCGAGATGAACTCATGAATCCCCAGCCTCCGTCCAAACTCAATCGTGATCGAATCACAAAATTCCAATCTCAGTCCAAAGACACCTCGCAGTCAGTCTCCAGCCGCACAAAGCCCAATACTCAATCCTGCAATTCCCCGGTGTCGGCTCAGGGGTTCTATTCTATCCGGCCAAACACGCGTTTTTCGACTCGAGAAAAGGCAAATACACCGACAGCGACCTCCTCTAAACCCGTAGCTGATGATCGTCCTATCGAACCCCTTAAAGGCAACGGGAAACGGAGCCATCCTAGTGCGACGGGAGCTGCTCAAGATCCTCAGCAAAAAGCTGACTCGGACATGTACGTCTCCAATCTTACTTCAGACCAGGACTTATCAATCGCTGACCCTATGTTTTAGTGTTTTAGTATGGCCTTATGATAGTGAGAAAAGCACAAATTCAGTGGCCATTACCCAAGCTGATATGAGACGTCTTGAGGAAGGGGAATTTTTGAACGATACTCTCATCGAGTTCGGATTAAAGTGAGAATTTTGATTTTGAAATGTGTCATGATGGCGGTGACGCTAAGATACATGTTTATTTGGATAGATGGGAGCTAGATCAGATCCGCCAAAGGGATCCTAAAGTCAGTGAATCGATCCATATGTTCAACTCCTTCTTTTTCCATAAGCTCAGCAGGAAGTCAAAAAAAAAGTAAGTTTAATTTTGACCTATCTGTGATTGTGCTGTTCCCGAATTCCATTTTGACGACACATTCTCTGACCAGGTCAGATGTCATAACAGAATCTAAAATAGCATATGAAGGCGTGCGCAAGTGGACTAAGGGGCACGATCTATTTACAAAAGAATTTGTTGTCATCCCTATCAATGAGCAGTAAGTGATATATCTGACTATTCGATCTCTTGAGTCTAATCAATTGCTTTTTTTAGTATGCATTGGTATTTCATAATCGTAGCGAATCCCGGAAAGATCTTAGATGCCAAACCCCCTTCGATTACAGCTCCACTTAATCGCGCTACTCGATCCAGGTCTTCGGTTGCATCAATGCCCGAGGCTAATCAATCGGCCTCTGCGTTGCCGGACGATGAAGAAGATCAACTAGAAGACTCTCCACACTTCCGCAAGGAAGAGGCGGGTTCTAACACAGTTGATCAGCCTGCGATGGACGTTGATGGATCCACAGTTGCCCTAGGGCAAATGAACTTGGAAAATAAAGAAGACCAAGATATGTTGGAGGTTGAACATGATGACAGCAGCAGGTCAGTCAACCTAGTCTGCATCACCGACCTGAGAGTTACTGACTGCGTCCAATCACAGTGCTTGCGTCTTGACCTTGGACTCGTTAGCTACTGGCTCTCACAAAGCACAGGCAAAGACAATACTGCGGTACTTTATCAACGAAGCCAAAGCAAAACGAAGTATGGAACTAGCTTATGAAATTGTTGACCACGTCGCAATCACCAAAGTCTCTGTACCCGAACAGCCGAACTTCTGTGATTGTGGTCTTTACCTTATCCATGCATTCAAAACGTTTTTTGAAGATACCAGCAGTATGATGGCTTGGATCCACGTACGTTTGTCTCACTTTCGCTATGCAGACTAGATTCAGATGATACTCATTCATTTATGTAATTTTATTATAGACAAACTCTTCGCGTAAGAAAAAGCCAGAAGATCTCGATTGGGCAAATGAAGTTCGTACGACATGGAATGCCGAGGCTGCGGAAACAGCCAGGCAGAACATGAAAAAGACTGTCAATGATTGTATTCCTGGATATCAGAAGCATTTAGAGGAAATGAAACAAAAGAAAATCAAGGAACGTACCCCGAAAGATTTGTCCACATCTAACGCCACACAGCCGAAGGCAGGACTTGAAGGAATGCCACCGAAGGGTTGCGTTTCAGCAAGAACGGCCGAGTATGAACAACTAGCATCGCAGCAACCAGCGCCCTCGTCATCTGGCATAGGCGTTAATACCACTGACGAAGACGTTCAATGTCTTGACCCTCCAATCAAACCTCCCGACCGTACGTTTTTGTATTCAACATTCCACCTGGCTTGTCCTAATGAACAGAATATGAGTCTTGGCGGATGACTGACAATATATATCCTACAGAGTCACACACACCATTCCGTGAATCGACATCGAATAGCTCCGCCGTCAAGCACGATGGATTTTCGCGCCAGAGCAAACGTCGACGAGTCTTTGGCCCCTTTGACGATAATTCCGAAGAATTTCGCCTTCAAACAAATCAGATCGACAGACACGGCAATGAAAAACCCCGGGACTTGGATATTCCGGAGTCATTTCGAACACGGAAACAATCGGGCGATATATCCATGAACGAGGCTACAGGTAGTCCTGAAGAGCAATCACAACGACCTAGCGAAGCCACGAGAACTCCTGCGAGTGACCGTGAACGCACCTCATCTCTCACCCTCACCTCTAGACTCTCTGGAGCAATCGACCATGATCAGACAATGGATATAGATGGTACCCCGCTGGAAAGTTCAGATCCATCTCCCTCTTCTCTACAGAACAAGTTTGAATCTCCGCCCGCTATGCAGGGCAAGATTGAAGATCATCAATTTATCATGACTCCAAGGCCGAACCAGTCCGTCACTCACTATATGTCACCGATAGATCAAGCTGTTATAAATTCTTCGCGTCCTGTAGCCCTGTCAGAGTTGTCTCAGTCGCGAAACTCAACGCGTAGGGCAAGTGACCAGCATGGAAATAGTTTTGGAGCTCCGTCACAATCACCGGTCGTGTCTGACGCAGAGCGGAAAAAACGGGATAAACATCGCCGACATCCGCAGATGACTTACAAAGACGCCCGCGCTAGGGACCAACAGCCGCCGCCGAATAGTCTATTTGAGCAATTCAAGGGGCCATCAGGCGAACCGAATGACCCGATTCAGCTTGATTGATCACCTCTGTCTAACTTCATATTACACACCGATTTTTTTCGACATCTTTCTTTTTCTCATTGTTGTTTTCAAATCGCTATCTAAAACTCCAATTTATTAAGCCTTGGACTTTGTTTTAACGTAGTTAAGATCTCATATTTCAAGAGAGTGAAAAGACTCAACATAAATGGAACAATATTAATATGAAATGTGTCTTGGTGTTAAACATTCGACAAGTCGAGGAGTCAGCAGTTTGAATTGATTATTTCAATCATTTCGATGAACAAAAGTTGTATTGATAGTGAATAAATTTGTTCCAAATTGAATGGTTTGCAAGAATATTACTCAAACATAACTTAACACAAGTCAAATTACTGTCTTGGTTTACCTGAGTTGAGGGATCAGAGACTTGTATATCAAAAGACAAGTCACAAACTACCATCCTGATGCACTTGAACAGTTTTCAATCACTTAGGGCGTGTTCACTGAAGGAATTTCTGACCGGAAATCACATTCTGTAAATTTTTTAATGCAAAAGTGAAACATGCACCACCAAATAAACACTCTGAATTTAATGTGATTTCTCACCAGAAATCTCATTAGTGAACGTGCCCTTATTACAACATCCAAAAGGACCAAAACATGCCACATTCACCACATGACCTCTGACAAGTTTACAAAAAAATCCCCTGGCACTGAAGGGCAACTGTTAAGCATGTTTTCAAACTCTCTTCTAGTTGTATGTACAAATGAGAAAGAGACTTTTGAATACTTTGTGGGGTTTTTTCCTTGTAAAATTCTGTCTAAAGATTTTTAAAATTTTATTTCAAGTAGTGTAATTTGATTTACAAATAAGTAGTAAAATTATAGGACAGCACTATTTGGTGCCGGGTTGAATATTACCCAACGCCCGCTTTTTTCAGGGCTTTACCCGTCAATTTTGTGCATACCCGCACCCGTCTCAGCCAAATGTAACCGCAGCTTGCAGCCAAAGAGGGCTCTACATCACCAAACTGCCCAAAAACAAACTTACAAGCTTCTGTAAAAAATTACAACCCTTTTTGGTTTTTCATCATCTTTGAATAATAATCAAAACAAATGTCGGATTCCTCATTGCTTTTTGGAGAAGCAAGTACGGCATCACAAAATCTCCAAAACTCTTGATGAATAATTTTGGGATTGTTCATTATGAATTCTTGAATGTCCTCCGTTTTAGACCCAAATAAGTAAGCTGTTCCATCTTCTTATTCTGTATTGGTTGCCATCATCAATCCATGGGTTCATTTTCCCACAATTTCCTTGATTTGTTGACTTGAGGAAGAAGGCAAATAAGTTGGTTTGAGAAGTTCAGGAAATCAATCCTGGATTTTTTGAAATCTCCTGCTAAGGTCATCTCTTTTTTGTTAGTCTAACTTTTGATTCACTCCACATTCAGTAAATTCCTGTGAGACTTTTTGTAATCCTTTCCAGAATTCATACAATGTGATGTCCATATCGGCAGCATTAGACAAACCTAAATAGCAGCAGCAAGTCTGACACTTCTCATAGGATCAGATGATCTTGAATCAAGCTCTGCCTTATTTATGTTCAGCATTGAATAAATGTGATTTATTTGTTGTTTTGTATACATACATGACAATTTTGATGTTTGTCTTGTTGAATATGTACATGAACATAGGGCTGCAACCTGGCCTTGGGGCGCCACCCGGCCTTGGTGAAGCCTGAAGGCCTTCCAACATGGATCAGGGCTAGGCAGGACACACCCTGAATCTGACGCCTCGGGGCCAGGCAGGGCCAGGGGCTGTTTTTAGCCACAAAAACCACTCAGAGAGTCATTATTTCATTTGACGAAATTGTAAAAGAGTGATATACATGGGATTTTTTGAAGGAAAATGATCGGCAGCCCCGGTGCCCGACCTGCCCAAGGCACCCTCAGGGCGCATTTGTGATTGTCAGCACATTACGTTTGGCGGCCCCAGGGCACGTACTGTGAGCGCTTGCGGGGCCGGGTCTGGGTTGCAGCCCTACATGAACATGACACCACAAGAGCCCTAGCTGTGGCAAGAGAAATTGAACCATCAATGGTCACAGCCCGGCTTGGAAGTAAACCGGGCTGTGAGAATTTAACTATCCGGCAACTGGGTGTTGGACCTGAAAATCTGTGCACAAAATAGTGACGTCCAAATTATAACTTTATCAAACCCAATTGATGAATCTGACTTTGTAAATCTCAAAAGCAAATAATAACTCACAAATCCCCACTTGTGAAGCCCCCTCATAGTTTTTAGTTGGAAAGTCTCAAATTTTGCACTGTTGAACTACAGGAGTCCAATTTGTGTAAAATTTTAAGTCATGTTAGTTCAACTTGAATAACTCTGATGATCAGGATTCAGGAGTTGTCTCACAGAAATTTTGACACTGAACTTAAGGGTGACTTCAAAGGAAAGAAGTTGAGTATGTTTGTACATACAAAGTGTGGACATGGATTTGAAGCCCAAATTGGATGGACAGTGACTGCTAGCTTGAGTTGATGGACTCTGCTGCGGATCCTTGAATGAATCATCAGAACCCCTTCTTGTCTGACTAAACAAGATGTAATTTCATAGACGCATATAAGAGCTGCAACGACAGGAGGCATACTTATCAAAATGGCTGCGAGTCATAAGTATGGATCTTTTGGTCTTGGACATTTCATGTTCTATCGATGTCCAAGCATTTCTCACATCTCTCTACTCTTGATTGCTATCAAGTGTCACTTAAGATAACCAAGTTGACCGTGATAGTTCAATTCTCATACCACAAGACAAATTTGACTTATCACATGCTTGATGATGAAAGTTTTTTTTGCTTTTGGAAAGATCTTCAATTTTCGGGGATATTTGATTTTCTTCTCTTCTCAATGGTGTTCACAATCTAAACAATATATATAACAAACTATAATAAAGGTAATTGATAGATTTGTTTAACCTTTGATGAATTTAACACCTGTGATTTGTCAAGCGAGGAGAAGACCCGAGGATCAACAACTGTACGAAGGGTAATTCAAGATGAAGAGAGGATTCTAACCTTTCTCAATGTTCTTCTTCAACTCAGGTAAACAAGCTTTGATCAATTCTTCTTCTTCAGCACTGATCGATCCCATTGGTAAGATGTTCTTCACACCATCCGGACCAAGTTCGACATTGCTAGCAAAGTATTCGACACCCTCTGATTCGTAGAGATGGCTACGAACAAATGTTGGCTCAACAATACCCTTAGCACCACCAAGAGCCTTGAGTAAACTCTCAGCAAAGATAGCAGCAGCATAGGCCATCGAGAGGGTTGCTGAACCGGATCCATCCTTAGCTTGAACAACTTCATCTCCACCGAATTGGATTCGCTTAACGAGAGCCTTGTAGGCTTCACCAGTGACACCCTTGCCTTCGGAAAGTTGAGAGAGTAGAGGACAGATGGTAACACCAGAGTGACCACCCACCACTTGAACTCTTGTCTTCTCGGGTGATGAACCAGCGATAGACGATAGGAAAGCGGAAGCACGGACGACATCAAGGGTAGTGACACCAAAGAGGCTAAGAGAAAGAAGGTGCCGAAAAGGTCAACACGTGAGTTGAGGAGCTGAGAATGATGATTTCATTGGGATGTGAGAGCTAGTGATCTTACCGCTTGGGGTCATAGACACCAGCTTTCTTGTAAACTTCACCAACGATTGGAACGGTCGAGTTGACGGGGTTGGCGATGATGAGCATGTGTGCCTTTGGACAAACCTTTGCAGCTGCAGTAGCAAGGTCTCGGACGATGGAGGCATTGGTCTGAAACGAATAAGATCACGTGGAATAGTAAGAAATTAGATCACTAATGAGTGGTCAAAAAGGGAATCAGATCGTTGAGTGATAAACCTACGTTGAAGAGGTCATCTCGGGTCATTCCTGGTTTCCTTGGTACACCAGCGGGGATCAGAACGATTCCAGCACCATCGAGGGCTTTCTCGAGGCCATTGTTGTCAGGTAGATAACCTTTGCAGGTCGCGGAAGTGTTGACGTGAGACACGTCCTATTTTTCAAACAATACAAAACACCTTGAGATTATGATTTGAGCTGAGTCCTGAACAAGTGATCACTACTTACGGCAGCAACACCAGGGGCACCTCTAACATCGTAAAGAGCTAGGTCAGAGACCAATGAGCTCTATAGATCGAAACATGTAGTGAGGTAAGTTTCTGTGATCAAAATTGAAGTCTGATCAGATCTGGAGGATTAAGAAAGTACATACCTGCTTCATAAGAAGACTGAGAGGCTGTCCAATTCCACCTGAATCAAATCAAGATTGTAAAATCAAATTTGATCAGAACGGCAGTTTGGAATTGAGAATCAGAAGAAGTTGTTTACCAGCTGCACCCAAGACTGCTACTTTGGTAAGACTTGAAGACGAAGATGAGAAGAAACGTGATGAAGAAGCATTGCTGAGCCTTAAGGCAGATCGAAGAGGGGTTTGAAGAGTTGCCAACATGATGCTGATTTGATTTGGATGGTATTGGTTGAAGATGGTAATCAAGAAACTCAATCGATCGATCAAATCTTAACCCCAACCCAGCCCAACCCGCTCCTATCCGATCCGACATCACTTAAGTACATAAGCTAAATTACACAAACACTTGTATTTATGCCACAATTGGACAATAGGGGTACACAAACTTGAACACCCGACCTAAAAACCCATGGACAAAACCCATGACAACCTGATTGTTTTTTGGGTTTTGTCCTTGGGTTTTCCGCTTTCCCGTTGGACAAAACCCAAAAAACAATTGGGCTGTCATGGGTTTTGTCCATGGGTTTTCAGGTCGGGTTTTCATGTTTGTGTACCCCTAATGGAGTCTGACTCTGGAGATGCTCTGACAAAGTCATGAAGAAGAACATTGATGATGCTACATAAAATGCCTTAAAACCAAAGTCTGATAGATCCGCACATCCAATATCTCACACCACACAGGAAGGTAGCCAATAACAACTTGAAAGGTACAGCTGCTTTGGCAATGATTGATTTTTTTTTGAAAATGTGCATTGCCACGGTGTTCAATGCCAATCAAAAATTGCTTTTACAGGGTTTGTGCCCTCCGTATTCTCAAGATTAGCAGAGAAACAAAACTTGGTCACAAAGAGGCCAGATTTCTTGCCTTGATGCACTTTTCAACAAAACATTTATTCTCAAATTGGCTGTAAATAAACCAAATGAACCAAAAGGGGAGAAATTTCACAAGAATTGGTGATGGTATTTGGGGATTGCAGCGGCCCATGAAATGTTTGAAATATTTTATCAAGTATTGTGAAGGAAATTGTAGTTATGGATATTGGTTGTTAGCAAAGATAGCTGCATTGGTAACAAATATGGTTGTCAGCTGTTGTTTACATACCTTTTGTATATAAGATACAGTTTTGTAGTACAATTTAAGAGGGAAGAAAAGTGTCCATGATTAAGCAAGCTTTGATTGATGAGAAAATAAAACTTACAGATGACAGTCCTTTCAGCTTTTGTGTAGGCATCAATTTTTTGCTTGCCAATGTAACAAGCTAAGAGCGCGTTCACTTAAGCGATTTCTGCTCAGAAATTGCTTTTTGTGAATTACAGAAATTGCATTCTACAGAATGCGTTCGTTTTCTTAATTTGACACATTCTATAAATTGTAGAATGCTCATAGAAATCGATTTTTAAGCCGATTTCTACAATTCGATAATAGCGAATTTTTTTCGATTTCTATTCTTTCTGCCCTCTCGATGACTTTGGACAAGTCCCCGTGTTACCATAGGCCACCATACAAAACCCATCAAACCCCATCAAAACCATCCAGAAGTATACCAAACCATGACCGATGCACTCCATCATTCCCCCTTTGATCACTTCACGCCTTCAATCGCTTCTCAACAACCACTTCTCACTTCTCAAAAACCACTTCTCACTCCTCAACAATCACTTCTCACTCCTCAGCACTCGCTTATCACTTCTTGCTCCTCAACAATCACCTCAAAAACATCCAACAGTAACTAGAACAACAGTTGCGGTGAAGAAGCTACCGAACAACCATCTCTACATCGCAAATTGATCAGATATCTTCGACATTATCGTTTCAATGTTCTATATGATTAGCTTTCCATCCTCAAATTATCTCTCTTATTCATTAATCAATCTCTTGTTTCACAAATGTCTTAACAATACATGAATCTCGGTTGAAACTTTCATTTAATTTACTATCACTTCCAAGAATGAAATATCATCTATCAGTATATATATCTGAATCCTATGTGTACAATGGAAAAATATGCCCTGTTTTTCCTTTATTTGTATCTTACTCACAACATTCATCTTGTACTCTCTTTTGTTATTTTATGTTATTTTATGTTGTTGGGATCGTTCAGTGTTTATAGGCTGGTCAGAGTGTAGGTGTTGGTATCATATTTGTCGAATGAATGCAAAGAATCATATACTTGAAAGAGATTGATTTGATCTCGTTTGTGGAAGTTGCTTGAGAGTTACCTAGATCGAGCACTTTTTGATCTTGCTGTGCTTAGGATCTGGCAAGATCGAACGCTTTTCACGAGCTTTTTGATCTCAAAATTTCAAAAAGTGAAATTAAGTCGTTTTTTCAAAAAAAGACTTTCGTACATGTACAAAAGTGGTGCCTTAAAAATCAATTTCTACAAAACCGCGCTAAGTGAACGCGCTCTAAACCATTGACACACAGAAAACTTTCAATAAGAAACTCAATGACAGGAATGGAAAGAAAAGATTATTCAACATGAAACTGACCACAATTGCCCAGGATAGGGTTGTGATCATACATGAAATATTTTTGACAAGTTATGCTCTTGTCATTGGATTTAATGAGCTGGCAGCCCAACATCACAATTGATTTAGTGCCTAACATTGAGAGGTAGAGATTGATGCCAGATTTTCAGCTTTTCAGTGCCACTATGAATCAAGAGGAATAAAGTGTGGTCTATACACCACTGGATTTTGATGCAATCTTTGCAGCTTGAAGTACTGCATTTAACCTGGTAGTTCTCTGTTACTTTACGTGCTTTAAGTGTGACGAATTGTGAAAGACAGCCACATTAGCCGTGAGTGTAGGTCATACAGTAGATATAAGGCAACAGTGTTTTGATTGAGATTGCATACCTGCTTTATCACCATTGGATGAGTACCCTGCTTGACACACATAAATTGTGCTGTTGCCTGCCTTCAAGCCTGTAAGGCACAAGGACAAGAGCAATACCAGAACCGCTCCACAAGATATAGCGGTGTCAGAGCAATATTGGTGCGGTTCTTACACCACTATATTGACCACTATATGTAGCAGTGGCACCGCTCTGCCATCCTAAGGCCAGAAAAACCAATAGTGATCTGACCGCTCCAATACAAGTTGTGTCTGAGGGTACTCCAATATAAGTATTACCCCTCATAGTGGCAATATATAGCGGTATTGGAGCGGGAAAAAACCATCCGCTCTGATACCTTGTGATATCTTTTTTTAAAAAAAAAATTGGTTGAGTATTCCTTGTCTCATAGTGGTTACTCCGCTCCAATACCAAAATGGGTTGAAATCCATAGTGTATCAGAGCGGCTCTGGTGTTGACAAGAGTATGAAGGATATCTTTAGGAGGTGGTGGTCCATATTTATCTGAGCAAGAGAAAAATATAAGTTCAAATGTGGTAATCTGACTTGAAATAGTCTTAAACATGCAAGATATTATGAAGAGAAGATTATCAAGGAGGAAGTGTGTGGTTGGGATGTAAACTCATATTTGCATCTCCTTCTTTATATGATATTTTACTCCTACTATCCACAGCTACAGGACTTGGCTCAATGGCATTGTCTCTGGTGTGTGGCAAAAAAGAAGTTCCACCCAGGTGCAGTCTTGGCCTTTTCTTGTCTACAACGTTTTGATATTCTATTGACTGGGTGAGTGTGTAATTCAAAGAATATCAATATATTTTATCTAAACATGTAGGCCAACACCAGATTAGAAGATTGGGGATCAAGTTTGGCTGAGTAGTTAAAAATTATCCGCCACTAGACCAAGTCCTAAACTAGACCACAGGTGGCGAGGCCCGTTTGATATCACTGACAAGGATTCGCAATCTGCCTATAGATCGAGACTTCCAGCAGCAATGAAAGGCATACATCCAGTCTTTCACATCTCATTGTGGCAAAAACAACAAGTAGATGAAATTGAAGGAAGACTACAAGAACATCCATCACATATCACTATTGAAAGAAGTGAGGAATGGGAGGTGGATGAAACATTGGATTGTAGAGTGAGAAACAGGAAGCATGAGTACTTCATTAGTTGGAAAGGCTTTTAATACTGAAGATAATTTGTGGGAGCCTTTATCAAATCTGAAGAATATAAGTGATTTAGTGAGTGAATTTGACATCAAGTTTCCCAATACGGCAAAGAAATTTAGGAGAAGGTGGAGAAAACAGTAAGTGGGTTAAGCTTTTTCTCACTGAATTTTTTGAATGCTACCTACGGGAGGAATGTAGAATTTGCAAGAGGGAATAGTGTTATGAATCACTCATGTACCACAGGTGAAATACATATCACAGATGACTCATTAAACTGACGAACAGTGGAAGGGCCTGTTGTATACTGCATCCAACAATCAATCATCATTGGGCAGAACACCCTCAGAAGGACATCTCAATCCTTGTCCCCAAATTAACCCTGCTCCTGGTCTTTCTAACAAAATATATGTCCAGCTATGAGTTGAAGGATCATTCATTCAGAACAAATATCTTGAAGGGCTTCTTCTTATAATAGTTTCAAGTGTCCACACAAGATGACCAAGCATTTTTTTGGTATGATCTATTAATTCAAATTTACTGACAATGACCACAATCTAATAAAAATGAAAAAGAAACTAAATTCAGTGTCCAAAGTAAGTTTTGATAGAAGAGAAAATCCAACTGACTCATGAATCCATTATTAACTTTATTACATGCATAAGTGTTATCACGAGTGAAACAAACTACATTTCACACGTAAAAAAGAAAAGGAAAAAAAAAGCCAAACTTGAATAAGAAACTTTTTCAAGACAAAAAGCAAAGAAAACATGATTTCCGAATTCATGATATGTACTAACGATAATTTTTCTTGTTAGCGTTATAACCATAAGCAAGACATTCTTGAGTACTATGGTGTTTTCCAGTAGATCCGATTGGCTCGCATTCCGACATTTCAGTATGTGGTTTGACTAAGATCAAAATTTATCAGATGGTGATGGTCAGCTCATTAGCTTTGGATTTAGATCAAGGTGAATTAAAATCGGCGTGTAAAAATACTTACAGGTCCCTATAGTGTGGCAGGTTCTTGATTCACATTCATACTGAGTTGAGCCTGCAGGTAGTGGCCGATATTCGGTTATGCACACTTTAAATATGAACAATCATGACGTAGGTCCAGGTGCGCGATGAGTATCGAACATGCTAGAGATTGTTCTAACACAATGAGAGTTTAGTTGAAACCACATACATGAAGTGCCGTTAACCACAGAGTCGACCGAATACCCTGCTGCACACAAATATTCATTGAAATCCTCACTGTCCTGTGCCTTCAAGCTATGAATGCACAAGAACAGGAGTAGATTTAACATCTTCGGGAAGAGGTGGTGCATTTTTAATCAAAAGATGAACTGCAATGGTTCTTGACTTGCAAGAGAAGGAACGATATATGATGAAGAGCGGGAGTGAGTCAACATGAACTCGGATTTTCATCTGCTTCTACAAGACACATCCTCAGGACTCGGCTCAAGGGTGTTTCCTCCGCCATACGAAGGCGCACGGCAAAGAGGAGCGCCACCCACGTGCATTCTGACGCTTTTGTATAAGTTTTGCTTACAAGTTCTTTGCTTTGGGTTTAGCCTGGTTTAGCACGAGGTAGGAAGCCATATCCCTTGTGGACTCTATTGGTACATGATCAGAATCAAATGAAAAAAGCTCGAAGTTGAAGTCAGTCAAGACTAAGTTGATCACGCATGCGGCATCTTCCAAGAACTTTTATGGAACCCTAATTTGCTTAATCGATAATCAACTTAACAGCGTCAAAGAAAAAACATTTGATTAGAACAACTTGATGATCATCAAGTTTTTATACGACCATGAACCACAAAACAAAAGATAAAAACTTAAATATGCAATCTATCTTTTACACATTTTATGAAAGACAAAAGTTGATGAGTATGGAAATACTAATCATTGAAAATACGTAAAAAAATTACTATCAACTTTTGATAAATTCCAAAAAAAACAAACAGACAAAGAATGAAAAAAAAATCACAAATTATTGCATCTCCATACTATCTCTATGTATGTTGTAAATAATTATTGAAATTCTATTCTAAAGTTCAAATACATTTATTAGAAAATCTAAATTCTCAGGAAAGGTGAAAAGGTAAGACAAAAAACTTCAAACGAAACATTCTTAAAACGAAATCTAATTCTTCTTCTAAAACCTGATCAAACCATAAAACCCAACCCCAGCTTCCTAAACCCGATTCCTTAAACCACTTCAAACCTCAACTAGTTTTCTCTTTCTCATTTTCATTTTCATTTCTATTTTCATTTGTCTTCAATCTTGAATGAGCTTGATGAATAGCTCTTTCGATTTCTCTTTCACAATGTTCATTCCACTGAAACTCTTCTTTCAATCTCAAACTCATCTCTGTGTCCAAAACCATTCCATCCTTGCCTTCTTTACTTAAACTCGATTCATTATAAACTTTATCCAAAAGTTTTGATTGTCTTGGGATGATTAATCCATGAGACATCATCGTGTTTAAGTATTTGATGGCTCTGTAGGCTGAATGGGTTTTCAAATCAAGGGGATTTATCATTTGTTAGTTTGATATGGATGTTTGATTAAAGGAATGAAACTGAGTTTGTGACTTACCTCTCCAATGACTCCATGCTCGCCACCTAAATCGATTTCACAAACAACCCCCACCAAACCAAATCAGTAAAAGTTATCATCTTCCACCCATCACTCTTCTTACCAAAAAAAGCAAAAAGATCTAAACAAATAAAGAACTCACATAAGATAAAAGAAAGGTAAGTTTGGAACAATAGGTAAGATGGCAAATGGTAAAGTCAAAGGAGACATCAAAAGATTGTATTTCATCCATTTTTGATGAAATGGTTCTTTTTGGCGTAATGTGCTTTTTAACCAATCTATTAACTTTTCAGAAGGTCCAAGTAAACTTGGATAAAGTAATTCGATCGGATCAATCTAGTTTTACCAAACGCCCAAAAGACTCGATCAATATTGATAAACCTTATAAAGAGAATGAAGAATTAACAAACTGATTCCGATGATTTGATGGATTTTTCTTCTGGATGATTCGCTTCCAGGTTTGATAATCTAGTATTCGGTACGGCTGATGGTTCAATCGATTTCATAGCCCATTCTTCAAATGGTATCTTATCCATCAAACCTTCACCTGTCATCTAAAATCATCCTTTACAGAATTCGTAGGTTGATTAACAACAGATCATCAAATCGAACCATCAAAGACATCGAGAAATGAAAACCCCGGGCCAAAATGATAAACAAAATTCAATAAAGTTTAATTAGTATTGGATGTCCCAAAGAAAAAACTCTCAATTCGACCTGATGCAAGTCCTTTGGATGACCCCGACTTCATTTGATATCACAAACATACATCAATTCAATTCAATCTTTGGCTCACGTAGATCTTATACTTCCAATTAGTTTTAGAAGCAGTACCCATCTTCAACCATTGTTTAGCACCAAAATCAGTCATCCGATTAACCCATGCTTTTTGTTGATTGGTAGTGGTGGTTGAAGTTAAATTAGAATTTGAATTCAGATTAGGATTATGATGATAAAGATAAATCAATCCATAGCTTTCGGTTGGTTTAGGTCGAGTTAATGGTAATGCAATTAATTTGATAGCTTCTTTTTTCATGATTAGTTTATGTTTGAGGTGAAGATGAATTGATGAAGGTGTTTGAGGTATTTTCTTGAGAAATTGAAATCAAGTGTATGGTGTGTGTTGATCGAATTTGATATTTTTGAGTAAAGTTCAGAACCTGACACAAACCATGATCAAGACTATCAAGAACCCATACAAAGATTCGTTGCCATGGCTTGTCAATCAAAACTCCTACAAATTCACAATCAGCCAGGTGCATTGTCAATATATCAAGTCCCTCACACAGGAAGGGCGTGCTCCACTTTATATTTTTTCAGGTTTAAGGTTCACTCGACATTCAGCCATCTTGTTGATACCTTTACTCTGAACTTCGAGCCCATTTCAACCCAAAGGCTAAACTTATGCAAAGAACAAAAAGGCTACACATTAGAACAAGTTTCAAACACTTGATCATAATCAAATCTCACAAAAAAGAATTACTTCATCCATGTGATTCAAAATTATACCAAGATCTCTTTAAACTCATCCACTTATCATAATCAACTCCCAAAGAACCAAAGAGACTTAAAATAATGTACAAAACTACAAACCCCTCCCCCCACAGCTCGTCCCATCCTACCATTCCTTTATGAACAATCGTAAGTTTAGATAAACGATTTGGTATCTCACATCATATCAAGAAACTCAAACAAAAAAATCAGACACACACACACATCCAAACCCACAAAAAAAGATGATGATCAGTAGATTCTGAGAGAGAGAGATATAAAAACAGTATGAAAAGAAGAAGAAAAAAAGATGATCTATGAATTTATAACCAACAACTAGGTATCCGACTTACAACCTTTGACCAATCTTTCAATCTAGGTAAAAACTTAAATTGATCTACACCATGTTTTTCATTTCCAGGACTTTCTAATCTGTTTTGATGTCTTAAAGATCCACCTTCATGATTGTTATTAGCCAAACACCAAAACAAACTAAACTGATGATCACTTCCAATAATCCTTCGATCTTTTAATTTATAATGTCCATTACTTCTTTCCCAATACCATTTATTCACCGGATTCGAAACTTTAGATCTCCAAATCAAATCCATTGGAACACCTTTACCTCCTAATCCTCCATTATTATTTAATGAAGTTGGACATCCTAATCCAAATGATTCATCTCTCAAGGCTCCCCATAAGAAATCTACAATCCCTTCTCCTTGTAAAGATGGTAAAACTGCAAATTTATCTAAATATGCTATTGGACTTTCTTCTGGAAAAGTAGATTGTTCGTTTATCCATTCATCTGTTACTACTGCTATTCCTTGATAATCTCCTGCTATGATCACAAATTTCATGGTTTGACTTAATCGATCGTAAAATGCTGAACGATTGAGTTTTTGTCGAAAACTGGCTTCTAATAATTCTGTCATCTTCATTTGATCAACTTGTCCAAAATCACGTAACACTCGAATCGGAAGTCCTTTACGGATCAGTGTAGGTGTGGCTGGTCCAACGTCTCGATGAGAACTCAAAAGCGTGGCGTGACCAAGACTAGGTGAATGAGCTGGTTTGTTGGTGATCAAGTTGGCAATCAAACTTTTTGGTGAACGATGAGAAACAATCAAAGCAGATGCTTCATTAGGTAAGTAACTTAAACAAGTTCTAGCAAGTTTCAGACTAGCAAGTGAGGTTGGATGACTAGTTTTCCAACGAAAGGTTTGATGAATAAAATCATACTCGGATGCTAAATTGATAGAGAGATGAGGATGACCGTTCCGAGCAGGTGATGGGATTCCTCCTTCACGATTAATGATCATCAATCGAAGTGGTGTGAGATCCATGATAGCCCGACGACTTTCGGTTTGACCAGTAGCTAATCCAGCAGCAAGAGCTTTTACAGCATCATCCGCTGAGATACAAACACTTGCACAGGACGAGTTTAGCGCAACAGGTGAGATCACGGGGATTTCACTATAAATAACGGCTGAACGTAAGCTAGCCAATGATTCTACCCATACTTCAGGACCATCTCCACCCACTCCACGACCATCGCCTAACCTAAAGATATCCGCTGGCATCGGTCTAGTCGCACCTCCTCTAGCTTCAATCATATCAGCCAGTCGATTTGATTCATGAGCGATTTGAGCACGTAAACCTTCACGCCACTCGGGTGAAGGATATGTTGGAAAAGATTTGACTTGCCAACTTTCATGATCGATGACAATGATAGGTACAAGACCCAGAGTTTTGAGATAAATGATACCATCCACAATACTCGCCAATTGACGATCAGTAAAGGGGCCTTGAATCTTCACTAGCCCAGTATGTTGAGGAGAGGTATAAAGGATTGAGTCGGCTACAGAAACCGGACTGCTCACAGCAGCAGTGACGGCAGCATCTGCTTCCCTGGCTTGATTAGAGGTGAATTCGTTACTGCTTGCTACTGTTGCAGTTGTGGGCATGGCTTCTTCAGTTGGGAAAGGTGTCGGATGAGGACCCTGAGGCTGAGAGGATTTAGATTCCTGTTCAAGTTTGATATGAGATAACTCCGGATTCGTCGGAGTTGGCGGAATTTGAGCACGTTTAAGCTCATCAGGTTTTGTAGAAGAAACTTGAGGAGCAAACGATTTAAGGTAAACACGAGAATCTCGTGCAGATGGATGTGCTTGTAAAACCGAAAGGATAAGTTCCTGAGTTTAACCAGAAGGTATTGAAGGACCTGATAAGTCGATTGGACAATGAAGTCTCCTGGAAAAATGTAAAATAGCTGACTCGATGAAGCTTATCAGCTGAAACTCGACCATCTTCTTCTCGTTCGACTACAGACTTTGAAGCTAAACGATGATAAGTTGCAATGGTATTGAAAGAAAAAGGAATCGTAGGTTTGTTGATGGCAGATAAAGTTGACTTTGAGCTTGAGATGACTGAAAGTTTTGAAGGTAACATGTTGATTTGATTTGATTTGATTTCTCAAGTTAGAAGTTGAGATTCTTGATGATTTGATTAGTAAATTGAAGTTGATTGATGACTTGCTAGTTCATATTAGTTTGTTTTGCTTGTTTGCTTGCATGCATGAGTTTCTTAATTTGAATCAACCTTTGCTTTCGTCAGTTCATCACTTCAAGAATATAAAAAGACTTGAATGGAATAAGTAGACTTGCTTTGAGATAAATAAAGCTATAGTACTCAAACTAACTAACTAACTATATGACCCATGAATGATCACTGTCTTGAAATCCTGAATCGATCTTGACCATGAATGCGTTTTTGAATTGACAACTTTCAAATCATCTTCTTATGTAACCCCATCATTTGGTACGTAAACCCATCATACATCTACCCACTCGCTCTGTGAAATAGTATGAAGTGATCTTGATCATGAGGGCTGGATCAGCATTCCACCCAATTGGATTCAAAATATCCTTCACAATCTACATAATGGGTGCTTGTCATTGAACCTCACTCTCTCTCAAGCCGTAGATCAACAAAACCTTCAATCTACGGCCGTATCAAACAAATCCAACTCTTTGTTTCCAAAACTCTTCAAGAATCTCATGCATTACATTACATTACTTAAATTGGTTAATTTGTAATCATAAAGGATACACTAATAATGATGAATTCACGATAAACTATTCGATTAAATGCAATGCAATATGTACTATGAATGGATTTAAAAAAGTGACTAATAAGCTATAAGATAAGAGAAAAAGAAAAACGTTCAATATGCTTTTGGATTAAACCTCTTAAAACGAGAACAAGACAAACAGAAAATTGTCCAATCTATAATAAACTGATACGTGTTACGTTTGAATGCATCCAATCCAAACTCAGATGATTTAGTCCGTTGGATTAGATTGAATCGAAAACACTTCTTCACCTTCCACAGGTAAGAATCCATCAAAAGGAGTCGTACTTTTCTTTAATTCTGCTAAATCTTCACCCCAATCTTCTAATGTACCAATCACTTCATCTAAATCGGTATGAGGAATCAATTGTCTAAAGAACAATTCTCACATTCATCAGTATGGATGTGAAGATGAGATTTGAAGGATTTCGAAAAAAAAAAAGGTATTTACCGTCTAGGGATCACTTGTAAGGCATGTTTTGCATCAAGACTTGTGTCTAATGGAATTCCATGGGCTCCTTCTGATAAAGAGATTCGTACTGAATGTTCTTTCTTACCACAATCACCTGAGATCCTTTCGTAAACTTCAAAAGAAAGATAAGACTATCAAACCAAAGATCAGTTTCATGCTAGTCTTCCAAAAAAGAGAACAAAGCCAAAGAACGTAAACAAACCATGTAATCCAATTCCAATACATCTCGATGTGCTAATTTCAAAGATGACATCTTGATCAAATTCACCAACGTATGCCTGCACAAAATTTCAACGTAAACCAATCTCAGACTTTTTGAATGTTCTTTCGAATGACAATTGAGAAATACAAACATGTGTGATTCTTTAGTAAAATAAAATCGTGCCAAACCATCTTGACTTTCTCGAGCGTCATTAAGATCTTCAAGTATTTTTTGAAGTAACGGTAAGGAGGTCAACAAACCGATCTCTCTTTTCTCACTTTTCTCTATCCCATATTCTGACGGAGCAACTGTAGTGATTGAAAAGATTCTTCAGTTTTCAAAGAACGCCTTGAAACCCCTAACAAGATCAGATGGTCAGAAGATAAAGAACGACTCACTCAAGTCAAATAACACCTTTGCATACTTATATAACTTTCTTAATCGGTCCAAACCTTCTCTCTCATTAGTCGATCCATCATCATCTTTGAGACTATTCTTACTGTTTCCGTCACCTACGGATGATCCGGGATACTTATTGGATGTTTTTCGATGATGAAATGGTGAAGCCGATGGTGATACAAAGAGAGATGAATCGACATTGGTACTACTTTGACGTGATCTCATCTTGAGTGAATGGGAAGCTGAAGGAGGTGTAGTGTGAGTCGTATCACTAGGCAACAATTGCGCTGAACCGGGCATATTGAGTGGTGGTGTATCATTGATGGATGAGGGGTAAGTTGAGGATGAAAAGATCGTCTCGAGAAAAGTCCGACTGTTGATCACCATTAGGAATTCAACTCATCACTTTGAAATTTCAGAGCTGGAATTGATGGGAGCTCACTTGTGCAAAGAATCATATTTAAGAGAATCATAAAGTTCACAGACTCTTGATGGATCTAATGCCCCATCACACCAATCACTAAAAAGCTTTTCCCAGCGCTCTTTGAACAAGAATGGGCATTCTCCACAACACCTACCAAGCCAAACCAAACCACCACCATGACGTCAACATCAGTCATTCTTTCGAGAAGTGGAGGGACATGCTTACCAGCGCGATTGGATTTGATCCACATCCAGCTCTTCCCAATTACGATTCATGATTTCACGCTGTTCTTTCAAGATCACAATGACTTCTTGCACAATCTGAAAGGAGATATCATCAGCTGAATGATCCCTTGATAACTCAAAATCGAGCTATAAAATGAAACGCACATCTACTGGTTCTTTGTCTGCAATTGGCCAATTAACTTCGGTGCCCTGATTATGCCTCAAAAGCACTTTCAATCGCTTCTTCACTTTATCCATCTACATGCGGAGTTTCGACCAAAGAGGTTAAGTACACTTTGCATCATGTTGTGGGTCAGAAATGCTACTAACCGGTTCTTTGGCTGCATTAGAATCATCCAGTAGATCTTTACGGATGATCAATGGGATCGGATTGGGTTCAGCAGTCTTGCTGTGGTGCAACTTAGAGCCTTGCAGCATCCCTCTGAAAGATCAAAACCGAGTGATTCGATTAATTCAAACCCGTCATGACAGGATCAAACGCAGCAGAGAAACTCACGCGCTGAATATTTCGGCAGTCGCCACAACTCGACTCCTGCTCAGAGGCAAGAGGGTCAACACAAACGCGACATCCAGAAAAGGATACTTGTAGCGGATCAAATGTCAAAAAAGCTTACTCCGAGCTAGAAAAGATTGTCACATTGTCCAGCATTGTCCTGCAGGTGATGTAAAGATTGTGAAAAACAAGATTTCAGGGGTCAGCGATCTGGATAAAGGTGATCAGATATATCCATCCCATTGCAACTCAACTTGCTCATCACTTTGAGATCTTGCGCAAAGTTCTCCCCAATATCTCTAGATTGATATCTAGCCGCATGAGTGAATTCACCACCCCACTTTACCACAATGTTCATCTTTTCCAATTCGGTAGGCGCAGTCTTTGAGAAACTAGGCTTCAGTTGCGCTTTGAGTCCTTGTTTACCCATTTTTGAATTTAAAATGAATTTTAATTGATTGAGCTTTGTCTGATCTGATCCTTCAATGTGGAAAGCTTCATCGGTAGCATTGGCGATGAGTTTAAGATGGGACTGAGTGCGTAGAATGATTTCGTCTGTTTTTCAAGAGGTCAGATCATTATGTCAGAAAACAGGCCTTATTTACCAATGGCGCTACAGGTCATCACTAGTGTCAACAACGATCTCAAACGCACCCGTACGACCTTGTAATAGTTTGAAAAACGGGTCTGAGCCGGGTTCCCCCACGAGGAAATTGAACTTTAATTTATCTGTAGTCATAGATATCAGCCAATGCGAAGAGGAAAGCGCCGAGTCTTTGAAAGACATACTTTTGGGTGTCCTATCAGCATGTCGAAACACGCAAACTGTACCCTTCAAACACCATGAAGCCGCTGACACGGGTCGTTTCTTCTTTGATTTATCTTTCACGGGATCTTCAGCGATAGGGAGCCTTATTGGGATCTTAGCTTTGGATGGCATAGCTTTCAAACAAAATTTTGACAGTGTGTCGGCGCATTTATCACTTGAGGGATTGAACTGGTATCAGATTTGTCTTCTAAGTTTGTAGCCAATCAATTTCTTCGCTTACTAGTAACTGTCATTGCCTTTGACAAAACTCCAGCCATTGACATCGATCACATAACTCTTGCCACGGACTCTCAAGATGTCAAACCCACAAATATTTTGACTAAAAGCGCAACTGATTCGACGTGCGATCTCTCGCTCTTCCGGCGTTAATTCGATGATATATCTTATTTCTTTACCATCCAAGTTTCTTTTTACAATGCCATCTACCACAGGTGATTTTCGAGTCTCAGCATGTACAATATCTGGCCCTAGAGTATAAATTTTGATATCTTCACTGTTATCGGTTTTCATAAACTCTTCATAGACATAAGATCCTTCGTCCCGGACCTCACAGAGGTCCGGGTCCAGGGTTGAGGACTGATTGGCAATCTGTACACCCGCGAAATGTAGGTCAAGTCAGTTCAAGTCAAACCAAAAAAATTGCTTGACAAAAGAGTATAATTTGTGAGAAGGCAGTCACGCAACTTTGCGAAACAATCGCCTGCCACCCATTCCGTTACCGAAATAAATGTTGATGTTATGATCTTCGCCGCTGACTGGCTTTTCAACAAAGGGTTTTTCAATCCGTTTCCCATCGATGATCAAGGCAGTGTCACCTTCGAGTTCAACAGAAGTGGGCACTGGACGCGGCTCGTTGAGCTTGATGCCCAGCCGTGTCTCCAACTCACTCGCCACCTCTGGATCTAAACGTGGTCCGCCGTCACGACTAAGCTCTAATCGCGCAGGTGTAGGGACCCCGATCTTGTCAAGTACTGCTAGCACTAAACGGCGATCCCAGAAGATCTATATTTGTCACTATCAGTGTCTCCATCTTTGTCCTCTGTGGCAGGGCGGTATGTTATATTTGAGGTGAAGAAGTACAAGCGCACCTTTTGTAGCGGAAGGTCATTGATTGAAATTGGCTTGCGCAATTTGACATACCGGATAGCTTTGTCCATAGGAAATCCTGTAGAGAAAAAGCTAATCAAGAAATCGCAAACAGGCCAATGTTCGACATCTGTGAGTTCATGAGGTCAAGGTTAGAAGACAGTCAGTCCGTCAGTGACCGTAACGCTACATCAGGGTAAGATTGTCGAAAACCATCTGATTTACCTTCGTCCATGATTACCTTGTCGCCAAAGATGATACATTCGAAACGATTGGTGGCGACGAGTCGCGACAAAATATTGCGCATTGGTTTCGAACGCGCTTTTCGATCCATAGCCGCAACTCCAATCTTGATCAGATGTGTTTCTTCATCAGACTCGGTGATATCTTCAGCTGGCTTGGCCTCTGGGACTGGAACTGGAGCCATCTTGACGCGTTGGAGAAGATGTCGCAAGGTGAATCGACGTGAAGACCCAAAAAGACTCTTGTTGGGTACGTTGAAAGGGATGAAGGAGCCTTCCTGGCAGTTGTGAAACGCCATTGTAGTGGTGAACGGAGGATTGGATTCAGTTTGGTTGATGAAGTAACAGAAACAAGGGACTTTTTTGCTCGGCAGGCGGTGGTACAACAACCTCCTTCCATGATGAACATGCTATAAAACAAAATGAGACTGACAATAAGACTTGATTTTCAGTTAACCCACGCCTAAACTGTGTGAATCATTCAATGGGTTTCTTCAGATCCAAATCGATGACGATGATGCTGTTTGATGTTGAAGAAGATGATCTTGATAGTTCTGAGAAAGTTGAATGTATGCTGGGGTGGTTTGTTTGTTTGTTTGTTTGTTTATGCAGACTTTTAGTTGAAACTCAAAGAACAGGTTTAAAATTTAAAGGAGAAGTGGAGTGGATCAACATCAGCTTCTCTGACTCTCTCACTGGACTCGGTCTCTAGACTCAGTCTACATAGAACCTAGTGCATTACAGTCACATCGGACCGGGTTTCTGCGGGTTCTTAGTGAAAAACCTTGGCTGACGAGTCACATGGTCACATGGTCACAATATGAACCGAAATCCTTTTATTTATTGATCTCCAAGATTACTTTGAGAGCACTCTCCGGAAGGACAAGTAAATTCTCAATGGAGACACACTGATACACATATGGTATCATTTGCTGGCCACTTGATCTGATGAATGGAAAAATCATTTCATGCAACTACATCCGTATTCATAATTGATGAACATTTGAAAAAAAACTGTTTGAATAATCACAGCAAAATGTAGATACAGGTGCTGCAAAGATAAATTAAGTTTTAACACAAGGAGACATACGCTGGCATACGGTATTGCTGTGACTCTTTAAAAGGTTTTTTTAAGTGGCCATCAATTATGAATATGGCTGTTACTTGGTTACTTTGCCTCTGTCAATTATTGAGATTGTCTAGCAGCTCTGAATGAAGGTCCACAAGGTTGGCAGCTTTCTAAATGGCATGAAGTACTTTAATTCTATAGAGTTAGGAGGTATCATATTAAAAAGCAGATTGATCCTCCCTAATGATTGGGTGGATTAGGGGATCTGTGAGGTCCTTTGGTGAAGTACATCAATCCTCTGCCAACATTTTTTCACCACCACAAACTCAGACTGAATGGACTAAATAAGTGCAAACCACATTGAGGCAATGAAGGGGACACAAAAGTTCTGCATCAACACACAAGTCCAAGGCTTTAAAATGGGAAAATTCTCTGCAAAGAAATCATGGGCCAAATGATCAGCTAACAAAGTCCCCCTTGGCCTAGCAGATAGCTAAGACTAGGGTGACTTACTGGCACCTTGTATACCAAATCAGGCATATGGGCCGGAAAAGTTTGGCTGGAGACTATGCGTGGCTGTTGAAGCTCAGATCTCTCAGTAGAGCTAATGAAGGGAACTTTTGTGCACCCACTTTTCCTATGTACACATACTTGATGGGTCTAACTCTCATCATTGGTGCAAGGCGAAAAAGGCACTTCAAAAGTGGGGTTTCATGTGACATCCTGGCCTGCCTGGTGAAAAACCTTTGACAGGCTTGACATTGACAGTGTGGTCATGAAATTGAATCTGTGGCAAAATTCACAATCACCTGGCTCTACAATGAGACATGGTGGATGATGGCAAGAAGCATAGAATCACTGAACTAGTTAGTACAATTGAGATCTTAAGAAGATCTTATGATCATAGTGTATGACTAGTGTTTGGGTTATCCATAACTTATTCATGTTATATCACTCAGTAGGATGATATCATCCTTTAATAATCTATTCCTCATGTTGTCTTAGTCATCTTATAGATCATTTGTATTGAGTGTACTTGGTGTATGAAAGACAAAGATCTCCTCAACTACTTGTAGCCTTTCTCTTTTTCTTCACAGTTTCTTACCTGTCACTTGGTGCAGGTTTGTTTTTTCTTGAAGGTCTTAGTGATTCATATCACTCTAGTTATACTAACTAGACATCCCTTCAGGCTTTTATCGTAACCACATTCAGTATTTTGTTTCCACATCAAAGAAGTAAATTCATAAGTCTTGCCCTTGCCATTGAACAAGTGAAAAGATGGGAGCTTTCAAACATTAATCTTGAATAGCCCTCAAAAAGAGGACCCCAAATTATCTCAGTTTGTTATCTGAATGGATTATTCAGCTTTGGGCATCTTTTTTGAAGAATATTCTAACAAGTGGTTTTTGCTGTCAACTACCATAGGTAAGTGAAGTGTGAATAATATGAGCATGTGCAGGATAAACAGGTACATAGAATAATTTATTGTTGTCTTCTATATATGTCACTTATCAATATTTCTTTTATCTGGAGTCAGCTTTTCAAATATATCTGGAAACAATTGAACTCAATATGCTCTTTGTCTAGTATTGCATACCATACTACATATGACCATATGGAGCAGTTGGGAAATTTTCCTACAGGTCATATCTGAGGTAAGCTTAACTAAGCCCCTCTCGGACGAGCGAGTAGTCGAGGGAGGGGCTTAAATGGGACTCGCGTTTCATGGCGAGAGAGCTCCAGAAATTAAGTACCTTTATGTACTTTTCTGGAGCTCTCCTCAAATACTCATTGTGGGATTTCTCAAGGTTCAGATATGTGTAGCTTCATGAGAAGCTACACAACCTCGTACCACTTTCAGCAAGATTTGTTGGAAGTAAGGGTATTCAAAACGGATTTCCAGTTTGTTGCAATGTGTAGCTGGCTATTTCAGACCAGGAGGCTGAAATGGCAGCTTCGTCGGAAACTACCAATTTCTTGACAAAACACCACAAGGGTTTCGTCTTCGTAAAAACAATAAAGGACCTCGCGCCACCGGGATAAGTGTCCCTCGATATCCAAGGGTTTTGATGAATATCTTAAGGGTTTTAGCTTTTATCCATTTTGGCGGCAGTTTCGGCGAAGGACCAAACATCCAAATCTCGGTGAAGGCCAGTACAGGCCTGTACTGGCATGCTTAGGCTGTTACAGGAGGACGTAAGAAACCATTTGCGCAACGTTTCCTGAAAGCGTCACAGCTCTCAGTTGTTGATGAAAGTGGTACGAGGTTGTGTAGCTCCTCATGAAGGAGAACATACCTGAACCTTGAGAAATCCTACGGTGAGGAATTGAGGAGAGCTCCAGAAAAGTACATAAAGGCACTTAATTTCTGGAGCTCTCCCGCCATGAAACGCGAGTCCGATATAAGCCCCTCTGCGAGGGCGCGGCGAACGCGCTAGAGGGGCTTAGTTAAGCTTATATCTGAGGCGTCTACTGGGTGCAGAGGCTGTATGTACTGACTTTTTGACTGAGCTTTGTGGCAATTTCTCCTTTTAGGAAGGAGATCATGATGATCATCAGTTTAAGTGAACGCGGCCTAAGTCACATGTGAACTTAATGAGGTACTTAATCATTAATGTGATTTGTATTTGAAGGCTGTGTCATGTAATTTTGGATTTCAGTACGTCACTCTTCGATCAAACTCTTGACTCATTCTACCACCAACTTACTTATCAACCTTCAAGCTCACAACACCTTTCGACTATCAATTCCAATCAACATTCAAACCATTCAAAATGTCTTTACTCGATAAATTCCAAGCTACGGCGAAAAAAGTTTGCATGACTTCAACTTCAGTCGATTTGATATCTTTACTTCTTCAACTCCTTGAGCGATCTTCACCTGATCATTCTGTGTTGGAAATGTTTTTGCCTATTGATCCATTCAGGTCGGAACCCAGGCGACCGCTTTCAGTAGAGATATGGCATCAATGGCAAATGATGGGAGTAAACAATTAGCCACAGGTTTTAAACTAGAAGCAGAGGTCAGCACTTTCTTGAATCTCACTTTTTAAATATTGATGAAGATTATTGATATTGACTTTTCATTCCAGTGTGAAAGAGCTGCCAAGATCCTTCAATCTTTCCTTGCAGATCCTGAAAACCCTGAATCGGCTTTGAATTCAATCCCGAAAGCTGTACTTCAAAACGCACAAGGTCTTCTTTCAAGACTTCACTCATTTCTAACTCAGTAGAAGCTAAAATGCTGATAATAGGATTTTGACTATCTTACATCTCATTCAGGCTTGGCGATCTTCACTATCTTGAAACTAGGTTTCGTTTGGTCTGGCAAAGCAGGTAGCTCAAAGCAACAGTCACTTTCTTATCTTTAGATCATGAGTCACCAAGTTTAAAACATATCTTGCGTGTTGTTCACCTTGATAGGCTCAGGAGTGGTACTTTCTCGATTAGCAGATGGTTCCTGGTCAGCTCCTAGTTGTATTGCTACAGGCGGTGTAGGTTTCGGTCTACAAATCGGTGCAGACTTTAGTGAATTGTCAGTCCTGTGTTGACCGATCTTCGTTCTGTTTCTGAGAACCGATATCTGATTGGTTATCTCTTCGTTTATGCGTGGTAGTGTGGTAGTATTGAACTCGGAGGAAGCTGTTCGAGCATTTGCCACCACTGGAAATTTGACAATCGGAGGTATTTAGCTTTAACATCTTATAGGCCCCTTTTTAGAACTCAACACTGATTTTGCGTTATTTAGGAAACTTGAGTGCGGCTGTTGGACCCATCGGAACAGGAGCAGCTGTGAACGCAAGCCTGCTTCATCCTGCTCCTTTGTTTACATACAGTAAAAACAAGGGTACAGATTCATCGTTTACACATAAGAGCTACTGGAATTGATCGTAGCCCTTACGCAAGGATTGATGTGATACTTTACAGGTCTCTTTGCTGGTATCTCTCTGGAAGGTACCGCACTAATTGAACGTGTAAGTTGCTTCTTACTTTTATAACACAACTGGTGTTGAATTTTCTTGCCATTTTGATACATCACAGAAAGATACCAATGAAGCTTTCTACGGCCAACGAATTCCTTCGCTCGACATTCTTCTGTGCGTCACACCCATGTTTAGAATGCTGCTATTGATTTACGTTGGTCTGATACACATCCTTTTGCTAGTGGTAAAGTGCCACCTCCCGAGGCAGCTTCAGACCTTTACGATGTAATTGAAACGGCCGAGCAAGTAGACGAGTCAGGTGTTCCACAGGAGTCATACGTCCCCTCGTCATTTAGTCCTCGTGACGCTGCTTCTGGTGGATCGGCGTCGACTTCACCCAACAATGCCAATGGGAAATCTACAGGTGGTACAACAAATCTGTTTGATGCTGGGGATGTTCACTGATGTGTTTAGAGAGAGCAAACATGGTAATCACTCTACTTTCAGATCCTGTTCATCTTGGTCGGTTGCTTAGTCAAGAAAAAACTCTTGATGATACTGATCTCAACATACACTTGTCATTACGTTTCTCTCTTATCAATAATCTCTCATGACCTAGTCTACCGGACGCCAAACTAAACCTATTTATTTTGTTCTTATGGGAATTGGCCATGTAAAGCATCTGACCTGTTGTATCGATTGAACCCTACTTGCCAATATCTCAGTAAGAAGAAGACACGTGTGTAGCAATTTTAAGTTTTCCACAAAACATCACTTGAGCATCAGCATTTGGAATTGGATCTGATCATCTGATAGCAGATATCAGTGGATGAGACTATTGTTTTTTAGGTTGTGCTTGATCTGCTTCCGCATTCTAGAAGAAGACAGGATAGATTTGGAACACACGAAGTACTTGAGATTGGAAATAGATAAGAGGTTTCATTTCCACACAAGCAACGTTGACTATGGTGTTTCTTTCAAAAAATCAAATGACTCAGACGGTAAATAAGTCGAGACAAGTTCATTACAATCTGCTCCTACCAAGTTTTAAATATGCATTTATAGTCCTTCCAAGTATTGATCCAAAGTTTTCCTAACAGAAGAAACCTTATCTCCAATAACTTTCCATCTACCCCAACTTTTAGCTTCTTCATTCTCACCCGAACGATCTACTAACCCAAACCCCATACCATCTTTCCTAGCCATTGATTGTACAAAACCATCTTCCTTTGATACAGGAACATACCAACTTCCACCTGAAAGATGAACATCACCTAAACTTGTATCCAATTTGTCATGTTCCTTTTTTAAGGATTTCTCTTGAACTTGTTTCTGATTCCAGACTGGTATTAAGATATCTAGAAGCTCGGGAAGGATTTGAGGACTTATACCTGATCCTGGCATGATCATTGGGTGTTTTTGATTGATAGTTTTTTTCATTGAATTTATTTGAATTGTTGTTAAATTCTTTAAATTTTTGATAGAATCTGGTTCATTATAACTTTTGGATCCCGCACTGCTCATGCACAAAGAAGATGAGAAAGTAGGGATCCTATATCTGCTAAAGGCGATGACTATGACTCACCTTGTCAAAATTCTAGTGACTCGACCTCCTAGACTCAGGATATTTTCATAAGCTGGAAAAAAATTATATTAACAAAGAATTGAGTGGGCGAAATGTGTGTTTCAGAACTTCTCACTTACCTTGAGATTGATCGATTACCATATCGAATGCTCGATGGAAAGTGATTGGCATTTCATCATTTGCTACTTCGATCAATCTATGGTACTCTTTAACTTTGATCAGAACATCATCAGACTTGAAAGTATAGGTCAAATCCAAACATACCTTTTCATCGTTATCACATCCACCCTTCCATCTGATTTCAAAGCCCCTATTACTATTCCTACAACACCTTCTATTTCAGTAGTATCCCTTTGATCTTCATTCTTGACTTGTCTTCTTCGTGCAATGAGATCTCTAAGTTCTTTAATTTCAGTTAACATGGTTTGGATTTCATCTTCAATATAAACAAACGATCCAATTCTAGGTCGAATCATGACCTATCTTATCATTTTGTCCATCAATGAAATCGAAGCGATCAAACTTTGTTGAATGTTACTTACCATGATTGGAATTAAAGGAAAACGATCAATAATCACACTTATAAGTCCAATACTTGGACTTACTCCTCCTCCTATACTCAGATTACCACATATCTCTAATCGATCTGCTCCATTTTCAATAGCACTTTCAAAACCCGATCAGAAAAATGTTTGAAATAAGGTAAATAAGTAAGATGCCCAGCAGATGTGAAAACTTAGATTAATCCAGAGACCAATGTGAAGATGATATTGTGATGATGTGCATTCCTTACCATCTTGCACTGTCCAAGCTATCTACACAGACTTCTATGAATACCTTTCCCATTTGGTGCCGGTGAAGGCGAAGCAGACTGGAGTATATTTTCTTGGCCCAATCGTACAAGGAAGCGCAACGGAGTAATATAGCTGTTAAGCTGTCAAGGGAGCTTTTATAAGGTGGTATGTAAACAATCAAATATCGGTCAGCTAATGACCTCACCATATGTGCGAGACATGTTGATTAGTGTCACGGAGTGCACACGTGACCGCATTCACGCCGCAGTCATTGCGGATGTGTGTGCACTGCGTGACTTTGATCAATGGGTCCCTCATAACTTTCATCCACAAACAGATGGAAAAGTGAAAGTACCAACAAAGTGGTGGAATTATTCATCAGAAATTTTACATCTTGCAAGCAAGACAACAGGTATGACTTGATACTTTTGCAGAATTCTGGTATAATAATAAACTTCATTCAGCCATAGGTGTATCACCTTTCAAAGCCAATTATAGATTTGATGTGAATTTCACTGATGTACCATCGATTGAGCAATGCGTGCCTTTTGTAGAGCGGTGTACGGAGCAGATTATGGGGTTCAATGTGAGATTAAAGATTCAATGGAGATGACTCAAGAATTGATGAAGTCAAATCGCAATAAGAAAGTAAATGAAACACTGAAGTGAAAGAAAGGACAAAGGTATGGCTCATAATAGCAAGCACATATTGACAACAAGACCAATGGCAAAGTTTGCGCAACAATGTTCAGGTCCCTCTTCAATGATAATGCCTGTTCAAAAAAATGCTTGTAAGATTGCTTTGCATAAGACTTTGAACAAGGTACACCCAGTATTTTGCATCAACTTCTTTTGTAAGAGAATTCAAGAAGAGAAATATAGAAGTACAGGATAAAATTCAGCCTGCACCAATCATTTTAAATGATACTGAAGAATACAAAATAAATGAAGTGCTTGATAAGAGAAGAAGAGGTAAAAAAATTGAATACTTACTAAATTGGGAAAATTATGATGAAGAACATGACTCATGGGAACCAGTGGAAAATATGGAAAATGTGCAAGAAGAAATAAATGGATTCAATTGAAAATATCCACAATCTGAAAACGGGTCCCAAGAGGGCACGTAGGAAGCAAAGCGTTAGAATTTTTCCCACAGGGTTTTTTACTGCCAACCTGTGGAAAGATGCTAACCCACAAAAGGGGGTTGAGACATGAAGGGGGGAGTGGTATCATGATCTGCTTAGCACTTCTTAGCTGCCTCTATTATACTAGGCAGGCCACACAGATGGGGCATTCTGCACTTAGACATCTATCTACATTACTAAAGCACCTTATTCCTTTTCCTGTATCCTGTCAAGTCTCAAGTTGTATGATGTATCAAGTTGGTCACAGTAATTTAGATATTCAAACTTGATTAATACACATCGATATTTACACTCCAAAATTTTGGCCATACTGAGCTTCAAATTGTGATTTACCTCATGTACAGCACTTTGAAGAGAAAAAAGAGTTTGAGTTTTCAAAAAAAAACTCAGTTTCTTCAAAAAGTGACTGGGTTTTCTCCTAAAGCTACTGAGTTTGTTTTTCAAAATTTGCCAGTTTTTCAGAAATTTGCCGAGTTTTCAAAAAAAATATGCAGATTTGTGTTTGATGTCTTGGTGAAAAGATTGAATAGCCTAATAGCACATCTTCAATCACCATATCAATTGATCACTTGATCAATATCAATACTTGCATAGATCAATTTATCTTTGAACCTGATGTGACTCTTTCTCAAGTCTTTTTGATGATTTATAATATCATCTGTTCCTAGTGAATGACTGTCTTGTGTTCTTGAGAACATTTGCAAATATTCTTCATTTTAGTCTTGCTGTAAGAACTATAACTAGAAAATATGCTATAAAGATTGCTTTGCTTTGGAAAATTGAGCAGATATCCAGTTGATTCATTGATGTTGTCTTTGTAGTCTGACTGAGTGAAGCTATTGAGTGGATCAGAAGACATGATTGATCATGAGGTGGTGAGGTGATAGTGGACAATGGGCAGTTTTGATACAGACTGATTGGTCAATTTGGTGATTCAAGATTTGGTATTAGGTGAGTAAAATACTAAAACCAGCCCAGACCTTGCAACTCCTACCACCTGGAATTGATCTGTATTCATCTCTGTCCAACAAGATCCAAATTTCATCACATATGGCTTCAAATTCTGGGAGGTCACTCCAAATTTTATCAATTTCAGATGGTGACGCCCATAGTTTTTTTTAAACTTGTGATCAGGTGTGTGTACATTAGGGGCCTCACAGGTTTTCTCTCCAGGGAAGTGGCATGTTATTCAGGCAAGTCTTGGGGTTTTAGTGAAGATTAGGCATGCCGCTCATGTGTTTCAATGCTGGGCCACCATCAGGAACCACAGACAGATAGTAGGATTGCAAGTCATGAGTGAGATCAATACAAGACCCAGGAACAGGTTCAGCTTTGAGAGAGTGAGGGCGAGAAAATTACTCAAATTATGATGAAAAGAGATGGAAGAGAAGCACCCACCAAGCCTCAATGATGAAAGATGTATGATGTCTTATGCTGTGGTAAATAGTTTGTAAGCTAATGATGCAAACATGCACATGTGGTGGACTCATACAATAAACTAGTCCTTTGATTGCGCTCAACATGACCCAACTTCAGGACTTTGGAAATTTATGGATGTTGTCAAATTCACAAAATGAAGAGCGGGCGGTCACAACCTGAAATTGATAAAATTTGGAGTGACTGCTTGGAATTTCAAGCCATGTGACAATGCAATAGATGTTGGATCTTGTTGGATAGGAATAAATCCAGATCCATTCCAAGTTGTCAGGGTTGCCAGCACCAGGCTGGATTCAGTGATTTCCTCAGGCTACTCATTCTGTCTACTGAGATATAAACTGAGATATAAACACAACAAGGGCAATCTGTTGGTCTTGCACAAGTAGGCCCATTATCAGTCATTCAGGGTGTTTTTGTTTTCAAAAATTTGTGAAGGGACCAGAAGCACAGAAATTGGCAGGATGGGTAAATTTCCCTCATGTGTGGAAGTGCTTCATTGCAAAATTGTTGTTGAAAAAGTGCAAAATATTCTTTCAGCCCTATCAAGTACTGTTGGAACCAGCATATACAGACTACTACAATATAACCAAAACTCTGCATGATCATTCCTCCATTGTGTCCTGTTCTTTGTAAAGACAAGCCACCTGACACACTACAATATCATTGGTTTTATATTCTCCTTCCCTTGATCCCAGCCCAATCCTTATGCTGTCCAGATCCTGTGACCTGGATAGAGCCCCATAAGTTTCTGGGAAAAGCAATAGGCCATGTTAGCACATTGAGGGCAAGATGAGTTTGGGACTAAAGCTCATCTAAAATCAAGGACCACACCCCATAGGCGCAAGGGTCTATTTCCCAGGACAAAAAGCACAGTAGTGAAGCATCAACCAAAATATGGAATGCATTTACCTTTCCTCCTCAACATGTTGTGGCAAGAAATCAAACCTCCTTGTGGTGGCAATGAGCCATGCAACCACATTAAGTGCAAGATGAGAGCATCAACCAGAGCATGGGACTAGTACACCTCATAAATTCAGACAAAAAGGTTTGTGTGGAAGACTAAAATCATTGGGCTTGGATCTGAAAGCACTGAGTCCCTTTGTAGTCAAGATTGAAGTTTTATGATTCTGCATGACTTTTTTTTGAAAACTAAGCAACTTTTTGAAATATTACTCAGCAGGTTGTCAAAAAAAACCCAGCAACTTTTTAAAAAAACTTGAGGGTTTTTTCTCTTCAAAGTCAACAATTATGCAAAGGGGTGTAAGTTGATTTTTACACTGCTTTGATTTTACACTCAAGATTCAGTCTAAATAATTGACTGTAAAAATCTCTTTACCCCTTTTGTATATACCAATGAAAAAGACATGGTCTGGACCCATTAACACCTATTCATCCTCAGCAAGCAAGCTGTTTTTTAGGGGGGAGCCCTCCCGCGTCTATTCAGATTTCGTGATTTCATCCTGGAAGGCATTGCCATCTCAATCCAAAAACACCATCTTCTGGTCACAAACAGCAACCTGAAAGGACGCTAGGAATAAGGCTCAGCATGATAACACGCGAGGAGATGCGCGAAGGTCAAGGCCTTCTTACTGACAAAGTTGGGGAGCTTCGTCAATGTGGGGAGGCGAGCGCATGGAGTGCACGTATGGGACTTTCGACCGAAAAGTAGAATACATTGAGTGACTAGTTCGGGACGATGTGACTCATAGAACATAAAGTGCATGTTTAGATTATCTTGCAAGTCGGTGATGACGACCGACTGGAGGAGTTTGATATTTCCAATGAAAGGGGACATGGAGATCAAGGAAGCATAGTGAGAACACATGGATGTAACAAGATTGATTGGCGCATTTAGCAAACCCATAATGGTCATGAACGATGTGGGAAGACCAGGAGTGAGATGGTCAAATGGATAGAGTCTTTATGAGACAATGGTAGAGGCGGTTGCACTCTCGTATTTGAAGGAAGGCGAGAGTTGAGATTTTGTCTTGTAGTATCGGACAAGACGGTGGATTCGAGATTCGATGAGAATCAATCGGAACTAAGGGGTATAACAAAGTCATGTAAGGATCATCATGTTCACACGCCAAGATTGCCGAGTGAGCCTACCTTGGAGTCCTTGTCCTTTCGGTTTCGTTCGAGATGCTTTCGGACGGAGACAGCTTTCTTGATCAAGTGGTAAAGATCTTCTGGGAGCTCAGGGGCAAGACCTAAGAGAGCAACAATTGTCAGTGAAGAGTAAGAGCCTGAGTAGATGAAAGAGCTACTGACCGCTACCCTTGAGAATACGGAGGATTTTGGCACCGGTAACACTCTTGACTTGAGCAATACCATGGCTGTCTCGGAGAACAACACCGATTTGGGAAGGGGTCATACCCTTACGGGCAAGCTTGAAGATCTGTTCAGAGACTTCCTCTGGGGTGACCTTCAACCATCTTGGAGGAGTTCGCTTGTAGGGAAGTGCCGAACCGGCGATACCCTTGTGGGGATTGTGCATACGACCCTACGTTTGAAAACCAAAGAACCATTCAGCCAGATCCAACTGAATATGATGAGTAAGTTTGACATTGATGTACCATGATGAATAGCTTGAGGTATTTCTTCCTTGTTGAAGAACGGCCGGTTCAAATCTGTAGACGATGATGAAGTGTTCAAGTTAATGAGACGCATTCATTGAGTACGCATGAATCAAGCAAGCTACATACAGAAGACGACCCTAAGAAGTGACCATTAGATGTTCGGATAGCAGTAGGTTAAGGCCAAAGTCGAGACCCGGGGCGTAAGGGGCAAAATAAATGAGCATCGGTCAGGTCAAGTCCAGCATCGCCAGAAGAGCCTCAAGCTATTATAGGTCATGAATCAATGTTCGAGGTGGAATAGTCCTCACCAAAGTCTTGGCTTGAGGAGCGCGCTCGTTCGAGTGGTGGATGACGAAATTTGATACCGTGCCTTCGTGTGGTGAACAGTCGGGGTATTGGATGAGGTGAAAGAAACAGTGAGATTAACAACTACTGAAACCTAACTCAACATTCAGTTCCAACCCTACGATACACAACCGGTCCATCTCCCCCTCCTGACGCGCAGCCTACCCGCCCGGCCATTCTCAAGACAACCTCAAGCGTAAGTTGGGACGAAGGAAGTCTTCGATCATTAACCTATTCGAATCATGTTAGTTCGGTTCAATCATCACTCACCAATCGTCTTTTCTCCCCTCTCACCCGGATCCTGATTTCATTGTTCTTTAGCTCCTCACTTTGACGGTGGTCGCCTCTACAGGACATGAAGTTGAACATTGCTAACCCGGCCACTGGCCAACAAAAAAGTCTCGACTTTGATGACGAGCGAAAGACCCGTATCTTCTACGACAAGCGTACGCCATGGGAACCTCACTTGATCTCTTTTTGTACATGATTGAATGAATGGACTCAAATGAAATGCTTCATTTGTTGAAACTTTGCAGGAATGGGTCAAGAAGTTGAGGCTGACTCACTTGGGGATGAATTCAAGGGCTACATCCTCAGAATTAGCGGCGGTAACGACAAGCAAGGTGTAGGTCATCGATTACTTGGCATTGTTCATCTTCTGTCGTATCAACTTTGTCTTACATTTTCCTGCATCAATCCCACAGTTCCCCATGAAGCAAGGTGTTCTTACTCCCAAGCGTGTTCGACTTTTGCTCTCCGATGGTCACACTTGCTTCCGCGCCCGTCGTGTTGGTGAACGTATCCGAAAGTCCGTTCGTGGATGCATCGTTGCTGCCGATATCGCCGCCCTCTCCTTGATCGTCGTCAAGCAGGGTGAGAACGACATTCCTGGACTCACCGACACTGTCCTTCCTCGTCGTCTCGGTCCTAAACGGGCTACCAAGATCCGTCGATTCTTCAACTTGACCAAGGAAGATGACGTTCGAAAATTCGTTGTCCGTCGAGAGGTCGTCAGCAGCAAGAAGCCTGATGCCAAGCCTTACACCAAGGCCCCCAAGATTCAACGTCTTGTTACACCTGTTAGTCTCACGTTTACACTCTGAACGATTTGTTACCCTGCTAATTCAAGCATCAATTCCTCCTCAGGTCCGTCTTCAACGTCGCCGACATCTCCGCTCTCTTAACCGTCGTCGAAATGAAGCCCAAAAGGTTCAGATCGCCGAATACAAGACCATCGTTGCCAAGCGTATGGCTGAACGCAAGGCCAAGGTGGCAGCGGTCAAGTCCCGGAAACGTGCTTTGTCTGTTTAAACTTGGGGTTTCGTACAATGCAATTCACACATTTGAAGATTGCAAAGTTCCTCGAAGATGACTTGCGAGCTATCAAGAATCTTACCATCATACCACCATTTGTTTGCCTGTAATCAATCATCTATGCCCTCCTACTGCCCTTACATATGATCAAAATGCAACGTTGTCTTACTTCCTTGTCATGTGTTTACATTGACACTATTGGGCGACCATCAAACTATTTTCTCATCGTGCTTCTTCAATATAGGAGAAGATTAGACTGCGCTCCCTTGCATCCAAGCGACCTTTCACCTGTTGCCTCTGGGTATGACCCAATTGCCCAAAGCGTGTTGCAGTCACCCTACAACGGTAAAAGCTGCATTCAAGGCCACACCTGAGTTCATGTGCCCTTCCCTTAAAAGTTGACCTGACAAACCTCGCGGATATAGTCTGTACACCTAGTCCCAGCCCGTGAGGTCATTTGGCTATTACCATCCATATGGTAAGATTCACTACATATCATCAATTGTGAATTCAAACATTGCATATATGCGCTGCAGATTTGACATCCAACGTAGTCCATTTGACAGTGGACACCACTGTTTTCTCCTATGTACCATCTTGTCCCAAGGAGATAAATAGCGATGCATGGAGCACTGGTATAATCTCTTATAAGTCTATTGATTGAGTTTGACTCAGCTTGGCTCATTAGAGTCAAGATAAAGTGGGATGAATACCAATAGGGAAACACTTGATTGGTTCAGAGTTGACTGGGTTTGATTCACTTAAGACAATCAATTTCAAAGGTTCATTATAGGAGTATGCCTCTGGAAGGAAAGACTCCAACATGGCTTAAAAGTTTTTGAAAAGTCAGTCAAGCTACTATATAGCACAATGTTCTCCTTAAAAAACCCTTGCCAGTTAGTTGAAGCTGTGCATACCTTGGAAATGAGGGTCAAAGTGGTCTGACTGTTGCCCAAAATATTCAACATTGTGGCTTGCCAAAGAGTATCAGTAGCACCTTGTCCAAGAGGGCAAAGAAATCTGAAAATAGTCATTATCAGATACCATGAGTGTTCTTAATCAATCTTTTTCAAAAATCTTATTTATCTAAATCAAAACCTAGAGAGACCTTGTGCCAGCCTGGCTAAGAATCTTGGAGACAATAATCCAACCCACTACTTGTTTCACTTTTTGTGCCACATTGTCATATCTATGACTGTGTGCTACTCACAGATTAACTCACAAGTGATTTGAAGTGGTTGAGGAGAACCCAGGATCTGTAAGGAGAGTGGTATGTCCTAATACAGGCCACCTATATATATGATTAGAACACTGAGGAATGCCAAGAAGCAGCAAGAAGCACACTCATGGCAATAGGAAAGATACAATTTTGAAGGGCTGGGAGGCCAAAGTACCCAAACATTTTGGCACTTTGGGCGCAACTTGAACCCCATAATGGATTACAAGGAGCACCATCACCCCATAATCACCCATATGCAAAGGGAGAGAGGGAGGTTCACTTGGAATGAGAATTATAGTACCATGGTCAAATATGAGCAATTTGGAACCAGCAGATATCCATCATTTGGCATGAATCACAATGTGACAATGGAATTTCCAATTCCTAATTCTAAGTCAAACAATAAACAAACATATATCCCAGACGTCGAGGATGTTGAAGGTGCGTCAGTGGAGATTCAATTTGCAGAGAAGTACAAAATTGCTTAAATGCTGATCTGTGTGCTTTTCCAAATTACAGGTGAGGCTGAGCGGAATCCCCAGTTGAGCCCGTTCCAATCCATAGAGGTCAGCTCAATCCTTTATACTCAGATCTATGTATGTACATCTTGGTCAGACTGGTACTTTCTTTAGTATGGATCTCTTCACTGCACCTTGCAAATAACTCATCCAACGTGGCACCTCTACGTACGTGCCATCTTTTGGCAATCACTGATTGTCAAACTTCACTGGTGCATTTTGGGTAACTCTGCTCTCTTGGACCCGAGACTCAAGAAATTCGGGTTTGAGGGCTAGGGAAGTGGCTATCTTGGCTCCATGTTAGATATATCGAATTAAGGAACTCATCAATACCACATTCGACATCAGATCAGTAAAGAACCATAATAACAGGCATAGTTAACAGGCATAAACATATAGACTGGATGTTTCCATGAACTAGCAAGACGAGAATCTAAACCCAGCGCTGTGCGATAAAATTGGAGGAAACACTACAGCAATTGAAAGTAGAAAGAAAAACGGAAACAAAAATTATGGATTGTCCGAAATGAAAAACTGACGGGTAAACATGATTTTGATCATCAGATGTCCTGATTCTATATAGTTTCAATGATGTATAAGGGTTTTGGAGAATCAAAGCTCTAAAGGATTGGCCAAGTGGTTTCCAGCACCGACTTTTCTAAACGGGGAGATTGATCGTTGGTTCAGGCATTTGCGATCATCAAAGCTTCATGACACCTATTCTCTGGACGGGATGTCTTGGTCTGACACGCCTTTTTTTGCCTTAACCGCACAATGTGATCAAATGCCGCCAGCCGCTCAATCAAAGGCACCCCAGTAAACTCGACATCCCTAGTAGTAATTTTGGTAGTATATTTCCCACCTTGGGGGGTCTTCACCACAAGCTGGATAGTTTGGATTGGGGAATATGCATCAGTTTCCTGTCATAAAGATGTATATAAAGGCTGAAAAAATATCGAACCTGAAATGTAAAGTAGTACCTGACTGTCGCAAGCTTTGTATTACAAGAGTCTCCGATAGAGTAATGGTGATTACTTTTGGGTCTGGGGATATTCATGGTGACTGTGGTGGAAAGTCCTACAGGCTGAAGTTCATGCTGCTGAAGTATCGGAAAATGGGCCACAGCTGTCTGAATTCTGTCGATCGTGGTTGACTGCTTGTAGTGGCTTGATTTCGAGGGACTGATCAAACCAGTCGATGGACGATCGGAAGGCCTAAGGCTACTTTGGATCGGAGTGGGCCCAGCATCAAGAGAAGATCTGCTTCGTCGCGTCGGCAAGTCCCACATAGAAGCAGATGGACGCAGGCGAGGACGCTGTGGTGACTCGGACTCTGTTCTGATCGTGATTATCCGCTCGAGGGTCACGGTGCCTTTGATCGCCTTTATGGCAAAAGAATGGTGTTTCGAAATAGGTGAGACAACAATCGGAATGGTAATCGTATCTCCACAAGAGACGTGTGCCGGAGTTGAGATTGAATAGACCATTGGGAGGTCTTTGACTACTTCGTCGAGACAGATGAGGGTCTTTGGCACTTGAGGGCAGCGGAAGTTACGGATATTCAAAGGATAACTTTTCGTAATGGGAGGATGTGGGTGAGGACGTTGAATGACTAAAAAAGTTGAGTGAGAACGTTGAGCATGCAGGTGACTATGAAACAGCTGAAAAGAGCAAAGTTGGAAACTGACCCGCTTCAACCTGCCACCACGTCCTCCAATCTTTGAAAGTCATCGCGCCTGCGATTGATGGGGAAGCAGGGATGACCAGCTTCCACTTCGCCTCGAAATCTCCAACTTTGATGTAATCAGAGCTACCGCAACCCATGCTGTCCGCTTGGCTGGCTCTCCATACCACCTCCGAAGTTTCCCAGAGTACTGGCGTGGTCTTTGAACGGGATCGATCTGTCGGATGGATGCTGCTGGTTTCCTGGCGCTGAGGTGAGATGTGATTGAGAAGTCCCGCTTCTTCATAGCATCGTAAGCGAATACTGATTTGCAACGCTTTCACTACTTCCTTCTCCTGCGGGTGTTCGTGCGCTCGTATCTGGCCTTCTACAAAGACCGGTGAGATCCCAAGGTATCCAGCATGAGGAAAGAATGTAGCACACTTCCCGCGTCGCGGTATCAAGCTGATCTCTACCATGGTTAACTTGCGATTGAAAGATATCAAAGAGGTTCAGTGAAGATTGAGTGAAAAATATAGATAAAACCGGCAGACGAGGCCACGAGAAAGCGAGACAAGACCAGCTTTGGCTCTTCGAAAAACTTGTATAGACACAGCGAGTATTAGGGCGATGATCACAGTCCAATGCACTGAGACTTGCTGGGTTTTATGAAGGTAGTTGACACCAAGTTGTTTTAGTAGGGTGTGTCAGTTTTGGGGTGGCCGGTGTTGACTAAATATAATACTTTAGGGTTTGAATAGCGGAGCAGCTGGGATCATCCAGCAGATCTCTGGATTGTTTGTTGAACTAACTGGATCGTATACCTTCATAGTGCGAGTTGGATGAAATTTAAGCTAACAACAAGTGGCTAGCAAGGAGGGATCCGATAGTTCAAGAACTGGGAAGGGCCGACACACTTATCAACCACCTCGTCAACCAGACTTTTGGAAGCGCCATGCACCTACAATTTGACTTGCTCGAAGTTCGAACTAAATAGAGTGACTGCCCTCGCCATCGCCCCTCGAGGCAGCTCGAGATCAGTTCGACACCAAAACAGAAATCGACCGCGCAGCGGCGTTCGCTAAAGGAATCCGAGTTTCCTAAAGTTGATCTGGAGAGGCCATCCTTTATGGATCGGACGTCATTTCAAATCGACCAAGAAGGAGAAACATCCCTATGGAGTTTTGCCAAGGATAATTACTCAATTTCAAAGAAAAGTTTGTAAGAGTGGCCTCAAGGAGCCATTGCCCAACACTCAACTTCGATGACCGATCCGAGAGACGTTTTGGTTCCTCGCAAACGAACTTATGGCCCTGGCTGTGGATGTGGCTCAATTCATTGAGAATCGACGAGATGGAATAGTGCTCATTAGTGAAGATCAAGAATGTTTTGCAAGCGCCCTGGAGGGGCCGTGGCAATGGCCAGGGCTTAGGCCACACCGTGGCCCTCACCCCGAGCCCTTCATGGCCTTCACAGAGCATCAAATCCAGTTGAAGCCCCCCTAAAGATCACCTTAAGCAGGGAGTAGGGGCTCAAAATGGGGATTTGAGGTTGTTAAAAGGGAAGGCCACATTGGGCCACACCACACCAGGCCATGGCCCTGGCCACGGCCACGGCCACGAAAAAGGCGCCGGGTGTGAGCGTGAGATGGAATAGTGCTCATTAGTGAAGATCAAGAATGTTTTGCAATTGTTACCACCTCCCTTGATTGAAGATCCGTCGATCTCAATGCTGACCAACTTATGAAGGTATTCATCAGAACCAGATGTACTAAAGAAGATTTCAAGTATTCAGAGCGCGGCGAACGCGCCCAGAGGTACTTCGTCAAGTTAACTCCGATCCCAATCACATCGCTGAACCGTACCAGTCCTCTCCAAGAATCCTCTGCGAACCTCGCCACGGTATACAGCGTGCATTCCTCTCCATTTGTAGTACATAGCGCGGTAGTCAAATGTTATTCAGACTATCTGCTCGTCCATAGCTGAGGTATGGCATCATTCATTGTTCTGTTATACAACAGTTGACTTGAGTCCGGTCTGCCTGATGCTCACTCATCTCACTCTGCCGTCTACTGACGTAATAAGTTTTTACTGATACCCCAACCTGAGCCTAACATTGGCCTTTTTGAAAGAAATCGAACGCTTCATATATAGTGATCACATTGCAACGAATCACACTCTTTGATTCAGGTACCCATCACTTTCTCCCACCACTTCAGTATCTCAGTATCTCAGTATTTCAGTATATCAGTATACCAGCATATTCGACCTGTTTCAATCCTCACAAAAATTTATAATATATTCTTGAATTAGTAAGAAGTAAAATTTTGTTTGCGTTAGCAGTTCAACAAGCACAATCAATCCAATTCGTCATCAAATCGAAAACGTAAAAGATTTAATATCATTTTTTCGTCTGGCCACAAAAATGTCTTACATTCATCGGATTCGTAGTACTAGAACTGTCACTCTTTTGATCTTCTCAATCTCATTAATCACTTTGGTACACTCAATACCTATTCAAGAATCACAGTTCAGGAGTAATAGTATTCAACATCCCTTAAATCGTAAGTCAACACAAACTGAACAACACATAATCAAACTTGAACTTCCTGACTAACCGTTCCGTTTTCCTTACCACAGTGGACCCTACGATTGCCGATTTCCCAACCATTCGTACCATGGCCGATAATGCGGATTCCGCACTCATGTACCAGCAGCAAGCACAACTACAACACATGCACAACTCTCAACAACTTTTAAGCAAGAGACAGTTTCCCTTACCACCGCCACCACCTAGACCACCAGGTAATAATCAACAATTTAATCAACAATTCAATCAGCAACAATTCAATCAACAAGGCAGGCCAAACAACAATAATGGGTTCAATAATAATGGATTCAATAATAATGGGTTCAATAACAATGGGTTCAATAATAATGGGTTCAATAACAATAGGTTTAATAACAATGGGTTTAATAACAATGGATTCAATAACAATGGGTTCAATAATAATGGATTTAATAATCAACCACCACCTTTTGGTCAACCACCACCTTTTGGTCAACCACCACCCTTTGGTCTACCACCACCACCAAGATTTTTTTAAGAAATTGATTATTTGATCATAATCTCTTCTTTTGTTATTCGATTTTCAATATTCAAAATATTCAATCTTCAATATTTATTATTCATCAATTATCTATCTATTTATTTATTTTCATCACTTTTTCTTTTTCTTTATCTTTTTCTTTTTCTTTTTATTTTATCATTAATTTAATTTCCCTTCAAGCTATTGAGTTTACCTAAGAAGAAACATCCATAATCTTGTAATTTTTTCAATCATGTTTCTTTTGGGAATTTTTTCTTTCTGGTATTTTATGTACGATCAATTCATGAAATCATACAAACTTATGGGTACATAAGGTTCACATGCAATCAAACCATTCAAGTTTTAAAGAAATTAATGAGAGATTTCAAGCTCAAGTTATCTGATCTTGATCTGAAGTCTAAGATTTCAAATATATATATACAATTTTAATTTATGATCAATGTATCTTAACTTCTTGATGGTCTTACGCAATGTTTTATAGTGATCAAATTGTAAAGTTGTAGAGTAGACAATTAGAACCAGAGGATGAGCTGAGGTTTCTTTGAACCGTTTATGATTTTTGATCCACATTCAAGCCTTTTGCAACACTTTCAAAATTCTATTGGTAAGATGTCTTTTTGATTTGTCAAAATGCTTGGCCAGCTCGCAATGACTGTCAACTGATAGTCTGATGATGAATCATGTGATCCGCAGTGTTTTTTATCAGTGACTCAAGAGAGGATTACATTTTACATATGAAGCTCCTCTGGCCGCCGCCCACGTGGCGACGTCATGACGAGTCTTCATGTCTTGTGTTGTACATCATGTGATCTAGATCCTATACGGTGTACCTCCACCGGGACATCGATATTTCACCCATGACTCACAGATTCATAACTTCACCTGACCAATCTCAGTCATCTCATCCCAACCAGTACTTAATACATTTTGGTTACTTTTTTTTGATCAACTTGTCTTTATGAATCACAACCGAAAGAGAAAGAGAGACTTAGAGGTACAGTTGGGCTGAGATGCGCCTATGGAAGTTAGATCAGAACCTTAATAACTTCACCCAAACTTTCATTTAATTTCCTCCACTTCTCTATGATTCACTAGATACATAACAACATACCCTACATGATTTGAGGTTACACTAAATGATCCCTACTCGGTTGTTCACGAATTGAATTATCAAATATTTATAGGTATACATTACATAAGCATCAGATTGGATCTCATTTATGAAGAAGATCCTTCCCTTGGCGGAGGGTTTCGAATGAAAGACTTTACAGAGGGTCAAAAGTTGCGATCGGTGATTTGTTTACATTTACATAAAAAAATTGAGGGGCTAGACTTTAGAGTAAGTACACCACAAGGACACATATTTGCGTCAGGGCGTCGGGCGTGTCCGAGATTGGGGACACGGCCCGGCATCCACCAACGGGGTGCTGCCCCGACGTCTGAGTGCGCATATAACCGCACGGCATCCTGAAGATGCGCTGGTGTCGTCCGCCGCCAGGATGACATGCCGGCACCCTGTGCTGGGAACACCTGGGGATATCCGATCAACGAGCATCCCTGAAGAACACTGCGGACAACCATCAGTCATCCAATTGCTAATATCAACAAAGGACCGTCTGGACACCAGGAAGACATCGCTCAGCCGTTCCAGTGGTACTGTCGTTCTCCCAACAGCGACGGATCAATTGGTGGTATGTCCTTTTGCTCTCTCCAGATTTGATTTATTCTTGAATCTGACCGTATGATCAAATTCCTTCAAATCGCCCCTTGTTTTCTTCGAATCTCTCTGAAGAAATCTCAACATCAACAGTCCTCAATCTCGTTACGCACTTCAACCTTCCACACTCTACTTAATCCAACATGTCTTTTGCTCAGAACATGGAATCGCCAGAAGTGACCATTGTAGATACTTGTCAGCATACCATGATACTTTTCATTATGAGCACATTAATGTTCTAAATCTGAAAACGTTAAATACTATGTAGATTTTGAAAGATTCCGCTCCGGTGAAACATTTAAATATCGTTGTACGTTGTGTAAAGGCAGAGCAATGAATAAGATTGATAAGCACAAGGGATTACCCAATCACATAGCTATGATAGCTGCTCGAGAGGCTGCTGATCGTGAGAATCAACATCATCTCGGTTCGTTCCTTCAAAATGACGAAATGGATTCTTCGGACAAGCAAGAAGTAGCAGAACAAGACCAAGAGGAAGAGATGATCAATAGTGACAGATCATCACCAGCATGTCAGGGTTATACCGAGGCTCTGATGCAACTTCTAACTGGAAATTACGGTGACTCCGAATCCGAACATTCAGATAGCTCTGAAGAAACTCAAAAGCGTCCCGAGCTCGCTGACGTCAACTGGGATGCAATTCTGATGAACAAGTTGCAAGACGACATGGATCAAAGCTCAATGACCTCGGAAAGTCCATCAAGTGATTCAGGCATGGACAACAACATAATTGAAGAAGACAAAACAAAAGACACACCTCGAATTGATACAGACTGGTATCCGTTCACAAAGGAGGTGTGTCTTTTGGATCTTCAATAAGCACTAGGTCGCTGCATTGCTAATGTTCGGTTCAACTAATGTTCGGTTCCATCCATCAGCAGATTGTGGGACTGTTATCTTCAGGATCTGGACGCCACCTGGTATCAGAGACCGAGTATGAGCATAATCGAATGTTGTTTGCTATATGCAACATCTCTCTACCAGCGTACAAAACTCTAGGACGATTGCGATCAAGGATGTGTGCACGGTTTGGAATAAATGTACAAGAGTGGCAGAGTGCCCTCCAAAACCCGTGCTATGGACTCAGTATTAAAGAGATTGTGGGTCAGGTGAGCGATGTCTCTTGTTTCACAACACCTCCATCAAATTATTAACACATTTATTCTTAACAGGAGCTTTCAAATCCCGTTGTAATCGAGCATTTGACCTTTATTCCAGAATATGATCCAAATAAGCCAATAAACCGATTATCTCAGTCCAAAAAGTGGCGTGAAGGATTTTCACGCAATCAGAGACTCCCAATGGTACCATCAATGAATGGACACTTCTTCATCTATGAGCCGGTCTGCCAAGCTTCAGGAGAGTGGATTGTTCCAATTTTTTTTTTCCAGAAATCCGGAAAAGTCTATGCCAAATGTCTGAAGGCCTCAATTATCTCCCAGGGAGAGAATTCCTCAGATCTAAAAATTATTGTGAATGCGGATCAAGATTTCAATTCTCCTTTCTTGATTACTGTTGAAATCGACACAATTATGGCCACCTTCCTGGACTCAAAGGATAGTAAAGGTGTTCCTCTGCATGGGCGATATGGTGGAGTGATGTATCGTGGGTCATTTTATTTTGCTTTTCAACCGTGACATCATATTGATCAGCTGTACATATTCCAACAGAATGTGATGGAGAAGGCTACCGCGAGATACCTCTCCCAAATCCGTGGCGTATTAAAGCAAATGGGAAAGTGATTCGACATGTACCTATAACACTTTATTCAGACGATACTTCTGGAAATGTGTCAAAAAAATGGAACAAACACATGAGTTACTATTTTACTCTATCTGGTTTACCTCCAGGAATGACGAATCAAGAATATAATATTCACTTTCTTTCGACTTCCAACAAAGCAAGCGCTCTTGAGCTCGGTGAGAACGTGGTTACTGAATTAAAGTAATTTCTACACTTTATCATCCAACATCCGCATTTACTGACATCTGTAACTTTTGCTTAGCGTGCTTGGAAAGGACGGATTCATAACTTACGACGAATTGCTGAAAGAAGATGTTCTTGTAATGGTTGTTCCTTTATGTCATCTGGGAGACTCTCCTATGCATGCCGAAATCACCAACACCACGAATCCCTCGGTTACTTTGAATCCCTGTCGAATATGTACACTCAGTGTTGAAACACTGAGTGCGAAACAAGATGCTAAATATACGAGAGCTTTTGTAGGTGTTCATCAAGAAGACGTATGTAATTTTATTCATAATCTTTAGCGGAAAAAAAAAGTAATAGTAACATTGATCCAATCTCAACGTGTTGATACAGGGAGGTCCTAAGCCCCGTGAATGGGCAACTACGAAGTCACAAACTTACGAGTTGTGGGAATTGCTTCAAAATCCGAAGAAGCATGCTGAATTTCTTAGAAAATCAAAAGAATACGGTGTTAAGGACACAACAAATCATCAATTCGTTGGACAGTTTCACAACCTTCATAAAGATCATGATTATTCAAAAGAGGAGGTGCATAAAATGTTTACAGATCTCAACAAACAATTTGGCGATCGACTGTTCAATCCTTTTTTAAAGTTAGACGGTAAGGATTCTGAGCATGTACATTGGTAACGAGATAACTAACGTACAACTTTTAGGTTTTGATGGTCATCTAGATACACCGGTAGAATCTCTGCACGTCGCCTTACTTGGAGTGGTCAAATATCTATTCAAAGATGCAATGGATAATCTTCCGGATTCCGCACTACCTTCTGTTTTGGCGCGATGGAAATCTTTTGATACGTCTGGCTTAAATGTTCCACCGATCCAACCGAGAACACTGACAACTTATTATCAGAGTTTGGTTGGTAAAGACTTTCATACAATCTTACAATCAATACCTTTTGTCCTCTTTCCACATTTCTCTTATGAAAGACGAAGGATGTGGACTGCATTAGTCCACCTAGGTTCTTACATTTTTCAAGCTGAAATCACTCACGTACACACCTACTTAAAAAATTTAAAGAAACTGGTAAATATATTCCTTGGCCACCTTATCCGATGGACCGCACAGTGGACAAACAAACCCAAGTTTCATATGCTTGTTCATCTGGTCGAATCAATCGAACGGTTTGGTCCACTCTCTTTAGTCGCAACACAGAAATTTGAAAGTTTCAATGGTATACTACGAATCGCCTCAATTCACACTAATCGACACAATCCGGGCCTTCACATTGCTAGAATTTTCCTTTACGCCCGCATGCTTCGCCATATATGTTCTGGAGGCTCATTTTGGGATCACAAATACCACTGTCGAGCACGTGCAGGGAATAAATTGATTGCGTTGTTCTCAAAGTCCAAATGGATCCAGAAGTTCTTTTCTTATAACGTTGATTGGAATTTAAAAGGAAATTTCTCAATGAAGGGTATGTTAGTGTATAATTATTTGTGAATGAAAGGATTAAATGACTGATGAGTATCATATTTGTAGGTCAATGTGAAAAAACTGCATCTGGGTCAATTCCAAGCGAGCTGAAGAAGGGATTTCCTGCTCATATTTGGACACCAAAGAAAGAAGCAGTTCTGGCATCCAAACAGCGAGTTCATCTGCAGAACTTTGTTCTAATCGACCTCAAGTCAAGTGACTCGCCACAAGTGGGTCGTGTTGAGGGTTTCTGGGAGGGTACACGCTCCAAAAGTATTGAGCACTTAGTACACATCAAAGTCTGTACAGTCCACGATACCATTGATGAATTTTATGGATTTTGCGGCCTAAGTATCTCTCAAGAAGATCTATGGATATCGATTAGGGTAAATATCTTTGATTGAAACTTGTCCTTTAGTTTGCATGCTGAAAAAAAATCTTTTACAGGACGTCAAATGTGTCCTGAATGTCCAACACAATTGCAATCAGGCGAAGTGCCAACCCCAGAAGAGTCCACGAAAACACGATGGACAACTTCCAGTTAAATCTCCATATCAAATGCGACATGAAGCCTTCAATGGCTACATAATCAACTCGGGTGCTCTATATTCGGCGGAATCGCATAGAAGTATAGCGAAGATTGATTATAAACCATGGACCTTTGACGAATGGAATGAATGTATTGAACTTGGTATGAAAAACTGGAAATCAACTCGAGAGAAAAAAGAACAATCTAAACAAGACCAAGCGACTAAAAATACTAAGAAAAAGGAGAAAGAGAATGCGAAAAAAAGGAAACTCCGAGATATAGATCAGCGTGAAGACATTGACCCGTCTTTGTATCTTTGATAAATCTTCAAATGCAACTTTCACTTGCCCTTTTTCTCTTACTTCTCACTGTAATTTTGTCGCAAATATTGAATTGTTGAAGTTGAAAAAAAAGCACCGCAAGAGGACTCCAATCAATCAATGTGACACCTTTATGGTTTTTGTCGCATTTTTCAATTATCAGAGGTCTTGATTGAAGAGGCAAGAGGACTTTTGGTCATGGCCTGATGCGATGACCAAAAGAGTCATGTGACCGGTGTAATGAATCTGACAATTTGAAATGTTTTGGACCAAAGGATCTTTGTCGGTCTCCTTCATTCGAATCTTTGTCCTCCACCACCATCTCCTTCACCTGTTATCTTTCTCTCTCTCTTTCTCGTTTTCTTCAATTTTGATGAATAGAAATCTTGAGATGCCTATGTCTAAACCCTACAGCCGCAGTGATCGTACTAAAAAGAAGACTCGAGACCGTTCTCCTGGTAAGCACATTCTGCTCTTGACCTTTTGCGCTAGCGTCCTACTGACTGACCTCTACTTCTTGGAGCAGTTCATGATACTCAATCACTGGTAGAGTCACTACCAGCATCGCTCAGATTTCTTAACCCTGGTTCGAGTCAACCCTCAAGCAAAAGAAATGAAAGCAATCCAAAAGACGAAGATGATGAGGAAGAATCCAGAAAGGGAGATGATGACGATGAATCTGGAAACGATGACGATGACGAAGATTATCGAAACGATGACAATGACGATGACCATCGAAACAATGACGAAGACGATGAGTATCGAAACGAAGATGAAGAGGATGACTATCGAAAAGATGAAGAGGATGAACCTACTTTTGCTGATTCCCAAAGACCCCATTCACCTGATCATCGTCAAGGGAGTTCAGTCAACCCGATTCAGGACCTCTTCCGGACTGCAGACCCTTCTATCCCTTCAGTTAACCTACCAATGGCCCCTGCAAATCGAGCAAATTGGGACCAGGTAGCTGATATCTTTGGCCTCGACTCTAACTATCGAGCAGAGGCGCTTCGAATCAGTTCAGTAAGGCCAATTGATTTCTAATGATTTGGCCACATCGGCTCCAGTTTAATTTCGATATGATATCATTTAGATTACAGGTGATGATAACCGTTATTATGCACTTGTGTGCCTCAACCAGAAGGCGCGTCAAGAATCAGTCAAAAATTCAACCCGTAGTCATCTTGACTGGACACCAAAGGCGACCCTTGCAGTGTGTACCTCTTCCACATATCATGATAGAAAGTATACTTATACTTTCTTCCTCTAGGATGAACTTAAAAAGATGTTACGCTTAATCCTACGGGATAGTTCGATTGAATCGTACACCGATACTTTGAACTCAAGCAAAACAATCATTTCGGGGTCCTTTCATCGGAAGGCTATGGTATGTAATGACCATCTCACAAAACTAAGTCCAACCAAACTGACATTGACGTATTTAGCAAGCTATCATGAACCAGACTGATTCCTGGAAGGCTGAATTCTTACCGCCTGACTTCGGAACTACATTAGATGATCTATTCAATCATGACAAGTTTATCAAATTTTTAAAAGCAAAGCTCCGACATGCTCGAGATGATTTCCGAGCAGAGGTAAGTTAAGTGCCCGCCTCTTTGTTATCGCTTGACTGAAAGAATGGCCATTTGATCGCGTAGATCATGACAAACATCTGGGTTCCAAAATCCAAAATCAACGAGCCTCAAATTGAAGTACCGGATCTCGAATCTCTGCTTGGACTTGTAAGTTTAATGTACTTGTCTCTGGGTCCTTGTTCTGAATGGCCTATATGGAGCTGACTACTTCTTCAGTTGTATCGTTTCTTTGATCGAAATGAATCCCGTACACCGAAAGAGTTGAAAAGACAGGTGGACGCAAAGACCCAAGCTCGGTTTGCTTATCTTGTGAGCAGATGAGGCCTTCTGTTTCTTGATGAAATGATTTCCGTGTTCTTATCTTGACTTTTCATCCCTATAGAGAATTGAGATTAGTATTTATCATGATACAAGCCTGGATGATCGCAAGAAGAACGGTGGTTTGACCTATTGGGGTTTGATCGATCGCAAATTGGCTGAACTTCGTGACAAAAGTCGGGAACATCGCCGAGCGTAAGCCATACCAATTGTTCATGGTTTACAAACTAGCTCACCGACCCTCTTTGTGCATTCAGATTCAATGCAGTTGTTCTCGCTCGAGATCAAGGCCTTTTCAACGGAAAAAACAAATGGGACAAAATCAAGTCCGATGACAAACTTGAAGTTCCTACTCAAGAAGATGTTTTAACTGCCATTCCTTTCCTGCCTGGAAATGCTAGTTGAATGACGGACGAGTGAATTTCATCACAAGTATTATTTTGTTGGATCTGTAATTCCTGTTATCTTTATCATCTTATCATCTTCATCATTTTATCAATTTATCAATTTATCAATTTATCAATTTATCATTTTATCATTTTATCAGTTTTATCTTTTCATGCGATTCATCCGCTTATCCGCTTATCCGCTTATCCGCTTCATCATTTTCATCATTTTTATCATTTTTATCATTTTTATCATCTGTTGTCGTTATCTTTTATCATGGTATCATTCATGGTTATCTTTCATCACTACAGTATATTACAAATGTATTTTCCCTTAACTATGCTTTATTCGAAATTTTATATTAAAATTGCAACCAATCAAACCGAACTGCGATGAGCAATCTCGTGGGGTCAGCCGAGTTATCGTGGTTTGAAAAAACAACCCTTGGACATCCTAGGGTTCTCAATGTCCAAATTTCATCCAAAGGTCATCCACCGCTCAGCAGGCTGGATGCCCAATGGACGGCACGAGAGGATCCTTTGGGCATCGGTGCTGTGATTGCCCTTACAACAAACCATAACGACGTCCGAAGGATGTTGTTCCGCGCGTTCTGGGCTGCCCGATGGGACCCGCTCAGGCGTCTGGACTTCGGAGTCCGACGGACGTTTGTCCGTGTGCTGTGGGAGGACGTCCGTCACCCACCAAGAAAAATTGGACATCCGGTGGACATCCAACTGTCCTTGTGGTGTATAGATACTTAATGCGAGGTGAGTCCGAAACGGATGTCGAAGTTTAGTATCCGCCCAATTGAAATAGGAGAGGCGAGGGTAATAAGTTAATGTGTGTATTGAGATCTTTGAGAACACCATGATCGAATCTCAGCTGATGGGATTGGCAATTTGGGATGGAGGAAGATGATAAGTCAGTCAGTCAGTCAGTCAGTCAGATGATAGTGATAGTGATAGTGATAGAGAGTGAAGTGAGTGATGAACCAATCGATTACATAAAGTACATTTTATTTTGATTTCCTTTTTAAGTAAAAATATAATGTAGTTTCAGTAGTTAACATCCCAAGCTATTTGTAGTTTACCACTTGGCAAGTTGGAGACTGTGACACTTTGTACTATTTAAACTCTCCATTCTTGCTTCATTTCCTCATTCTTCATTCCTCATTCCTCATTTGCATTTGCATTTCCATAACAGTTTATCAACTTTTAGAAAAACCAAACCAAATCGACTTACATTCAAAAACAGGTAAGATTTCAACATTCTCAATCATCCTCGATCACTCAATTAACTTTGACTTTAACTTTCATTCTACATCGATCCTATATCATCTTTCATCATCATCAATCAGACTTTCATCATCATCATCATGTCTGATAACTTATTAGCACCAAAACCAACCAAGGATGGTTTAGATCCTCAACTTCACGTACCTGGTTTCACTCCAAGTCAAACTCCTGAACCAAATCAACGTCATCACGTTAGTCAATCAATCACTCAATCAATCTTAAATCTTATTCTATCAGTCATCATTGATTCTGATTCACACTCTTTTGAATAGGTCGTTCAAAATACTGCTGGATATGAAGAGGTGGTGTTTGATGGAAAGAAAGCTCAAGCTTTAAGTGTGGAGGAGATTGTCACTAAGAATGGTTTTGTACCACATAACTTGGTCCATAATGAAGTAGCTTGGTTGTAAGTCAATTATTGAAAGGTTTGATTTCTTTTGATATCTTGACTTATCACTCTTTTACCACCTTAGCTACAACAACCTGGGCATCGGTGGGTGTATTTCTTTGACATTCTTGGCTTGGTCTTAGAATCTTGACCTATACTGAATTTGACTCATTGGGGACCTCATTTCGAAATCAGATGATCAGTACTTTCGTATGGAAACAGCTGAAACTGTAGCTGAACATGTCACGTCCCTCTACGGTGCTAAAATTCTGGCTTGGTCTCGACATCAAAAACAATTAGAGATCAATCTAGAAAAAGAAACTGAAAATAACGCGGTTTATATTCATTCTTCTACTCCGGGTGTATCAGATCCTTCAACTAACTTTGAAGCTAGGTGAGTGATTCAATTCCATCAAACCATCATTTACATCTTTCATATGCTGATCTTCTTCTGATTTGATTCTTGCAGGATTGACGAGAAGTTTTTGGATATTCCTGCCGAAGCGGGTTGTTTCAGATTAGAAACTTATAGATCGGCTGGTAATGTGGCTTCTAATGTGGCTCAACGTGAGTTTTGATCGAAAACCGCAAAGAAAACAAGGCGCGAAGTCAAGACGGTCCATGTGTCCAACTTAGACGCTTTTTATTCTCTCATCACTTGAGATAAAGAAGCTCTAAAGTTGTCTAATCACTAATTTCATTCATGACTTTTGATTTTCTTCAACAGAACTTCGTTGTTATTTTGTCACCAAATGTAACTTTATCAACCCATCTCCCAAGCCCAACACAGAGGAGCATTCGGATATCCGCCAAGTCTCTGATCAAACCTTTTTATCAAAAGTTTCACCTAACACCTTGGATATTTATCAAGCTGTGATGAAAAACGCCATCACGCGTACTGGTCCCGTGGTAGAATGCTACGAAGTAGAAGGGAACGTACTCGAACGTCGAGTGGTGATTGCTTACAGGCATGGAAGTACCAATCATCTGTTCAGCGCTATGAGTGACTTGTACCACTTCTATGGCCTCTACAGTACTCGGAAGTATGTTGGTGAGTGGTGGATTTAATTTTCAGCGGAAGAGCAGACCGAGTGCTCATTCAATGTTCTTTCACCGATTCTCAGAACGTTTTAGCAATGGGATGACCATCATTTCCATTTATTTGCACTCTCTTCGTGGTCCCCCGATGTAAGTCAACTTTGCCTATCAATATGTCAACTTTTTTTGTTAGCTGATGACTTTGATTGCAATACATTTCTTATATCCCAATGTTATAGCGAAGCGGCCATTGTTCAAGTGATCCGAGAAGCTTCATTAGTATTCTGTCTACCAAGCAACCCATTTTTCCAGCCTACCACCAAACATGCAGTCCAAGAGGCTACATATGCATACTGTGGTTCGATTTTCTCCCAGCACTTCTTAAACCGACTTGGTCCATCGTATCTTGCTCTCAAGGGCTTGTTGAACGAATCAGACCCAGTTCAAGCTGGTGTTTTGAATGACATCAAACGTCGTTTCAGAGAGGAGACTTTCACTCGTCAGAGTATTTATGAAGTCGTCTTAGCTTATCCAGCCATTGTCAGCAAGCCAATCTCCTATATTCCCATATGAACAGAGATAATGACCGCACCTATCTTTACAGATTCGATTGTTATATGTCAATTTTGCTTTGGTTCACTATATCAGTGCACCCTCAGCACGACAGCAACTCATGTGAGTTTGGGGTATATCGATTCTTATCAATTCGATTGAGAGCTCATTATTTTCATATTAGGCCTACACTTTCATACCAGCGTTTACAAACTGGAACACCCCTCACAGATCAAGAGCTTTACACCAAAATTCGAAAAGTAGCTTTGAACTCCCATGACCTGCAGGTTTTGGAGAGTTTCCTAGTTTTCAACAAGCATGTGTTGAAGACGAACTTTTACACTCCTACAAAGGTGATTCACCAAAGCTATCTTACAGAACTCGTTATCAATGTACTGAACGTTCCTGGTGTTTTTTTTTCAAAAACCAGGTGGCATTGTCGTTCAGACTAGACCCTACCTTCTTACCCGAAGCAGAATACCCAATGACACCATATGGATTGATCATGGTCGTTGGATCTGACTTTAGAGGTTTTCATCTCAGATTCAAAGATGTAGCTAGAGGAGGGATTCGAATTATTCGATCAAGAAACAAAGAAAATTATTCGATCAACCTTCGACAACAATTCGATGAGAATTACAACTTGGCATTCACTCAATCCTTGAAGAATTCAACAATTCCAGAAGGAGGAGCTAAAGGAACTATCTTACCTGAGTTAGATGCGAATCCAAGAGCTTGTTTTGAAAAATATGTGGATGGTATTCTGGATCTGTTGATTCTTGGTCAATCACCTGGGATCAAAGAACCGATTGTAGATTTATATAATCGTCCAGAGGCATTGTTCTTTGGTCCTGATGAGGGTACAGCTGATATGATGGATTGGGCAGCTTTACATGCTCGTGAGAGAGGTTATGGACAGTGGAAGAGTTTTACTACCGGTAAGAGTGCTGGCTTGTTGGGTGGAATTCCCCATGATGCTGTGAGTAAGATGGTTCTGATTGAAGGAATGTTAGTTGGCGGTGAGGCTGAACAGACGACTTTTTCTTTTTGTAGTTTGGTATGACTAGTTTGTCAGTAAGACAGTTTATTGTCGGAATTTATCGCTCGCTTGGGCTTAAGGAGAGCGAAGTGACCAAGATTCAGACTGGGGTTTGTTTTTCTCACTGCATTCTTATCTGATTAGTTTGATTGATATCCATTATTGGTATTATCCTTTCTACTGTACAGGGTCCAGATGGGGATCTAGGATCAAAGTGAGTCTCATAATACAGACATTCTCTTTGACTGATGATTCACGTCTGACATTACCGATTTATAGCGAGATCCTGTTATCCAAAGATAAGACTATCACGATCATTGATGGAAGTGGAGTGATCCACGATCCACATGGATTAGATCGACCAGAATTGATCCGACTAGCCCAAGAACGAAAGATGGTCTCAAACTTTGATAAGGCGAAACTGGGTAAAGAAGGATATTTCATCTCAGTAGATGATAACGATCGAACCTTGCCTAGTTGAGTTCTTTTGACTTTTCGAATTTCAAATAGGTTTGATAAGGTACTAAGTGTATCGTTTTTTTGGTTATTAACAACCAGGCGGAGAAGTGATTCCAGATGGAACTGCCTTTAGGAATGAAGCTCATTTCCGTTACAAGGCTGATATCTTTGTTCCATGTGGTGGTCGACCTGAAGCTATTAATGTTGGGAACGTAGCTAGGATGTGGGATGCTGAAGGAAAATGTAATGTGAAATATATTGTGGAGGGTGCCAATCTTTTCATTACTCAACAAGCTAGATTGGTACTAGAGAAGAAAGGTAAGCACCTCTTTGGGTATACTTATAAACGATGTTTTGGTGTGGGGAGCTCAACAGATCTTTCTTTTTCGAAATATAGGTGTGGTCTTGTTCAAAGATGCGTCTGCTAATAAAGGAGGAGTCACTTCTTCTTCATTGGAGGTGTTGGTCGGATTAGGATTAAGTGATACTGAGTATATTGAACTCATGACATCACAGAACTCACCAGGCTTCTCAGAATTGTTGAGTTCTTCAACTCTTCTTGAATTCTTGATTTGATATCCTGACGATTTTGATGAATTGTTTAGTTATACGAATTATGTTCGAGATATTCAAAGAACAATCACCATGAATGGAGCAGCTGAATTTCAATGTATTTGGAAAGAATCCATAGATGGAACCAAACCAAGAGCAGTGATTACAGATGAGATTGGAAAGATCTTGATGAAATTACAAACTCAATTAGAAGAATCGGATTTATTTGAAAATCTTGAATCACGTAAATCGGTTTTGATTCAAGCTATGCCTAAAACGTTGATTTCGAAAGTCGGATTAGAAGTCTTGATGGAAAGATTACCGGAAGCTTATCAACGTAGTGTTTTTGCTAGGTTAGTGATCCATTTGAAGTTTTTTTGTTATCTTTTTCTTGGGGCTTCAATGGTTTTTTAACATTGTGGGGTTTTTCTTTATGATACATAGTTTTGTGGCGTATCGATATATTTTCCAATATGGGCTTTCAGCTTCAGCTGTTGATTTTTTCCGTAAGTCGTTTTTTGCTAAGCATCGAGAAACTTATGATCCAAAACTAATGATGATTTGAAATGGTTTGAATTATCGAATTTTAGATTTCTTTTCAAGGTTTAGGCAAGGTGGTGTGATTACTCAAGAGTAAAGAGTGAGAAATGATTTGAATGAAAAGGTGATTCAAGTCAAAATGGGAAAACCAAATCAATCTTGGGAACAAAGAACAACTTGAAGGGATTTTGAATGATCAGTTTTTTTTTCAAAGATATGAGGTTAACCTTCAAGGAAAGGATTTTGGTTTTATAATTGTGATGTATGTTATTGATGAGAATATAAATTGTTTGATGGAATTTTCCTTTTTTTCTTTGTATCTGTGTCTCTTTTTTTTCTTTTTTTTTGAAATTGATGAGTATGTTCATGTGATAAGAAAAAATTGATTTATGAATTGAGAAACTCAATTGAAGGGTTTTTGTGAAAAGAATGTATTTTTTTTGTGGTTTGTTTGGTTTTTTTGGAGTTTGGATTTAGAATTCAAAACCTTATGGTTGTTTGTTGCGATACATAGTGTTGTGGAAGGTGGTCAAAGATCATTTTACCTAGTGGGGTGTGAATGCTTTAGGCATGTGCAGGCGTTGCCTCTTTTGGGAATTGTCTGTCTCTTTTGGGATTGATGAATCAAGGGGTAATTTGTTGGGTGTGGTTTTGATGTTGAGTTGTATGTATCAAGGGATGGGAGAAATTTTTCTGGGTCTCTTCTGCTTTCAAAAGCATTGATCACTGCACACCTGAGCCATAGCACCCACAGCAAGATGGGTAAGTTGAGAGCTATCATGTACATACAAAGATGTTCAGATATTGGCTCATCTGGATGAGTGAATAATATGTAATTAGGGGATACAAAGTTAAATCTGGGGATTTTTTTCCCAGTGTCCCAGCTTCGAAAATACATCCAAAAACAGAAACTGGGAAACTGGGAGAGCGTGGGAAAGTACCAAACACAGCCAAAAACAAAAACTGGGAAACTGGGAAAAAATCCCAGATTTAACTTTGTATCCCCTAAATATCTTCTTTAATTCCCTTCAGTTTGACAAAAGCATTCTAAAAATTGACCTTCAATTGAGCATGAGAAAATGATTAGAAGTATAGTTGGTCATAAAGCATTGATCACTTCACACCTGAGCCATAGCACCTACACTACATATGTGCAGCAGGATGGGTAAGTTGAGAGCTATCATGTACATACAGAGATGCTCAGATTTGGCTCATCTGGATGAGTAAATCATATGTAATATCATAGGTAATTCTTTTCAGTTTGACAAAAGCATCCCAAAGATTGACTACATATACCTCCATAGCTACTGAGGCAATACTCTGAAAGCCATTTGATAGTAACGGAAAGGGTGTTACATCTTGTTACACGAAGTCTAGTTAATGTATTTACTCCAAAGCTATGAGTCAGTGTATATAGTCAAGTTTAGAATGCTTTTGTCAAAATGGAAATTACATATGATTTACTCATCCAGATGATCAGCCAATATCTGAACATCTCTGTATGTACATGATAGCTCTCAATTTACCCATCCTGCTGCACATATACAGTGAGGGTGCTATGGCTCAGGTGTGAGGTGATCAATGCTTTATGACCAATAATACTTCTAATCATTTTCCCATGCTCAATTCACACCGGGCAAATTCAGGTCATGCAGTGCATACAGGTTGCACGGTCCTGAATGCATGTCAGGACCTGGGGCACCTGTCAGGCATGCAGGGCTTGTTATCCTGTACACACCCTGTATATGTCACATCATGTGGTGGGCGCAAGCTTGGGAAAAAGTACAGGGGGTCAGGTGCGCCCTCATTTTGGCTGGGGGCGCAAGAGGGCGCAGGAGGCGCAAAAAAGGACAAAAATGGGCCAAGTTTTTGATGATGCTTTGTCAGCCACATTTTCTACATCCCACAAAACATTGATAATCTCATATGGACACCCTATAAACAAATTCAGCAGCAATAGTACAACAAAAATCAAACAATTAAAAAAACAATGAACATGCGTTGCTATCAATGTACAGTCAAACCCGCGCAAATGCATACCCGCGCAGGTGCATAACCCGTGATAATGCATCACCCGTGATAATGCATAACCCATGATAATGCATAACCCGTGATAATGCGTAGAAAAAATCTAGAATCTTGATGCTTTTCACTGCCAAATTTGACAGCAGAAATGCATAACCCGTCAAAATGCATAGCAAAAGTCTTCCACTCAAATTATGTGTTTGCGCGGGTTTGACTGTAGTCCAAAATTTTGTTGTTGGGGTAACTTTCAATCCAGACTGTAAATGCTTCCATGACTGGAAGAATATGGTGTGGGGTGGTACCCATAACACACATTGATTCATTTGAAATGATTTGAAGGTGGAAGAGGGCTGATTTAAGCAGAAAACCTTGTAGATCACATGCTTAGGTTCATGGGCGTGCCCACTCCAATTCAGACCAAAAAAGACGCGCCCGCGCCAGGCGCGTACTGGGGCGTCAAAATTGTGTCGCGCCCACCACATGAATGTCACACCAATCACATGTATTTAAGTACGTACTGAAATGTACATGTCACATAGCTATAAGTCCCTCACGGGGTCTCTTGTATGACTGGTGGGGGTGCAATACATGAGGACATGTCATGCAGCCATGACATGGCTCAGGGTGCGGAAATATCTTCTGTTTTCAACATGTCCGCGCAACCTGTATTCACTCCATGACCTCAATTTGCCCGGTGTGATTGGAGGGAAGTTGTTTAATGTTTGCAGTTCAACAGCTTTAGGTAAAGCCTTTCTTGGCTTGACAGATGTTTCTGAGTGAAGTATTGCCATAACCAAGAAGAAGGGGCTACAGTGTTATTATACAAATTGGCTGTGGAGAATGAATCAGAAGGACAAAAACTGGTGGGGGTGATTGGATCGGAAGAAGTTGCTGGGCTGAGGAGACCACTAGCACTTGTTGATGCATGCTCCTGGTGTAGGCCTTGCAACAATAAACGGGTGAGGGGAGCAGAGGGTATTTTGAATATGATAGCTGAAAAGTGTTAAATCTCCTTGTTGAGATACCTGATAACCAAAAATAAGGTCTAGAGGTGAGTCCCTGTTCACCTCACATCTGTGGCTCCTTGACTAACCCACAGAGATAGAAACTTGATATACAATCATAGATGTAAAAGAAGTGTTACAATTATGGTGATTTTGTTTCTTTGACATGTTCTTAGGTTACAAATTATTCACAGTGCACAACTGTCACACCATATCAAATTTCCTTCTCTGTTTTCAAATACCATGACATATGTATTCTGATTACGTGTAACATTCTCAAACCTAATCAAACCTATGCACTGCTTATTGTTTCATTTATAAATCATACTGACAGAGCGCCACAAGAGGACCCTGGAATGCGCCTATGGATGTATCTGACGAAAATCAGGACCTTTTGTTGGTGATGTTTTTGGGAACTAAACTTCACTTCACTGACACCTACAGGAGTTTAAACGATGCGCCAGAAGCAGGCCTTTCAGCTACACTAACTTTCAACCCCGTAGCTCCAATACTTCCTGAGATATCTCAATGTAACAGCCAAAAAAGGCCCACATTTGGAAGGTCCTAATCGGACCTTGGAGGCCGATTTTTTTTTTGCGCCTTTGCGATTTCCATCGAACTGAGCAACGCTACAGGTCTACGACCAGGCTCATTGGATAGCCCTGTCCCATGCGCATCTTTTAAGGTGTCTGGGACCGCGAGGCAGGTAGTGGTGTGTAGAGTAGCGCCCAAAAACTGAAAATCGGGTTTCGTCAGATACATCCATAGGCGCATTCCAGGGTCCTGCCACAAGCTCTTCTCTTTTCATCCAAGACTTTCTCATACAATCTTGGTTGAAGGTGAGTAACTAGTGGTTGTGGGATTCTGATAGTTTTCAATTGATTAAGTTCAAAATCCTATTGATCCCTGCTTGGACAGGTATGTTTAGTTTCTGGTTTTCTTTTCTCATATTTTATTTTGATTGTGATGTAAATATAATCTGATTCAAGACTTTCTCATACAATCTTGGTTGAAGGTGAGTAACTTGTGGTTGTGGGATTCTGATAGTTTTCAATTGATTAAGTTTGAAATCCTATTGACCCCTGCTCTGACAGGTTTCACAAGATTGTATTAAGAAGTTGGATGAAACTAAAAGAGATAGGATTGTATGAGAGATGAGGTCTGACCTATCAGCCCTAGTGGTATCACTCTGGATTTGAAGTCCATTGATGGACCCCACACTGGTTCCAAAATAGCTTCCCTTCTCAAGAAGATTCTGAGTTTTGTGTCATAGTTGTAATATTGTATCACCACAAAAATGCCCAAAACAATACCTCCATGGGCCAAAGCCCCTTGACTTTGATCCCTCAATTCAACTAGGGCTGTGACCCGGACCCAGGACTGCCCGGCCGACTCTGCTCAACATCTTTCACAGAGCTGACGGTATGCGCCCCGGGGCATCCAGATCCTGCTCAATGACAGCTGAATATGGCCCTGTGGGCCCTTCAGGCGGATTGGGCGCCCGACCCAGCCAGGGTGCTGACCCTTTTTTTGCCAAAAAAACACCTTCATGCTAGTCTCTTCCCGGCCCTGATCGGCCCTGAGCAGTTTTCAGAGGTCATTGGGCTCATTCAGGGCTAAATTTGGCCCTGGAGCCGGCCCTGAACTCTCAGGGTTGGGTCACAGACCTAAATTCAACTATTCCAAGAACCTCCATGGGCGCTTTGCAAATGTCATCAACTTAGTTTCTCCAGCAGGAGTGGTGGTATTCTACCAAAGGGCACCTCCTCCGCCTATCAATTCTCTTGATCCCACCATACCACAAGCTCAGCTTTCTGTTCTGAGGTTTATTGAGCCTACCTCAAACATTGAGATATGTAATATTCTCACCAGAATCTAAGGCTCCCAAAAACAAACTTGGTAGTCAGCTCAACTTCAAGACTTCACTCAACAACACCATCACCAACTGTATAATGTGGGATTGGAAGGTTGGAGTCGTTTACAAGGTCTCAACCTGCTGGTCTTCAACACACTCTTCACTTGCTCAATTTATTGGGCTAAGAGTTGTGTTGAAATGCCAATGCCACTGTAACCCAGCACTGGAGTGCTCTAAAGTTGACCACAAAGAGTGGATCTTGGTTGTAAATCCAGTGCAATTCTTGGGGCTTCTTGCTACTATGACCAATACAATCAAAGGCCATCTACACCCCACTTTCTTTCTTGTCATGCCTAACTATAAATGACTTGTTAATTGTCTTCAAAAGGCTTTTTCATTTTTTTCTTATGTTTATAAACTCTTTCATCTGATAACTAGTTACTGAAATGTTGCATTGTATCTTGATAGGCCTGGGCTGAATCCAAGTGTAAGGAACTGGAGGTGCCAATCATGCCAATGATCAAGATGATCATTAACACAGCCCCCAATCACAAGTCACTGGCAGGCCATTACATCCCATGATGCAAAACTGTTTTGGTTTCTTTTTGGAAAAAGTTCTCAAGCCTCTGTAAGGCAGGTCTTAACTGCATTTTGCACAGATATTGGAAAGCTATGGTACAGATCTTGTCCAGTCATCTACACCAGGCATTGTCAAAATCCCAACTTGTTTTCACACCAAGCTTGTCCAGTCATCAGAAAGATTCTGCCTGCCCAATCACACTGCTTTTGAAAATGATCCAAACATTGAAGAATACCTCTTAAGAAAGCGCCAGACCAAGTGGACATCCACCAAACTCAGTCCAATCACTTTTAAGGCACTTCAAAATGATGGTTATATAGGGGTGGAGTACACTGCACCCTGATAATTTGATGTTACAACCGGGATACTAATTTCAAACAAGCCATATAGCACCTACAGGAAGACACTTGGAAATACCTATGTCTCATATTCACACACCTCTTGTAAATGGAAGGGTAGTATCAAGGACATTATCAAGCTTCACAATTTGGAAAATCCACTCCTTGTTGTCATTTCTTTGATACCTCTCAATGATGATGACAAACACAAGAATCCATAATATTTGTTTCCTGACTTGCTGAACATCTCAGTGCTGTACACCAAGCATGGAGGATATCACATCATTGAGTGTGACAAGGTAATTGGGAAGCTAGTTTTCATCAAGAATAAACAAGGTTTTGATGTTCAAAGAAAAACACCCCCAACAGTGAAATTGATGTATCTGGTGAGTTTTGAATTTGGGTAATCCTGTGCCAGCAACGCAACACACCACAGCATCATGTTTTTTTGTTGTGTTGCGCCGCAACAAGCAAGAAAATTTAGCAACTCGTGCTGTTGGCTAGGTTGTGTGGTGCCTCCACCTTTGTGCAACACAACAAATGTTGTTGCGGTCCAAAAAAACACAGACCCCAGGGATCTTGTTGCACTGCGGGAACATATATATTGAGGCCGTTGCTATTTGCAGCCCACATGAAATCCATGTAGGTGCTGTTCAAATTACGCCTACACGGTTGTTTTCCGCCAAAAAGCGCCTACATTTATGATGTAGGCACTTTTTCCTTTTTCAAATGACGCCTACAGGCTGAAAAACCAATGTAGGCGTCATTTGTGTACGCCTACATTCTCAAAACAAAATTTAGGTGCTATTTTCAAGCGCCTACATTCTAAAAATAAAATGTAGGCGCTTTTTTTGAACGCCTACATTGTTTTTTCCATGTAGGCGCTTAAGTTAGTTATAAGGGTCTTATACACGTGTGAATACAAATCTATAAGGGTGCTGGTATTAATATATAAGGGTGTTGGTATTAAATTATAAGGGTGGTGAGATTAATTATAAGGGTGGTGAGATTAATTATAAGGGTGTTGGTATTAAATGATAAGGGTATTAAATGTAAGAGTGGGCATTTGATTATAAACATATAAGGGTCTTATAATTAATTATAAGGGTGTTGGAATTAAATTACAAGGGTGTTGGAATTAACATATGTAGGCGCACAAAAATTATGCCCACAGTCAAAAAAAAAAGATGTAGGCACATCTTCGTGACACCTACACAATGTAGGCGCTTCAAATTTACGCCTACATTTTATTTTTAGAATGTAGGCGTACACAAATGACGCCTACATTGGTTTTTCAGCCTGTAGGCGTCATTTGAAAAGGGAAAAAGCGCCTACATCGTAAATGTAGGCGCTTTTTCGTGGGAAACCTTCATGTGGGCGCTGTTTTGGCAGCGCCTACATGGATTTTGTGTGGGCTGCAAATAGCCAGGGCCTATATTGACTATGTGGTGCGGTGCGGTCAACAAAACCGCAATGCACACGCAGCGCAGCACACAACATTTGCATTTCTGGCCCAGGGTTGATTTGGGGTTTTTTATTTTGACTGCCTTTTGTGGTTTGACCAGGGATATGTGCAAGGCAAGGATGATAAATTCATGGACATTGATGGATGACTGGTTCAAAACCCTCATATTATGTTTTAGATGGTCTGAAATAATTGTGCTGAGGTCTCCTCCTTGTTTGAACACTCTTGATTTGTAGATGATTCTAATTTGTATCTAAGATATTGAGAGACCTCAATTCTGGACTTCACCACTGTTGCTTTGAAGGGTGCATCTGGCAAATTGGATTGGTCATCTCATGGTGAAATTGATTACCAGCTCATAATCATTTGAAACTTAGTTATTATCCGTCCAATATTGGGTTAATATATTGGGGAAATGTGTTCCATCCTGGTCAAGACCTTTTGAATGAAAATCCAAGAGCTATCTGATAACTGGTCAAGATATCTTCAAAGACTTTTTGAAAACTGCATTATGTGAATTCAACACCTAATTCAAAAATAATCCAAAGTATTTTGAAGTTGTTGAGATGCAATGGCATTGGCCTGCCAATGACTTGTGATTGGGGGCTGTGATTCAGTACCAGAAGGCTGCCAAGACAAAAGCTGTGTACATATGTGCTGAGATACTCAACCTGTGTCTCAAACTCACCGCTCTCAAAGCCCAAACAATGGGATCGCCTGGACGGGGGAATGAAGATCTACTTGCTTACTTTACTTCACATGCCATCAAATCCAAACTGGTTGTTCACCCCACAATTGATATAGTTCAACCTCAAGGAATCCACTCTCAACCTTGACTGACCTCAAAATCAAATCAAGAGGCGCCAGACAGTCCCAATTGAAGACAAAGTCAAGGATTACCTCACCACACCTCCGCAGGGTAAGATATGCAAGCCACTTGTCTACTTGGACACCAGTGCTCCTACTGAGAGCTTGTATTCTAATGTGTTGAAGGCGACATGTGATCACTGTTCCTCTTTCACTCCTAACAATCTCAAGGCACATGTTTGCCTCCATAGTTTGAATAAGGTGTTATATTAACCAACTTGCTTATCTTCTACAAACTTGGTTTTCATTTTTCAATTAGGCTATCACAGCTCTTATATACCTTTTTATACATGAGATTGAATCAAAGTCAAGTTTTTTAATTTAGAGCTCTTCTATTTTTATACACAAGATTTTGATTCAAAGTCAAGTTTTTCAATTTTTAATCAGTCTCTTAGCTTTGTTTTCACTTTCTAACTCAGTCCTTACTGTCAAGCCTTTTATAGGGGATTTGAAGTACACAAATATCCCCTTTCCGCGAGTTTTCTTTGTTCCTCCATTTGAGTCTGGCCCTGCCTGGCCTCCAGGGCTGAGAATCAGGGTGTGCCCTGGTCAGCCCTGAGTGATTCAAGAGACCCTCGGCTAAACTCCGGGTCGGGAAGAGCCCCGGGGAGGCCTCGTCGCGCCCCGGGCCCGGTCACAGCAAATCACAACAGGTCACAGCCCTAGTATTCTCCGTGATACAGGCTTAAGTATATCACTTACATACTTAGGTTTTCATGGTTAAAATTTGACGCAAGTTTAATTTTTTTCAATTTTTAATCTTAAAAACCATTTTGGTTGTTACCACTTACTCTAGATTTCTACTTCAGCCTTTCTTCGCCTTCGATCGTCCTTCATCTTCCTCAACCATACTCACAATAGATTCGATCTCTCTCTCTCTTTTCTTAACTTTTGAGAGACCTTTTCTGCTTTTACTTTAACTTGGTCAACTTGAAATCTCTGTCTCTTTGTCTCTAGATTGAGCTTTGAATAGTAGTTTACCCTATCGTATCATGCAACATAATGACGCTTTAAATGATATCGAAGGCAAAATCGGTGATTCATCTTTGTTGACTTTCATTCTTGTTTCTTTTCATTAGCTGATATCCTTACAACTCTTGTCTTTTTGATTCTCAAGCCTCGATCACCTTGAACCCTACTAGACCGCCATATGTTCCTCCTCACATGAGGAAAGTTGGAGGTCCTCCCCCTCCTGGACCACCTATGCAACACGCACCGTACGTCTTGTCTCTTCACTCATTCGAGCCGTTGATACTTACTTGCTACCCTTCTTCGTAGCTCCCCCGGCGGATGGGGAACTCCCTCGATGCATGCGCCGCCACCTCACCATCAACAAACTGGTGGTTGGGGTGCCAAACCAAATTTTTCCGGTCCTCCTCGCAATGATGGTCCATACCGCGGTGGCTTCTCCGGAGGCGGAGGTGGCCGTCGTAACGATGGCTATGGTGAATGGCGAGACGGACAGCATGTTGTTGCTGCTGGTAACCCGAGAGTTGAAAAGGAGCTCTTTGGTGATGCTCAAGATCCCAGCAAACAACACACCGGTATCAACTTCGATCGATGTAGGAACCTCAGTCCTATTGTACTCATGGACCGTCGAGAAACTGATTTCATCTTGCTCTTATAGATGCCGATATCCCAGTTGAAGCTACTGGTAACGGAGTTCCTGAGCCGATCACTGAATTCACCAACCCTCCTATGGACCCACACTTGCTCGCCAACATCGAGCTGGCCCGTTACAAGACCCCTACTCCTGTACAAAAATACTCTGTCCCTATCGTCGCTAATGGTCGAGATTTGATGGCTTGTGCTCAAACTGGTTCGGGAAAGACGGGTGGATTCTTATTTCCGATCATCTCGGCTGCTTTCGCCAAAGGTCCTCTTCCTACCGCTGGTATGCAAGCTCAAGGTGGCGGCTATGGCAAGCGTAAAGCTTTCCCTACCGCACTCATCTTGGCTCCTACTCGTGAATTGGTCAGTCAGATCCACGAGGAGGCGCGCAAGTTTACCTACCGTTCTTGGGTCCGTCCTGCTGTTGTCTATGGTGGTGCCGAAGTTGGCCAACAATTGCGTCAAATCGAGAACGGGTGTGATCTACTTTCGGCCACACCAGGAAGATTGGTCGATCTGATCGAACGTGGACGCATCAGTTTGAGCAACATCCGCTACTTGGTCCTTGATGAAGCCGACCGGATGTTGGACATGGGGTTCGAGCCTCAAATTCGACGTATCGTCACTGGTGAAGATATGCCAGGTGTCCACGAGCGTCAGACGCTCATGTTCAGTGCTACATTCCCTCGTGACATTCAGATGTTAGCCAAAGACTTTTTGAAAGACTACATTTTCCTATCCGTCGGTCGTGTCGGATCTACCAGCGAAAACATCACTCAAAAGGTCGAATATGTCGAAGATGCTGATAAACGAAGTGTCCTTCTTGACATCTTGACATCCATGCCTCAAGGTGGACTTACTCTCGTCTTTGTGGAGACCAAGCGTATGGCCGACATGTTGGAAGGCTTCCTTGTTTCAAGCAACTTTGCTGCCACCTCAATTCATGGTGATCGTACTCAGCGTGAACGTGAACGTGCTCTTGAGACCTTTCGCTCGAGTCGCACACCTATCATGGTCGCCACCGCTGTCGCCGCTCGTGGACTCGATATCCCTAACGTCACTCATGTTGTCAACTATGATCTGCCTAGCGACATTGACGATTACGTTCATCGAATCGGTCGAACGGGTCGTGCGGGTAACACTGGTGTCTCTACTGCTTTCTTCAACCGTGGCAATAAGAACATTGTACGTGAATTGATTGAGCTTCTCCGTGAGGCTCATCAAGAAATTCCAGACTGGCTTGAGGTCGTTGGTCGAGAATCTTCCTTTGGAGGTGGAGGTCGAGGACGCGGTGGAGGACGAGGACGGGGTCGCTCGGGAAATGCCGATTTCCGGCGACCAGCTCCCGGCGGTGGTATGGGCAATCCATATGGTGGTGGTGGTGGTGGATATCAACAAGGAGGCTATGGTGGCTATGGTGGTGGTTACGGCGGCCCTCCTGCTGGCGGGCAGGGTGCTTATATGTATGCCGCAAGTGGCCCTCCCAGTGGCCCTCCTAGTGGAGGTGGAGGTGGTGCCGGATGGTAAGTCACACTCGAAAGACGTCTTACTTGAATGATCGTTTTTGTTGACTTGGTGCTTTCTGAACCCTAACAGGTGGTAGAACTTCATTGCCGATATTTCTTGGATCAAGATCGTTTCTTGATTCAAACACAACGTCAATCCGTTAGATGGCCCACTTTCCTTAGTGTTTGTCAGGTTATCGGATTCCCGTTCAAAAAATCTCATTAAAAATAGATCAATCAAGATTTGATCCATCTCTGTTTTCCTTAGTATCTTTTATGTTTTCTTTCATGATCTTCGTACAATTTTTTGGGGGTACAATCGATTTCTTCTTTGGGTTTTTTGAGGTGTCATCACGTTCGTCATTCTTTATCAAAGGCGCTGGAAGTTCTGTTTAGAGATGGAAGTTTACGAAAGAAGAAAGTCGTAGCCACGTTTTACGACGAGAAATCTTTTTTCATCATCACGACTTCTCCAAAATATCCACATCCGAATCGATCAATATCTTGTCTTGGACGGACGTATATCTCTCGTACACACACCTACACACACACACACCTCACATCCAACCCTATACTCAATTTCACCATTAGACAAGAGCTCAGTTAGTAGAAGAACCTATAGACTTTTTTTGATGACCTAATCTTCTGTAACCAAGCTATATAGATTGAGCTCAAAATACATTTTGTTAAAGGTGAAATAGAACATGTTCACATATAGACTATATTATTGAAATTATTTATATAGTTATAAATGTTAGCAAATCGAAGATACCCATGAAATTGTACTTTTATATTTCTTATATACATTTTTGATTGATGAACTTGTTGCCTGATGTGCCCTTAGATGAGACATATTCGAGATTGAAACTTTTTGATTTCAATGTGAGAAAAGGTAAGACAAAGTCTATGTACATTTGAGACCCAAGTCTTGAAAAGGATCAACAGACTTGATCAGTAATCAACCTACCGTATTGGATCCTTGTGGTTTGGATGTGGTTTTGTATATAAAATCGACGAGTCAAAATGATGTATCTGAGTTTGATTCTTGTTGGTTGATATTTTGCTACTGATAAAACGTCATCCAAGATGAAATGGAATGGTCGAAGCGCATCTCGTATGTCATTCCACATGAAATGGCCACCTGGTCAGAACGCATCTTGATTTCTTTTTCACACGCAGCAGGTATATACGCAGACTCATGGTTTGAGTTTTGTTTTCGAATCTCGATCATATGTTTTCTGTTGGATATGGAACATTCTTATAAGAAGAAGATGATGTCATTGTATATCAGTCTGTGATTTGTTCTTTAATTAATGGACATTTGATTTGATTTGATCAAGTCTTTCTCATAATCTTTGACTCGACATATGTATGATATGATATGATGAACGATTAATGAATTAATTAAAAGAAATCCTAGAGAAGAAATGAGTGATTTAGGTGTAAATTTGGACAAAGGAAAGATAGGATTGGATTGATTGATTGATTGATATGCTCAGTTTTGATTGATTAAATTGATGGATCAAGGTTGAAGTGTGTACTAAGTAGATTGGGATTGCTGACACTACAGTTATATGTACAAGTGAGGACGGAAAAGATACGACACCAGTTTACTCCACCCAGTACACCAGTCGGGGCCGGCGGAGTAAACTGGTGTCGTATCTTTTCCGGCCTCACTTGTACAAGTCTTGTTGGTTGAATAGGAATTGAGACTAAAATGATTAGCCAGAGTGACTGGTAGCCGTAGCCACTGGTAGTAGCAGTATTGATTGAGTAGTTTGAATCTTCACACTAAAAATAGAATTCCCACTAGTTCGATTGGATTTTAGATTCAACCCCTCTCAGTAGTCAGTAGTCAGTACTCAGTAGTCAGTAGTCTCACTCTGAGTCTGAGTCTGAGTCTGAGTCTCTCTCTCTCTCTCTCTTTCTAGATAATAGTCTCTTCGATTTCCTTCATCTCTCTTTTTCTCTTTTCTTCAATGGTTTTTGACAAACTGCTGACTTCTTACTATATACTACTACTAGCTACTACTACCACGACTACTACTTAGATACTCTTCTCTATCTCTCTAATACGCTATCAATCAATCATTCTCAACAACAATCTAACTATCATCAATCAACTCAACCCCATCAAACTCAAGCCGATCTACTTGATTCCTTTCATCATCCAAATCGATCATGGTCAAAATCTCAATCACTCCAAGACGTGGTAACAATGCACGTTTCTTTCCACATCATGGTTATTTAGGTTTATCACCTGTTATCATCTCAGGTACAGTTTCAACTAGATTAGAAAAAGATGGTCAATCATTAGAAGCATCAAAGGTGGTGATTCGAATCAGATGTTATGAAGGAATAGGTGCTCATCCAGGTCAAGGTGCTGGACTAGGATCTGATCCTAGTAGTAGTAGTAGTAGTAGTAGTAATAATTTTAAACCTCCAAAGATTAATGTTTTATGGGAAACTGAAAAAACTCTTTGGAGTGCTTCAAGTTCTACTTCTACTACCATTGATGATCAACAAGAAGGATATGGACTCTTGGGTGATACTGATACGAATTGGAAATTAGTGATTCCGGTTTCGGCTACTCAAAGGTCTTTAGGTGGTCAAGCTGTTGGTTCAATGACTTATCGTACTTGGAAAGCTTGGTGGCAGGTTGAAGCAGGTGAACTTGAAATCTTTTTTACAATATGTATCTTGAAATCTATGAAGAACTTGAAGAACTTGTTAAACTGATGAATTGTGATATAATCTTTTTTTAATAGTGATTTTACATAAACCTACTGGGATTTATGGTTCAACAATCGTCAAGACTCATCCAATGTTTTTACCAAATTATTCTAGACCGATTTCTACAAATCATCATCATCATCATCATCAAAACAGATTACAAAGTAGTTGTTCTAAATTTTCTTATTCGATCACTGCACCATCGATTATTGCATGTGGAGATCTTGCAAGGGTTTCGGTTTCATTATTACCACTTAATTCAACATCCGAACCGATTGTGATCAAGAACGTTTCAGTAGGATTACAACGAACATTATCGATTGAATTAGATACCGAATCAGATCATCATCTACATGAAGGAGATGTGATGGATTCGATTGATACACCATCAGCTTTAGGCTTAGGATTACCATCAGCCAAACGATGGAAACTAAGACACTTGAAAGCTAGATCTAGATCTACACCTACACCTAACACACTTCCTTCACGATTGAATTCTCAATCTTCTACTAAAAGACATTCTTCTGCTATTTCGACTACCACTACTTTAGTGGAAACCGATTCATTACATTCTTCAGAGTTTTCGACCCTTTCAAATGATGCTTTGGTGCCTACTAGGATCATTCCTTTACAGATTCCTAAGGCTAAGAGTCGCTATCATTATTCGATTGGGGATTCTTGTCAAACTAAATGGGCTGTGGTGAATTATTCATTAGTGGTGAAAGTAAGTGTTTTTTTACCCCTTGAATAACTTTTGAAAATTCAGGTTGAAATTCATTCTGTCTTTCTATGATAGGTTATAATTAAATCCAAGAGTTCAGGATTAGAAACGATCAGTTTGAATGGATTACCAGTCGAATTAATGAGCGTCACGAATTCAGAATTAAAGATTGCACTTCAATCCTTAAGAACTCCAAGTCCAAACATCTCAAATCCTTCTACACTTTTAGTTCCATTCAATCATCATCATCCCCATCATCATCCTGGTTTAGATTCCTCAGAAAGGTTACCTAATGAAGTACATCATCGGCTTTCGACTCCTTCACATTCACATTCACATCAGAGAGGTTTAGAAGATTGTAGGTTTTTGGTCGAACCGATCTTGGCGGCTAGACCGATGAGGTTATCGGCACCTCCTTGTAATACTTGAAAGTTTTTTAATCAAATTGTTTTAAGGATGTTTTTTTGGTTTTGACTTTTTTGGCTTAGACTTTGTTTTAATTAAGGACTTTACTTCTTTTTTCTCTCTTCTTCTTCTTCTTCAATATCTCATCTTATCTTTCTCTCTGTCTCACTCTCACTCTTGTTCATACGTTTTTTTTTGTTTTTGTCTTTTTTTGTTTTTGTTTTTTTAATAATGATGAGTTTTAATGAACGTTTTCATTTTTTTTCTCTACGTGTTTGTGTGTTGACTTCATTCTTAAATGTCTTTTTTTTCTCTATCTATCTATCTCTTCAATTACATATATATTGAATGATCATCATTTGTCTGTATGGTTTTTTTTCTTTTTTTTTTTCGAGATGGTTTATCATGAAAAAAAGCAGGAAATATAGAACAAGGTTTTTTTATGATTTTGTTGTTTTTTGGGTTTTTTTGAGGATTAGGGAGAGTTGAGTGGTTAGGACGGGTAAAGTATGGAATGGTGTGAGATTGAGATTTGGTAAGTTACTTGGATTGATTGATTGACTATCAGGACATGATCCATGGGATACACTCTTGGGGAGTAGGTCAAATCTTGGGTTCAGGTCTCATGACTATTGGAAGATGTGATCATGAAGCTTTTGTAAGGAACACGCATTTATTCATCTTAAGTTGAATGAAAGTAGATTTTTTCTTTACAAAGTCAACTTTTTATCAAAGAAAATCATAATCTTCGAAATCTCAACAGTTTCTGGAATTTTATTCATGGATCAATTTGGGTTTCTTGGTATATAATTATGGTGGTCAAACTTCGAGAAGAAATTATGCAAGTTCTGTGCAAGTTCTGTGCAACTTCTTGTAACATCTTGCACGGAACTTGCACCAAATCTGCATACTTAAGACTTACATATGCTGACTTAACAAAGCCTCGTTGCTGAGGCCACCAAACTTATTTCAGTTTCCGTTTCCCAGAGGAGCATCAGTTGTACAGCCATGCCTGAATCACCCCCACCCCCTGCAAGTCAATCCTACTTAACTCCCATACACCTCGATCCAAACCTTCAAGTCCTATCGCCCCACGTTTCTGATTCAAGCACCACCACCCCCCTGCAGATCATATCGCCGGTCAACTGGGGTCAAAGCCCAAGTCAAATCACTGGGCAAGCTCTTCAGCTCGCAATCATCCCACCTTCAGTGAATGCTACTAGCTGGAATTTATCACGATCTAATAGTCTCACCCAACAATTTCCGATCATTCGCGGTCTTCCATAAACTATAACAGCCTTAGTACA